TTTTTGCCGTTGTTGCTAGTTCTTCCACGTATTTCTTCTTGTCGGCTCTAATGCTCCTCTTCACTTGTTTGTTTGCTTTTATGTATTCAGCTTGTGCTTGGACTTTCTCTGCTCGTGTTCGGCTGTTGTTAATTGCTGCCTTCTTGTTCTTCCTTTATTTGATCATGTCCAGTGTTTCTGTAGAGATCCATTCCTTATGATGGTATTTCTTTAGACCCAGAACCTCTTGACACGTTGAAGTTAATGCTTCCTTGATGCCTTTCCAGTTGTCCTCCATACTAGTTTCTTCTTCTTTCAGTAGATCTTGCAAGGCTTGGAACCTGTTGTTGAGAGCTATCTTGAATTCATTGAGTTTGTCAGTATCTCGAAGGAAGGCTGTATTGAACCTTTGTAGTGCTGTTTGTCCACTTGTCCAGTTCTTTTTTAGCTTCAGTTTTAAATTGGCCACAACTAGGTGGTGATCTGAAGCTACGTCAGCTTCTCTCCTGGTTCTCACATCTTCCATTGTCCTTCGAAATTTTTTGTTGATGCAAATATGATCTATTTGGTTCTCTGTAGTGTGGTCCGGTGAGATCTATGTAGCCTTGTGTATACGCTTGTGTGGAAATATTGTGTCTCCTATGACAAATTTGTTGATTACACATAGATTTGCAAATCTTTCTCCATTTTCGTTTCTTTCTCCCAGTCCATGTCGTCGCATAATATCTTCATATCCAGTGTTGTCTATTCCGACTTTGGCATTTAGATCTCCCATCAGAATAGTTAGGTCCTTTCTTGGGCATTTCTCAATGACTGACTGCAGCCGCTCGTAGAACTGATCTTTAATGTCGTCGTTGTGGGTGCATAACATTGGATAATATTCATTAAGATCCCCTCCTTCTTTGTCTTGAATGATGCTTTGATGATTCTGGATCCGTGAGATTCCCATCCTACAAGTGCATTTCGTGCTACTTTGGACAGCATAAGAACGACTCCCTGAGTGTGTGGAGCATTGTCTTCTTCGTGACCGGAGTATAGCAGCATCTCTCCCGTAGCTAGCCTTTTCTGTCCAGCTTGGGTCCAGTGGGTTTCGCTGATTCCCAGTACTGCTAAGTTGTATCTCCTCATTTCCATTGCTATTTGACTGGTCTTCCCGGTTTCCCACATTGTTCGAACGTTCCATGTACTTATAAAAATTTTTGCTCTGGTTGTTAGAAGGGGCATCGGCCTCGTTGCTTCCGAAGGAACTCGATTTTCACCATGAAGCGTCATAATTCTTCTAAATGAAGACCTTCTAACTCCCAGGGCAGAGTTTAAATGGTTTGGATTATTTTTTCTGGTAAGCGTTTTTTTAGCGAGTTAGTTTTCTACGGGATGGGGACGCTAACCCCATGCCCAACCCTCCTCCTTTACCCGGGCTTGGGACCGGCAGTAACTCTATAAGAGCTATAGGCGGAGTTGCTCGAGAACATATAACAAGAATAAAGGATTATGATATGGTTGAGAAGATTTGTAGCTCATGTAGAGGATTTTGATAGGGATTTGTTCTTTTAGCTAAATGGTATGTTCGTCGTTCTTCACAACGACGTCATCAGCACATACTTCAGGTAGAAGTGAAGTGTTCGATTTTCTCCGCTTGTCATATACACCTCGATGTCGATTTGTTCTTGTTGACTTTTAACCTGTCATTCTTTACTTCTCTGATTTGGTTGTATCTCCGGTTGGTTTGATTTTTGTTCCTATGTTTGTTCATATTTTTCCTGATTGGTTGATAAATTGGATCGATTCCAATGTGCTTGTTGATTCCCGATTGACCTGAGTGCAAAGCTTCTAAAAATTCTCCGGTGTTATTGAAATTACATCTCTCCGAAACCTCTACATTTGCCCAGTATAATATGTGTCCGCAATTGTGTACATGCATTGATATAAGTGAGGATGTCTCATGGCGTTTAACCGCTAATTGATGTTCATTCAGGCGAAGATGAAGAGGGCGTCCGCTTTGTCCGATGTAGTGTCTTTCGCAGTTGGCACAATTTAATTCGTAGACGATGTTTGGTTTGTCTTCGTTAGTCATTTCATCTATTAATTGGCTATAGGATTGATTGTAGGGATTTGGTCAGTTTGTATTCAACATCTATTCCAAAAGTTTCCAACAGTCTCGTTGTCGTTTCTGATATACCTTTCATGTATGGTAGGGTGATCCTTTTGTTGATTTCTGTACTTGACCATGTTTCTGATGATGCTTGCAGCTGGTATTTTATGATGAATATGATTGTGTAGCCGTTCTTTTAAAAGGTGGTCTTCAGGTATTTTTCTTCATTTTTCCGTGCTACAAGTGTGTTGTTGTGTGTTCTCGTCTTTCTGAACAAAGTTTGTACGCAGTTGGTTTTGTGAGCTCTTGGATTGTTGATATCGTAGTGGACAATTTGATATGTGTGGGTCAGCTTTGGATGTACTTAATTTTCCAGTTTCCCTGTTTTGGTTCTAGTGATCAGTACGTTCAAGATTGGTAGTTTGTTGTTCGATTCTTGTTCCATTGTTAGCATGATGTCATCGAAGACTTTGTTGATCAGCTTGTAAGTGTTTTCTAGCTCATTCTTTTTGATGATGACGAGTGTGTAGTCCACGTAATGAATCAAAGTTTTTGGCTTCATCACTGCTAAAATCGAGGCTCTAAATCTGTACATCACTGCTTCTGTGATAAGTCCTGATATTGGTGATTTCATCGCTGTTCCTTTCGTTTGTTCGTGTATTTTGTTGTTGAATTGAAAATATGTTGTTACGCACAAACCGATGAGTCCTAGTAAACTTTGACAGTTAAGCTTCGTGTACTTTGCGAAATTTGTGTCTTTGGTGAGAAGCGGGGATAGAGTATTTTGCTAAACTTGGTTTATTTGAGGTGAATAAGTCTGTTACATCGAAGGATATCATCATCTCGTCGTTGTGTATTTCAATTCTTTAATCTGTCCGACGAATTGCATGGGGGATTTGATAGTGATTGGATGAATCCACTAAATGTTTCAATATTCGTAAAATTTCTCCCGTCGAACTGTATGTTGTAGTTCCGAGGAGTCCTACAGTTGGACATGATGAGATGTTTGGTCTGTGTATTTTCGGCCTACCGTATAACTGAGGGAGTACTGGTCCACTGGGTTTCATTCTCCGCTGATCTTGCTTTGATATTTGTCCTGCTTTGATGAGCTTGTTTAAAGTCATCAAGATTAAGTTGAAAACCGAATTACTCGTATTTTACAGCCGATATCTAAACTGGGACATGGGTCGAATACATATACTATTTACGTTTGTCGGCAGATAGAAAGGTTTAGCCAGGTGTAAAGCAATCGCTCATGTCGTTAATATACAGGACGAACAATGGGTCCAATGGCTGAGCCCTGGTGGGCAACACTGGCAATGTTCTGAGAGTCAAAGAAGTGTCGCTCTTTTTTCGCCATCAGGGTTTGATCTTCTAAGAAAGACAAGATCTAATTATGCAATTTACCATCAATACCGAGAGTCTAGTTTAAATAAGAGAGAAGAGTATTATACTTTATCAAGCGCTTTAGTAAAATTAAAGCAGAGAGTGACAACTAGCTTTCCTTCATCCCTACTGTTTATTGCATGGTCAAGGTAGTTTGTCACAGGTTATGCAAGACATTTTGGGAATGATTTAATGTAGTGAGTGTATAATCAAATGGTGCTTACCTAGATAATTGTTAATTGACTTCCCAATAATCTTGTCTATATCGTATTGTCTATTTGAATCTACTTGCCTATGCTTAGGACTGCAATTGATCACTCTGTTATTGGCATATGTGCACTCTGTACGGGTTGCCTCGATATTGTCATAAGTCACAAGGACTATAAGCAAATATGGATGGTGGCTAGCACTGGAGTGCTGGTACATTCACCTGACGAGTCGCAGAGAGGACGAAGTGAGCGTCACGGATTTCAATGCTACACACCATCCATCTATGCTTATAATCTTCTCCACAGTTCCAGATATGACGGAGGTATGGTTAATCGGGCGATAGTTGCCTACATCCAGCCTAGGTCCGTTTTTAATGTATAGGATGATGTAAGCGGAATATGAATGCCAGAACCTTCGTATATAATTAATTTATTATTATTTCCCGATAGCCTATTTGTAAGGCTATCCGCATGTCGAAGGAACGTTTGGTTTAATCTGGCTAGTAGTTGAAAGGGATACGTACCACAGAGTACCCATTCGTGATCTGGTGCCTTCAGACAGGTAAGTCCCTTAAAACTAATGTGGTCAGCACCCAGTGTCGAAGACTTTCAAGACTACTGATTTTGGGGGTTTATTTACATTCACAAACTGTATGGACAAGAACTTTCACCTATTCAGATACAACTATTTCGATCATGACTTATAAAATCATGGTGGTGCTCAAATCAGGAAGTTATGCACAGGAAGAAAGCTCTTGATAATAAAGTGACTTCAATCACTAGTAAGAAGACTAGAAAACGGTTACTCTAGTAGGTTCCAGGCAGTGTTGCTTACCATATGTAACCCAGACTTATAGGTTAGATCTTTTTGCATTGCCTTATAGCGGATAAGTAGGTGATCCAATTTCGATATATGGGATACTTGAATTGATTATAAAGCTTATATACCCTTTTTTCTCCTATGGGACAACTCAGAGAATGTAGCTGGCAAATTTAAAAGCCAAGGAAGAATAGAATGTATGTAACACGCAGGTTCTCCTACCGACTAATTAAATGTCGGAATTTGGACTCAGAAATGTAATATATTTTTATCACTGAAGACTGAACAAAATGTCGAACACTAAATTTCCGCACTCATTAATACTTACGTTACTACATTGTATGTTTCCCTACTCCACGTGTTTTGCCCCTATAATTATCTCTTATCCACCCAATACATCTAACAAAACATGCAGTCTTGATGAAATAGGTTATATACTTACGCTTAGTCTCTAACATAGTTACATCATGTCTCATAAAAGGGGTGAATATTGGACCTTGATATGGATCCAAACAAAGATATGTTTTGGGTTTGTCAAGTCGATGTGAAAAGATGAAGATATTGATTATAGACCACGAGTATTCAGCGATTAAACCACTTGGCTTTCAACCAATGAGTTGTACATTCAAACCCCACTCTACCTTGACAGTTTCGGCAACCGAGTGGTGTTATTAGAGTCCTTACACAGTGTGCCTAGATGCTAGACTTATAGATATTTACTTAACATTGTTCACGGTATTATAAACTGGTAGGATGACTTCTAACATTATTGTATTCTCCTTACCTATTTGCTATTAATAATATCTTAATAATTATGACCAACTATTGCATTAATACCCTCATTTTTAATCTTCAGTCAACTCGTAGGGTTGGCAGTTTCCATGCATAAGTATTACAGTGTATTATTACTTCGTTTCGTTGGTTCTGAACAGTATAAATAAACTAGATTGTATTGATAAAACTGGGTATTCGTTTAACCTGGAAGGTTCGCGGAGATTCAGAAAGTTATTGTGCTTCTTAGTTATAAAGTTCTGAGTCTATGTTAATCCTTGCTGCTTTTCTTCCAATGCAGATCTAGCTTCCCTTTGGAAGTGTCCACTGATGAGGCTGGTACCACTTGTTCGAGTAGGGTGTGTCAGCCATTGACTACTCGGTAAATATTAATTCCACTCCGAGTTTATTTGATCGTGGTTTTTAAACCTTATGGCGACTTTGGAGACAATTTGTTCTAGTGAGGTCAAAACGTGGCATCAGTGCTTGAAGTCACTAACCTGTAGTCTGAGCCATGTTGGCAGATGCAGACTACTTGGTTGGGGTCCGCGTGACTATCGTAACCAATGGTTGGAGACTCTGTGTGACATAGCTCAGAATCGATCACAATGGTGTAGGTGTATACACTCTATATCTTCCCTTCAATCATGAGATTAAAATCGCTTCATACCTTCCTGTACTTTGTCCTTATATGCAATCTTTCTTTTATATATTACCACCACTGAATCAACTATTTCTGTGAATCCGGTGTTCATCTTGTTGTGCTAATGAGGTATTGCAACTTGGAGCGATGCATATATGTGCCTAGTCCTACGTTATAGCTGGCTGAGTGAGTGAGGTCAAAAAGGTAGGACGTATTAACATCCAGATCAATATGTAAGACAGTGCTGACATTAGGTCAATTCGCCGTCTACAATAAGGGGAAAAAGTTTAAACGTATTAAGTGCTCATCGTTGGAGAGTTTAGAAAAACCCGTTAGTAACGTGTTTAGTTCCTACGTGCTAAACACTGGAGTGCGGTAACATCCCTAATAAGACATGAAAAAGCTGCTTAGATGTAATATTCAGAGTAAGGTTTCAAATAGGCAGGTATAAAACCGGAAAAATCTTAGACAATTTTTAGGTAACTTGACTAATGTACTATTTAGACTGACAGTTCGATAGACACCATATGTCTCCTTTCGTATTTAAATATAAGAGTGACGATGGCATCATTTCAATCCCTATGTTAAACAGTGTTGTGAGTGATTCTAAAATGGTGTCCGCAAGGAATGACAGAAGTCATAGTCATAACTCATCAGGCCTCGGCAGCGTACCACGTTTAAGGTGGACAAATAATTGAAGAACAGCTCCCTTAGTAGTAAACACTGGTCTTGTGACTGGTACCGTAGCAGTGTGGTTGTGGAAAGTATTGATAAAAACATTTTCAGAACAGACCTCGTCAAAACAATTCAGGTAGTATAGATGGATTATCGTTTGCAATGGCGCAGGTGCATCCACTCTCTATGTTCTCCCAAATTCTAATCTTCTGAATTCTTCATGTCCCTTTTTTTCCTCTTTCCAAATTTATTTCACTGAATTATACTCGTTAAATAACATCTCCAAACCCTATTCTTCCCGATTACTGCTTATACTCTTGCTACATCTACCACTACGGGATTTGAATCGACCACTGCATCTCTGTGCTAATGTGGTATGGCAACTCGAACTGATGTACGTACGTACTAAGTTCTACGTTGTTACTGACTGACTGACTGAGATGGATTGTCGTGCAACATTAATAAGGGAAATCTGTCACTGCGTTCTATTCCTTGCTTAATGCATGAAAAGAAATCGTTTTGATACAGTGCGTCTATCGTATGCCAACTCTCCTTCATACGTACTGCAAGCTTTAGCCTTTTTTACGTATATTCATGACTTCTCGGTACTCAGACGTAAATGATTCGCTACTTGTTGTTAGGAAAAACTTCTAAAAATGTCCCCTGAACCATAGCAGCTTTTGACTTTTGCAATCGATTTACGGAGGGCAATGTAATTGCTTAAGTATTGACCATAAGATAAACGGTATTATTACGTTCTCGAATGTGGTCTTAAACTTGATTAGATTTAGCTGTCTTATATGTATATACATAGTTAATGTTTAATGTGTGTAAACTCCGCGGATCATTTTCTTCCACTAGAAAACATTTAGGAAAGCCAATCACGAAGCTACTCATCAGTTAGAACACCTTTATGATTGGATTTTTCGTATTTTTGTATGGTTCGCTAATTTTTTAATGACAATCTAGAATCTGATACTAATCTATATGTCTGTTCAAATCACTACACATCACACCAACACCGAGTGAAAAAAAATCGACGAAACAGAAAACAAAAGAAGTAATGTTGACAGCATGCGACAATCGAATCACACTTGATGGAGAAGATTTGGAATATGTAAAAACGTTTACATATCTGGGCAGCATCATTGATGAACGGAGTGGATCTGGTGCAGATGTGAGTGCGTCGATCGACAAAGCAAGAGCAGAATATTTACAACTGAAGAATATTTGGAACTCAAAACAACTGTCAACCAACACCAAGGTCAGGATTTTCAATACAAATGTCAAGACAGTTCTACTGTATGGGGTAGAAACTTGGAGAACTTTGAAACCCATCATCCGGAAGATACAAGTATTTATTAAAAGTTTCTTACGCAAAATTCTTCAGATCCGTTGGCCAGACACTATTAGCAACAACCTACTGTGAGAGAGAACAAACCAGATTCCAACGGAGGAAGAAATCAGGAAGAAGCGTTGTAAGTGGATAGGACACACATTGAGAAAAGCACCGAACTGCATCACAAGGTAAGCCCTCACATGGAATCCTCAAGAGCAAAGGAAAAAAGGAAGACCAAAGAACACATCACGTCGAGAAATGGAGACAAACGAGAAAAATGAACAAAAATTGGATAGAACTAGGGGGGGGGGAAGGCTCAAGACAGAGTGGGTTGTAGAATGTTGGTCGGTGGCCTATGCTCCATTGTAACAGGTGTAAGTAAGTAACTGGCTGGAAATAGAAATAAGAATATAAACTTGCAGTACAAACGGTAGAAATAAAGTCTAGGAGTGAGGAATGACACGACTCAAATGTAGGACGGAAGTGGAGAAAGAATGTAACTGCACCACTGTGATAAATGTGGCATGTCTCCAACTATAAATTTTGGGTACTGTACAAGCTTCAGTCGGAAAGTTTAGACCACCAACTAACTTCGTAACAAATAGTGTATCTTGATCCACCCTCCTCTTCTAACATTATCCCCAGCCTATCCGTATGTTCATCGTCATTTTGAGTTCGAGTTGAAGGTAACCGATCACACGAAACATAATATGCCTTTTATTTTAAAATCTAGTGACCTGTTCCCAACCTCATTATTGGTCATTTAATATTTCAATCAAACATATTCAATTCGAGTTCGTTACTTTCTATAGCTTTTCATTAACACTACCTTATAATATTCAAAGTATTCGACAGTATACGTGTTTTAAATGTTTCAATTTATTTTTTAATTGTTTTATTTTATTTCAAGCTTAGATTGTTGGAAATTTAACTGTGAATTTTTCTGTTAATGCTATTCTATCTATCTTGCTTTCATTAGATTGTTCATCCTATCATGTCCAGTAATAGGAATGTTGATGATGAATGGGAAACAGAGCCAGATTTTGTGGTAGTTTTTTTTATTTCTCTTCAAAATGAACGAAAAAATCAAATAATTATGTTCCTGTGTATAGAACGATGTAACAGAGAAAGAACAAAGATGGGGCTCCAAAACTGTTATTGGTTCTGGCCATCAAGCTTCCATAGAGTAAGTAATGTAATTAAAAAGAAAGCTATTAATTGCAATAAACTCATTACAGATAGATAAGTACAGGTTTGTATATTCAGCTCTTAGCAATACTTATTGTGTTTGAGAACTAGTTAAAATGAATTGTGATGTAAAAAAAATTTGTAGCTTAAGTGAATTCTTTTAATTGTGTTGTACTCCATAATTTAAACGAGTTTTAATTATAAACCTTTCAGATGTCACATGTCATTTCATTGTCGGTTAATTATTCGTTTCTTTTAGGAATAAGGAAATAAAAGATATCAGTATTTTTGTTTTCTATTTTTCATTAGTTAATTAATCTTTATACAAGTCAGTATACGGGTCAATATTGACTCAGTAGTGAAGATGTTCGATTTTCAACCAGTAGGTGTGCAGTTTACAGTCCAACCACACCTACTTCGGTTTGAGCAGTTGAGTAGCATTGATAACATCCATATATAGTGTGGCTTGTAGCTAAGTAAAGGCTTCTGTACCTGATAAAATCAATCCTACCGGTCAGCGCTGTCATTGGTCCAAGTGGCCTGATATAGGAGTATATCATGTTTGATTGTAGATGATAGGAGGAGTTCAGTGAAACCTACCACAGAAGGTAAGCTGCTCTTCAAGTATTCCAGTAGTGAAAATCTCCGATTATGATACTGGCCACTGTGAGCTGGAGTCCCTCGAGAAAAACAATTCCCTTAAGTTTGTGGATACACTAAAATAGGGATTCCTGTCAATTACCTACAGCTTTCTAACGCGATTAACCTTTACATATATAGAATATCGGGCTGGTCTAATAATCTAAGTGTTACGCTCACAATTAATCTACTGTGCTTTGTTAATATGATTTGATAGAACGGGTACCGTATACTACTGTTTCAGACTTCCTTTAAGCTTAGATAAAAATAACTTCTGATTTTCTTTCTAAATCTTCCTTTAATTCAAAAGTCAAATGCGGATCAGATTTCATAGAAGCTCCAAAAAATTGACTAAGCAGTTAAGTATTACATATTTATAATGCCCCCAAATGCCCTGGTACGGACGAGAGTGGGGAGAGTTCGCTCTCCCTCTCGAAATGTTCTCACGTGGCCACGCGTATATAGCCTCTGCTGGGTAAATACTACTCACTACCTTCTCGTAGCGGGGGTGTTGTTCACGAAAATGTGAGGACGAAAAGCAAATGTCCAGCACTTTAACAGGATTCCAAACGAATGATGCACATGGGCTCCAGTATCCTGCGGGAAGGAGTGGCGTATGAACCAATTGGTGTTCACCGGCTTCCATGGAACTGCATCTTCTCACGATGCTACACTGACTTGTGGATCAGACCTTCAGGTCGAAGGCTCGGGGTGTGGCCTCCTAAGAAAACCACCTGCTTCGGTTTGGGCACCCGGGCAGCATCACAGCGCTCACACATATCGAATGAGATTTGTGTGGCGCATATGTATTTGGTGCCTCCTTGTACGAATATCTATGTGTTAAAATAAAATAAATAGAGAGGAGTGAGGCAAAGTCATTATATTCTAAGAGAAACTGGCAAATAAATGCAGTAACTCTGATCGCAGCGAATAAAATGAATGACTCATAGCGTAGACAATTATGGAGTGTACAACTCGAATAGAGAAACAGACAAGGTTAATACTGTTATGACTTTTGACTGCTGCCAATTATCACATGGTGAAATCACCAATTAGAACACCGACTTGTATAATCTTGTTTTTGTGCTAAACCAATGACACGTCAACCAGCACTAGCAACCTTGCGTCAACTCGGAATCCTTATTGGTTCTCAATAAAGAAAATTCTCGCCGAGTCCGGAACACAAATATCATCCTTCACCACATGAATCGTACTCTTCAGACATAAGCGGTTTATGTATAAACAAACCAGACCACATCACACCATAAAATGAAAAATAATAGTCACACAGGGTCAAGCCGAAAGTGACTATGAGTGTGAGAGACTGTAACTAATACATTGGGAATAACTTAGGAATAATAGATCGTATAGTGGTTGTCAATAGGTCAAATGAAAGCTTATGATAAAAGGAATATATATACTTACTAAGACTTTTGAAATTTAATCGTAAATGTTACAATAACGAAATCTATTTCAAGCTCATGTTACTATTATTCCTCTCTCTTTCCTTCAATCAAAAGTATGGTGGCGTTAAAAGAAGAAGTGAAACAAGCAGATCGTTTGGCAAAATTAAAAATTGCACCAAAACCAGCTTATGGATATGGTGGCCAATTCGGAATTGAAAAAGATCGAATGGATAAGGTTTTTAGTTTTGGTTAATTTTCCTTTTTTGTTTTTTTCTACGAAGGTTTATCACTTTCTGTATTAAGAGAATGATTTATTTATTTTTGTATTAGTTGTTTAAATCTCAAAGATGTTTAGGAATTAAATTGGTCAGTCTCTCTTATTGGTATATGTGCATTCTGTGCGGATTGTCTCGACACTGCCTTACGTCACGAACATGATAAACAGAGGTGGATGGTGGCTAGTAGTGGAATCCAGGATGCTCGTTTCATCCTATTTCGGACTTGCGTGTCCTGTATTCCACTGCTAACCCTCATCCATCTATGCTCAGAATGACTTATTATCTTCATTTTTAACATGACACTATACCAATTGAATTTTTTTAGTGTGAAATAATGAGTTGTGTAACTCAGTAAGAGGGAAATACAGCGGTGGGGAGTGATGCTTATGAAAAGGATTAGATTACACTTAAACAGTGTTACTTGTTTTGTAACTTATTTACATCTGATATAAAACGATTTATGAATGTATATTAACAATGCAACAGAGTAAATTGGGAAACTATACACTTCAATGGTTTGCAAACCTTTACTAATCATGGCAGTTGCAACATATTTATGTAAGTTGGTGGTCGGTAGTAATAAACAGAAAACCTTGGATCTAGGCTTCATGCTAGTCGACATTCGTCAGCAAGATTTACCTGCAATCTTGAGAAAATCTACTTTTTTTGGTGGTTTCGATTCAATATCACTCAGCCTTGCAATCAAAGGTGTTACTGCTGAGCTATCCGGGCTGCATCTGACCTCCTGTAGCACTGAGATATATTTACAATTGATTGACCACTGGGTAGTGACCAGTGTCGTGTATGTCAGATCCTTCTTAATGCAGACCTAATTCTTCCGAGCAGGATGTCAGTCGCGGCCTAGATACCTCAGTGGTAACCTCTTTGACTGTGAAGCTGGGCGATACGCAATCGAATCCACCAAGGATAATCGTTTCCCTCAAGATTACAGGTAAACTTTGCTGACAAATGCTGATTAGCATGAAAACTAGATGTAGGTTGTTATATCCTAGCGAGGATTACATTACGAGTAACTCCTGAGACCTATTAATGAACTAATATTATCTCTATATTAAGGTATAACTAATCAGTATTTAGATTATGTATATCTATATTTTCCTTACTATAAACTTCATCTTGACCTATAGATTATTATTGCACGATTTACTGTTCTTAAGTTATACTCAGTTTATTAATTACTGTCTCCCACGTTCACAGCCACATTTTGGCTTTATTGTGTATGAATGTTATTTCTGATTTTATGGTGCGTTGCTGTCTGTTTGGTTGATATATAAACCCAGTATATCTGAAATAAATGATTCGATTCGATTCGCATAATGGAGGCTGTTGTTGGCATTCTGAACTCAGCTTGACGGGCTAGGCGAACAACGGACCAATAGGACTCTAGGCTGATCTGACCGGTCGGACATCATTGGTTTAGTACAGTATAAGAGCGAATAAGTCGTATTTTGATTGGTGAATAGATTACATGATAACTAGTGAACCGTAAAGTCACAACATGGGGTTCGTTGTCGAATACTTCCAATTACTACCTGACATCTGAACATAGTGCACGCGATATTGAGTCAGACTAGTGGGCACATTGCAGCTTGGTCGATACAATTTGATCTGCACTAAGGAAGACATGGCACACATGATATTGGTCACTAATCAGTAATCAATCAATTGTAAATGTGTTGTATATGCCTAGAAATTACCTACCTCGACGGGCGATGTTAACTGGTATAGGAAGAAAAGAAGAAAGGGTAGTTAAATCAAAATGTGGAATCATTTCATGGAATCCCTAACTGTTGGTTTGAATCATATTTTTAGATAGAGACTCACTGTTTGTAGTTCAAGTAATAGCTCATATTTATTAGTTGGAGATATTGATTGATATGTAATTCAGGATCCGGTCACCGTCACACAACAGAGGCATTGATTCCTTGTCTTTCCCCTTATATTTTGATTTTAAAAAGTAGCTTACACTTTTCATTTCACGAATTCATTCTTTTTATATTGTATTGTCTATACCTGATCATTTATAATTACCACAGATACTGTTACGTTAACTTCTACTACTCTAATATTTGTTTGGATAAACTCACTGCGCTGTATTAATATGTTATGTCAACTTGAACTAATACACATGCATGTACCAGGTTCTACGTTTTTTTAATGATTGACTGGCTGGTTGAATATACACTAGTCATTTCTGTTTAAACCTTTTTGCTATTGTGTTTTTTAGTCAGCAGTAGATTGGAATCATATTGAAGTGACTGAAAAGCATACATCACAAAAAGATTATGCAAAAGGATTTGGTGGTAAATATGGTGTTGAACGAGATCGTCAAGATAAAGTAAGTTTTTAAATATGATCATTTGTAAAATAAGTTGGAGTTATTCCGTTGTTGATGTATTAAGTCTTTGTTAACATGTGTATGCAGTGCGGAGTAGATGGATTATAACTTGTAGTCGAATTGAAAACACGTGTTTCACACTATATTTGCGACTTGTCAGCTAGATGTAACTGTATTTTAGTTTTGGTGTTTACATTTGAACTCGCTAGACAAGTTAATGGAGTTCCAATGTAAACATCAATACTAAGATGCAGGTACATCTAGCTGACAAGCCCTAAATAGGACGAAATGAATGTGATAGATTTCATTGAAAAACATAATCCATTTATTCTATTTTTCAAAAATGAATAATATTTGTGCGAACAACTGTTTTGAATAACTTCATCATCATGTTCTACAATTATAAGTTCATAATTTTCGTGATCTTTTACCAAGACCAAACTAAGGCATACATTAATGAATTTAACAATGTTATATGTTAAAAATGCTGAATGTTTTCACCTGTTACGATATAAATACTTCAAAATTGTGTTACTTGTAAATTTGAAAGGTCATTTAATAAATATCAGAATGGGACTCTTCAGCAGTGCGCATCCACAATCCCTCACGGCTGAGGAGTCCCATACTAGGACGAAACGGCCGTCCAGGTTTTCAGTGGTGGTCTGACATTGATCAGTTCATAATCTCAATTAAAAAACTCAACAATCTCCACAATACTATGCTGATAAATGTCAGAATGATTTGTAGTAGTGTCAAGTCATTATCAATACCATGGTAATATAATAAAAAATCATATGAATAAAATGCATAGTAGGAGAATTTCGTCTTGTTGATCGAGGTAATGATAATATAGTTGTGTGAATATAATAGGTAATAAGAGGGGTGTTATCAAGGTAAATACGGTAAAAAAGAATTCATGCTAATTGGGAAAGATGAATGTGAAAATTAAGAAAGATGTAACCTAGAAAAGAAAGGGAGGGGGGATAAAAGGTTTATAATATTCAGTTTAGGTGTCTGGTGATGCAGTCGTAAGCCGAGTTATACATATAGGCTGGATATACCTCTCCTGGATACATAAGTTGATCTTTCTGGAGTTGATCCAGATGGCTTCAGCTATATAGAGTAGCTGTAATCCAGCTCTTTTAGGTAGATTCTTTGGGACTTGATCTAAAACAAAGAAAGCTTCATCTATTTTAATATGATTTTCACTATCTACCAAGTGAGATAGAATGGTACTTTTAACCGATTTAGTGACTTTTTGTCAACCATGCTGTTGCATGTTGACGAAAACACAAGGATAAAGCCCTCTGAGTAAGGCCTATCTAACTAGGTCCACAGTAGCAGTTGAATTGGTATATGCATATGGTGGAGCTCATCATCGGTAACCTATCGTTGATTTGTTGTTGTATTGGTTTAGTTAAAAAAATTATATGTAACGTGGCTGCGTGAAACGTCCTTTCAACAGGTCTTTTGAGCTGACGTGTTAAAATGTCTCCTTTAAAATCCAATTTCAGACACAGGGTTTTTTTACTGACCGAGTCACAGTTTCTTTTTTTAATACCTTCTAATAGGAATTTTCTGACGAAATTATCTGGATAACCGTTATTTCTTAGTGTGTTCGTTAGTATATCTATTTTGCTGTCTACTCTATCTTCAGAACCTAATAGCCTGATTCTGTGGCTGAGGCATTTAACCAAATTTATTTTGTATTGAAGAATTGTAAAGTTATGGAAACGGGTATACTACTGACCCGTCCATGTATTCTTTCTAAACACATTTCTTCTTATGAAACCATCTATTCTCTTCGCTGGTCAGTAACTCTTCTTATCTAAGACGAAGCCAAGGTACTTGATCGGATACATGAAGGACAGAAACTTTTCTTCAAGTAGTCAGGAACCATACTCCATCAATCGGTTAAAAACTTGGTGTACACATATTTGTTTGTTTCATCATGTTGAGCGATTGCCCAATCACATCTGTCTTTGTTTGTGATAACGTATTTATATCTCCATTTACTTTATTCTGTTTTAATTAACCAATAAATCGCAAGTCATCTGTTGGTTGGGATCATAAAGAAGCCGTAGAAAAGCATTCATCACAAAAAGATTATTCAGTTGGATTCGGCGGAAAATTTGGTGTACAAACTGATCGACAAGATAAGGTAAATAAAAATAAGATGTAGATAGTTTATTTATGTGTGTGTTTTTTCCCCATCAGTTGTTTAATGTTTTTGATTTGTCAAGTTGAAATCATGAGTCAATTGAAGCTAGACCACCATAGAAAACCTGGAAGCACTGGACGGCCGTTTCGTTCTGGTATGGGACTCCTCAGCAGTGCGTATCCACGACCCCGCACCTCGAGGGATTCGAACCCAGGGCCTGCTGGTTTCGCGCACGAGCACTTAACCATTAGACCACTGAGCCGGCATCTGACGGTGTTAATGTCTAACTTCAACCAATCCACGAAGTGTGTTTAAAGTTTATGGAAGCATATAGTAATAGACTGGCCTGAGTCAACACCTGAACTAAGGATAGGGAGTGGAGTAGTCGAACGCGTCGGAAACTTAACTAATCTTGGAAGTCTGATCAATCCTATTGGGTCGGTGTCTGACGAAATCTCTGCATGGATTCAGAAGGCTCGTTTGGCTTTCGCCAACTTACGTCACCTATGGCGAAGACGAGATATCCGTCTATTAATTAAGGGACAAACATACTGCTCAGCAGTTCGTTCTGTTCTCCTTTACGGCTGCGAACTGTGGCCATTAAGGGTAGAGAATACTCGTAAGTTACTAGTATTTGATGACAGATATCTTAGAAATATTGTTCGCATCTGCTAGGATGACCGGCTAATTAGTAATGGTGAGGTTAGATGCAGGTTATTATGGAATGATGGCAAATCAGTTGATGAGGTTGTGAATCTTCATCGACTGAGATGGTTGGGTTACGTATTACACATACCCAACCACCGATTATCACGACGCGTAATGATCACTATTGTTGGAGACCGATGGAAGAAAGGTAAGTGCGGTCAAACCAAAACGTGGCATCAGTTCCATAAAGTCACTAACGTTTGATCTGAGTCATGATGGTAGATGGGGACTACTTGGTTGTGGTCCGTGCGACTATCGTGACCAATAGTTGGAGACTCTGAGTGACGTGCTTCAGAGTCGATCACATTGGCTTAGGTGTATACACTCTTTGTTTTCCCTTAAACCTTGAGATTAATGTTACTTTATACCTTTCTTTCTACGAACTGATTCTTTCTTCTTGTACTATGTCCTTATATGCAATCTTTTTATATACATTACTATCATTGAAGTAACTGCTTCTATGAATTCGGTGTTCATCTTGTTGTTTTAATGGTGTATGGCAACTTGGACTGATGCATATATGTACCTGGTCCTACGTTTTAGATGACTGACTGACTGATGGTGATGGACATAAAAACTGTAGTAGGGATGTGAATCACTCAATATTGAAAGCAGTTGGTTGGATTAATGTAACATTTTTGTTTTGGTAAGGATTTATAATTTCACGTTGTTGAGATCCATCCCTCTTGTCAGATGTGTGGATCTTGAGCGAATTACTTCGATTATAGTTTTTACTTACAAGTTATAGTATTTTTTTATATTTGGCTAGCAGTAGAACCTAGGACAGCTGTTTCATCGTATTTAAGACTTATCAGTTATATATATCTTTCCAGTGTTACTGTTCACATAATGATATTATCCAGTTTCATAGTTTAAAATGTTAGTTACCATAGTTATTGTTCAGTGCTCCCTTCATTGATGTTCTTCCAATTAGCAATAATTCTCTTTTTTATAGTACTGTCGTAAAGCTTTTGTCTGTCTGCCTGTCTGTTTATTTTTTAATGTAGTCAGCCTTGGGTTGGGATCATCATGAACAATCCAGTCATCATCCATCACAAGTGGACTATTCCAAAGGATTTGGTGGTAAATTCGGTCTACAGACAGATCGAGTTGATTCATCATCAGTTGGTTGGAATGATGTTAATCAGACAGAATCACATCCATCACAAATGAAAGGTACATGTGTGTCTGTGTGATATAAGTTAGATTTGTTTACTTCTTGTGTTGATCCTTTTATCTTTATTGACAGAATATGCAATGGTGTGTCCACATTTTCATGTTAGATGTCTTCAAAGCATTGCTGGGGTGTTGAATAAAACAACCGGATGGGTAATGCTAAAGTTTAGATGCATGGTACTAGACAGATATGATAATTCACTTAATAAAACCATAAGCCTTCATTAACCGAAGTGGTCGGGACATATGTTAAGTATACCGAACAACTGCCTACTTCGACGCACGATGTTAGCTCTTGTAGGAGTAAGCTGGAAGAAAGGTGTGTAAGGCTGACCAAACCAAGACTTGGAATCAGTTCATGTAATCATTAATCGTTGGTGTAAGCCTTGTTTATAAATAGAAATCAATGGGATGTGGCCTATGCGCTTATAGTGATCTTGAGTTATATTCCAGCTTAAAATCAACTACAGTAGTTCAGAAATAAATTCATCTTTCATTTTCATTCTAGATGTTCAGTCCCAGTTTTCCTTTATCTATATCTTTTCATTCTTCCTCTTCGAACTATATTCTTTATGTCTAGTTAATTTTACTCACTGCCATTTTTATCTTGATCTCTTTTACTAATCCTCTCATTCATCTCATTTTGTATATCTGTACAACTATATAGTACAGTATAAGAACTTGAGTTGACCCATTTTTTATTTCTATTTGACTAACTGATTAAATGTGTAGTCACAGTACAGGTGATGTGTAAAAGATATAACAACTTGAATTTCGTGTAATTCGTCTCTCTTAATCATTTATAATGTCAAGTAAATTTGATAGTTGAGACGTTAATGGGTGACTTCTAGTCTAAATATCATGCAGCATTGCATACAACTTGATCAACATTTCAATAAGCGTTCGTGCCCTAGACCGAAGTTCCTGGATCCGAATTCCGCGTGAAGGATCGATCGTGGATGTGCACTGATGAGGAGTCCCATTCTAATACAAAACGGCCGTCCAGTGCCATTCAGTTTTGAATGGTGATCTAGCTTAGATCAACTCATGAATTTCCTTTTTATCTCTTACTATTTACCTTATTTCATCCCTCCCTCCTTACCCACAACATTAATAATCAACTTAATTTTAGCGTCTATTTTCAAACCAGACGGTAGTTTAAGTAATATACGTGCACGATTTGAACAGGGAATTAATCCGAATAATGTAAAGGATTCATCTGGTTTAACTATCGCTCAACAACGCGTTCTTGAAGAACAAACTCGATGGAATGCTGAACGTAAACAACAACAGCAACAACGCGAACAACAGGAAGATGAAGAACAATCCAGAGGAAAGTCAGGATCATCTGATACAGTTAAATCGGTAAATAGGGATGTTTATTTCAATTTTTACTATTGATTTCATTAAGTTGAGTCCCTTATTTTTTTAAAGAGAAATACTCACTTTTTGGGTACAATCTATTATATATGTATGTATACATATGTTAACTCAGGTACAGGACATCACTCTAACTTGAAATATTTACGATTGAAGTGTTAAAGAGATCACAGTTGATTGCCTATGTTTTGTTAATAAACTGATAATTATCATGTGCTCATTAGTGACTAGCTTCAAGAGGTAATTCTCGGAGTTATAGTGAGAAACTGTGACCAATGGAGTTCAATCTGTGTTGGGTATAAAAAATTATCCACTGAAGACAATAGAAGATATTCGCGCAATATTGTAGATTGGTTGAAGTTAAATATTAACACTATTGGATGTCACGCTCAGTGGTTTAGAGAGGTTACGCGTTTATGCATAAGACCGAAGGTCCCAAGTTTGATTCCTGCGTGTTGAATCATCGATACGCACTTCTGAGGAGTCCCATACTAGTACGAAATAGCCATCCAGTGATTCTAGGTTTTCCATCGTGACCTAGCTTTAATCAACACATTTTATCCATTTTCAGTATTGTACTATTTACAAAACAAAATATGTGTAATATTTATGTCTTTTTTCTTTCACTTTCATTTTTGTTTGTTTGTTTCTCCAGGTATCAAATACTTCTGTTGTTACTGATACTATTAAACTAACTAACAATAATACCATTCATGATCATAATTGGAATAAACAAGTTGACTCTGAAAATAACATGAAATCATTACATTCACAGGAATTTACAACTTTTATTGAATCTAATCAATTTAATAATAATAAATATAATCAGTTAGAAGATAAAAATGAACCAAGAACTTCCAGTGAAAGTCATGTAAGTGTTTGTTTTTATTTTCTTCTTAAACTTTATTTCAATGGTTGAGATCATGAGTTAATTGAAGCTAGACCACTATGAAAAACCTGGTAGCACTGGTCGGTCATTTCGTCCTATTGTAGGACTCCTCCGTGGCAGTGTGCATCCACGATCCCGTCTGGCGAGATTCGAACCTAGGACCTATCAGTCTCGCGTGCGAGCGCTTAAACACTAGATCACTGAGCTGGCTGGAACCCAACGGTATTAATGTCTAACTTTGATTGACTCATGATCTCAACCATTGAAATGACTATATAGTATCCACAAAAAACCCTTCTGATATTCCCATATGATAACTAATTTTCTGTTAGTCATGTTGAAGGATTGATATTTATAGCAAATAATTTAACCTATCAATAGAATACAAGTTAATATATAAGTATGTTAGATAGGTTGGAAGTAGTCGAGATGAAACTATCGACTTAAGTTTCATGTTAGCCATTATTCATCAATAACATGAATGCACAGTTTTGTGGACCAGCTGCTAATTCTTTATGGGATTTGAAGCCGAGTTAATCAGATCCCATATTCTTAGATGTCACAAATTCTATTCTTTGTTTTTTTAAAAAAAGCCCCCAAATGCCCTGGTACGGCCGAGAGTGGGGAGAGTCCGCTCTCCCTCTCGAAATACTCTCACACGGCCACGCGTATATAGCCTCTGCCAGGGGAGTCCTACTCACTGCCTTCTCGTGGCGGGGGTGTTGTTTACGAAAATGAGAGGACGAAAAGCGAACGTCCGGCGCTTTAACCGGATTCCAAACCAATGGTGCACATGGGCTCCAGTATCCTGCGGGAACAAATGGTGTATGAACCAATTGGTGGTCACCGGCTTCCATGGGACTGCATCTCCTTACGATGCTCCACTGCCTTGTGGATCAGACATTCAGGTCGAAGGCTCGGGGTGTGGCCCCTTAAGAAAACCACCTGTTTCGGTTTGGGCACCCGGGCAGTATCACAGCCCTCACACACATATCGAATGAGATTTGTGTGGCGCATATGTATTTGGTGCCTCTTTGTACCATTATCTATGTGTTGAAATAAAAAATAAATAATAATAATAATAGATGTCACTATTGAACTGTTTTAATCGTTACTGACCTCTTATAAGACTGAGATATTTGTATTATTTGGTCACTGAGTACTGATCAATATCATGTTTTTTCTAGCCTTTTATTACTTACTTACATACTTACTCCCAATGGAGCATAGGCCACCTACCAACATTCTACAACTCACTCTCTACTGGGCCTTCCTTTCTCGTTCCATCCAATTGTTGTGCATTCTTCTCATGACTGCCTCCATTTCTCGGCGTAGTGTGTTCTTTGGTCTTCATCTTCTCCTTTGGTCTTGAGGATTCTATGTGAGGGCTTGCCTTGTGACGCAGTTGGGTGCTTTCTTCAATGTGTATCCTATCCACTTCCAGTGCTTCATCCTGATTTCCTCCTCCACTGGGATCTTGTTTGTTCTCTCCCACAGTAGGTTGTTGCTGGTAGTGTCTGGCGAACAGATCCGAAGTATTTTGCGTAGAGAGCTGTTAATAAACATTTGTATCTTGTGGATTATGGCTTTCGTAGTTCTCCAACTTTCCGCCCCATACAGTAGAACTGCCTTTTATAGTACTTGTCAAGTTATTTAAAATGCAGCCATTAGTCTAACTTATTTGATATCATGTGCGCCAAAGGATTAGATAAAGAAAAGACATTAGCCACTGCTTAATGGTCAATCCGTGTTCATATACGTGTATAATGAATCCTACGGAGGTGGAAGTCAGTACCAACCTTAAATAAATTGATAGTAAATGACCTTGACTGTGATCACGAGGTGTGTAGTACGTGTTAAATATCGTATGTATGTATGTGTGTGAAGGAATATCTTTTCAGTTAATAGCTCGGATATACCTTGTTGGCCAATGCCAACTAGTATGTAACTTGAGTCTAGGACATGGTGTCAACTGTCTTTAATCATCGAACACATGTTAACAGTGTATACATTAGACTGTTCAACCATACTTTCACGTAGAATAGCAGCTCAAAAGTCACATCATACAGTATTAGGTAAGTAACCAATATCACTCTTAGAGTTAAGTAATACTGCTAATAGTATTAGTAGCAAATGAGGACAAATGCAACATTTACAAAATAAATTGAGTCAATTACGAGAAATATTACATTTAACAAAGTGGGTGCCCCTTTCAGGTACACATAAATGAACATAGATTAGCAGTTAGACGACATAATATACTACCAATGATGTCAATGGATGGAAAAAAACATGGGGATAGATTTGATTGGTGAAACGTCAACATATTAGGTAGAAGAAACTTCAAGAATGTCAGAGAATCTCTAGAAGCATGGGATTCAGATCAATTATCAATCAAAAGACACATCGAAATTGATCCAATCTATGAAATCATATGGAAGAAATCAGTGAGTCACTAGGCCAGAGGTCAACCAATAAAATCAGTCAAGGTGAGTACAGAGACAAATAAAAACAACAAGACTTACGAAGATAGTTAATTACGGACATGCTCGATGGAATGAAGCAATACAACACTTGTGGACTGACTGGAAAGCTCACTTCTGCATGAGGTAGATGCTGAAAATATTGTTCAGAAAACTCAACACTACCAATTTTGGGAACCTTTATTTATCAGTTATGAAGTGACTTTTGACTGATGTAATATTCAAATTTGTCATTCGCTCTTTACCACAATTAATCAAGGTCGGCTCTACTTGCAAGAATATTACATCAAACAAAACACCTACATATATAAACATGAGAAAATTCTGCCATCGTATTTACACACTTCATGCATCCATACGCCTTCAAGGTCACTGTCCGTATGTAGTGCTCAAGTTGATTAAAGCTAAGAGTTATTCATCAGTATTAATCAATGCATGCCCCTAAATGCCTTGGTACGACCAAGAGTGAGAAGAGTCAGCTCTCCCTCTCGAAATGCTTTCACATGGCCACGCGTATGCCGCCATTACCAAGAAAGTCCTGCTCACTACCTTCTCGCGGCACCGGTGTTGTTTACAGAATTGAGAGGAGTAAGAGCGAATGTCCGGCACTTTAACCGGTTTGGTGGGTACGGATGATACACCTAGGGAAGTTGGAAATCCCTGATTCCAAACCAGTGGTGTACATGGACTCCAGGATCCTGAAGGAATAAATGGATTATGAACCCATTGTTGGTCACCTGCTACCACGGGACTCCATCTCCTTGCGTTGCTCCACTACCGTGTGGATTATACCTCTAGGTCGAAGGCCTGGGGAGTGGGGCTGCCTAAGATACCTATTTGATTCGGTCTGGGCACTCGAGGAGTATTCCAGCCTTAACACAAATCGAATGATTTGTGTGGCGCATATGTATTTGGTGCCTCCTTGTACCAATATCTATGTGTTCAAATAAAATTAAAATAAAAAGTGGCGCATATATCTTTGTTGCCTCGTTGCACCAATGTTTGTGTTTAAATAAATAATTCAATACATATTAAATTTTGATTTGAATTGCGCCAATCAATCAGTCTATCGTCCACCTGTCATTAATACTGACACTGATTTCGAAGTATTTTTCTTAATGTAAGGTGATGTTTATTTGTTCGTTTGTTTCACATAGGTACATGATAACCCTGTCGCCAGTGATGATCAGGTTCCTGAAATGTTTACGGTAACCGCTATGTATGATTATGAAGCCGGTAAGCAATTCTGATCCATTTGTCTGAATATATATATAGTCATTATAAGTCGTGTTAAACGTCAGTTGTTGACAGTATAGACTCTTGTCCTCATTTATTTACATTTACTTGTTACTCATCTATACTGAATATTTATAGATTTAAAAAGAAACTATTGTTTACTTATCAATTATAAATCATGTATCTTTCACTAGCTTGAAGTTTGTACGATCACTTATACATAAGCTAATATGATCCATCTATTATCCGTTTCCAGGACCCAAATTGTTTGATAACTACATTGTCTATCTTAACCAGTGACAATTTTTGTTTCATTCTAAGGGGGGGTAGTGTTTTACTCGTAAGTATTATACTTGTTGATCATCGCTTAGTTGTTAAAATTCTCGTAGATCTTCAAATCATAAATCAGTTAATTAATGAGTCGTAGCTAATTTCAATATTATTCATTAGTTAAAATGAAAAAAAATTTCATTTGTTTAGCATGCTAATGTTTCTTTGTTGCTTCAACTTTTTCCAAGCAAATATCTTATTGACCAACTTAAGATATCTGTACATAAGTTGGAGGGCTCTCTCTGTGTGTGTAATGAGCGTGGTTTAACCGTACAGCTTTCACTGATTGCCTTTCTAGACAACAATATCATCAGTAGTGTACAAGATCCAGATAAAGAGAATTAACCTGTGAAATCTTCTTAATAACTAATAGACTAACACCTTGCTTTTGTTAAAAATTGAATTTCAAATAAATAGCTATTCAAATCAAACATCAAATCATTACTTATTTATTTACACCTGTAACTCCTCGTGAAGAAGAAGCATAGACCACCCACCAGTATATCAAATCATTAGGAATGACCGGTCAAAATAGATGGTATACAGATAAGATGACGGGAAAACTGTCAATATTAATAATCATCAATGTTGATTGAACGAGTTAATGATAATTATTTACTTACTTTTTATCATGTAATATTTCTGTGCTACTGATGATGATGTTATCCGAAAGGACAATGAATACTTCGTGATGAATTTCCTTCCTATTACAATTCAGAGGGTCCAACTTTATCAAAATAGTATTATTCATGTTTATGAATTCTACAATGTTTTTTAAATCGAACTAAATGTCTTTTATACATATAAATAGTATGAGAATGTGTTTTGTGGAGATTTTTAGAAATTTTCACAGATTGAAATCATGAGTCAGTTGAAGCTAGGACAAAACGGCCGTCCAGTGCTTCCAGGTTTTCAATGGTGGTCTAGCTTCAACTGACTCATGATTTCAATCTGAAAATATAAATAGTAGTTGTTTAAAATCAACTACACTGGTCAAGGTAATAATTTAGACTACTGAGAAATAATACTTATAATTTGAAGAAAATATTTGAATTTTGTAAACAAGGATGTTAAATCAAGAGAAACTATTGACCTGTCAAAGATGATCATATGAATTAGTATGTGTATCACTCCACCTGTAGCCCTTCTAGACTATACATATGAGGGGAGAAAGGTCAATCGGGACTCCAAATGATTCTTCAAAGTTCTCTGAGTTTAATTCTTAATTGGCTTTTTCATTGAATCAGTGAAATTCTCGTTGGATTCATCAACTTAAGAGTTTAATAATTCATTTTGAGTTAACTTCACCTCAGTAGTATGGTCAGTTAACTCCTTCTGTATCTACTCCAGAACTAGCTGCTCTCAGTTCTAAACCCGGTTACAGGAGAGAGATTGGGCGTAGGGTTATCAGTCTCACATTGCGAAAGAATAATCTTGCTACAAAACCGCTTCCTAGAAAAATATGAATTAAACTCTCCCCCTGCTATTTGAAAGGTCTTCATATAGTGCAGTTATGACGCCTCATGATGAAAGGTGAGAGTCTTCAGAAGCAACGAAACTTACTGCTCTTCTGATAATGAATGTATCAGTTACATTGCTTCTGTCGATACGTTTTTTCAGGATATTCAACAAACACTTGGGTGTTGCAGTCTCAGTAATAACAAGTTTTATCACGAACTGGTCTTAGCTAAATAACCATTGAAAACCAGGAAGCACTGAACAAAATTTTCGTTGTAGTATAAGACTTTTCAAAGGAGTAATTATACTCTAGACCGCTTAGCCTAGATCCAATAGTTTACAGGTATAATTCCAATCACTTTGCGACACCGCTCGACAATCTCCCATTGCCTTCAGTAGATAATTGCTTTACACACTTGATGTGATTGAATTCTACTTGTCACAACTTCTTTTTAGAACTCTTAAAATTTCATCCTTTGGGTACCGGTGAACGCATAGTTATTGCTACTGTATGGAGGCCTATAGGTTAGGTGGTTGCTGCGAGCCTTGGATTCAATCCCTGGTGCATTTTCAGTGGTTGTCTAGTTTAAATCAGTCCGTAATGTGAAACTGCAAAACTCAACAACCTATACAAACCCCTCTCTATTAATGACAATCAATGATTGGTAATTTATGTGATAGAATCGAAAGTACCAGTCAACACTCAGCGAAAAAACGTAAAGTTGACTAATCCGATTTGGTCGGATGCATAGAAGTTACCTCAAATGATAAGGAAACATTGCTTAGCTTAAATTATGGACTGATCTTAGCTAGACGACTATCGGAAACCTGACAGCACTGAAAGACCGTTTTTTTATAGTAAGATACTCCCCAATAATGCGTATCAAGTCAAAGATCTTCGGTCATGCTCGAGGTCACTTCACGTATAGACCATAAGAATGTATTTGTCTGACAATCATCTGAGAAAATATGGGAAAGGGAGTCATTCGAAAAATATTGGTTACTCATAAGTAATATAGTTGAAGTTCTACGAATTTCACACTTCAATTTTGATAGTTAAAATTCGAAATTTATCTAACGATAAGTATACAACTCCCCAACCTCGTTCAATCATTTCCCATTGATACTTATTTAACAATTTACTTATAATTGTTTATCTATATTCTTTTCAAGTTTCTTTCTTTCTTTGTACATTAAGCTGAAAATGATGAATTGACATTTAAAGCTGGTGAAACAATTACAGAGGTTGAAAAAATCGATGCAGGCTGGTGGAAAGGTGTTTGTCGTAATAAAGTTGGTCTATTCCCTGCTAACTATGTCAAATTAGAATGATTAATGATAAACTTAAGGAATAATTAGTGAAATTCATTAATAATTGAGTCTTAATTGTCCACGATTTCTGTTGCTGTTGTTGTTCGAATCCAGATAAACAAACCATCAAAAAACACTCAATACATTGAATTCATTTTCAGCATTAACTTTTACTATTTTTGATATTTTGTGCTCAATTTTCAGGAATCTGTGAAGTGAATTTTATATTTTACAAAACATTTAACATAAGTTGATATCAGCTGTGTGTATGTTAGATGTTTGGATTGTTCTCTCTCTTTCAATTGTCATAGATACAATTCTTATTTGATTTAATGGAAGAGTTTTCTTCTTTTTTTAAAGATTTTGTTCAGTCTTTTATGATTTGTTTTTGTTATTCATAACTTGTAATCATGAACTTTCTATAGTGATTTTTATGCATGGATGATTTAACTTTTTATGTTTTGTTTCTTTGATTAAGCCTGTAACTTTTGCCTAGTGTTCTTTTTTTTAAAAAATATATTTTGCCTACTGATAATATAAATAAGTAGTTTTCATTGTTGAGTTAGTTTTTTTCTATCAAGAACTTTTGGCGAAAGCATACCACATTCGGCGATTCTCGAAGTAATCTTACGAAAGTAAAACTAATTTTTTAACTAATTAGAATACAGAGTTATGTTAGTGAATAATTTATCACGTGAAATCCCGAAAAAAAAACAAGATTTAGGGTCAGGACGCGGGGTTAACAGTAGGGGATCAAATTTATGGTTAGGGTTAGGATTAGTAAAAATATACTATAGTGACTTCTTTAGATGATTTCAAGTGTCACTTTTAGGATAACCAGTCAAGAATATGTATTCAGAATGCAGATTTCATGTAGGTCCTAAAATATTTTAAGGAATGGTGAATTGTCATAGTATTAGTATACTTATTATCAATAATGAACTGATCAGTGCTAAGTAATCGATAATTAAGGCTACAAATCATAGTAATGTAAGCCTGATAGACATTAGATTTTAACGCTAGAGGACCCTATGTATTAAGTCTGACTTCCTACCCTCAAACGTCTCGATCATAGCTCTTAAACTTAAAACTCCCAGACTACAACTACCAACACCAATACTCATGATCTTAATCCTAAAATACCATTCTTAACAGTTCATTCCGCAAAGGAACCGTTATCCAATCCTTTAGAAGTACGAAATATTGTGAGAATCGTGAACTCTTGCAGAGATGTATCTGCAACAACGTTTTAGATTCGTACGTTGGTTAACTTCATTTTGACTGGTCGCTTAGTGCCATCAGTGCAGTATAGTCTCATACTCAGAAGAAACAACTATCTAGTACTTCATGGTTTTCCATGGTGATGTAAACTACAAAATTTAACACAAACATCGTCCAGTAAAAATGTCAAAAATGCGGCTGGTAAACTTTCTAAACCCACTTTTTCTCCTCATATTCGAAACAATATCCTCGATAGATTTTTTGTTGGGTCGGCTTCCTAGAACTACGATGGAGCCTTCAAAGGCTCTAAAGAAACCGAACAGTTCCCATCTAATCAGAACTTGATGGAGTTTCTCCTAGAATACTAACTTGGTATGTTTCTATTGGACAGTAGCACAGTATTACCTCTTTGCGAATTGGCTAAATTATAATGTTGATATTGATAAATACTCATGATTTTCTGTACATTTTAATTCCTGCCCAACAAACTATTCTTCTGCTTTTTATTTTGCAACTGTAGAGTTCTATACATTCGACATGCATTAGTTGCATACCATATTCTGAATTAATCACAATAATGAACTTTAACAGTTTTCTTGGTATAGAAAATAAAACAAAATGGAATTTATAAAACAAGTAAGCAATTTGTTTATAATTTTCTTTTCATCATTAATTATCAAATACTGATTCGATAGAATTTTACAATAGACTCATGTTTTTTGTTTGTTTTGTTTTTGGTGAATGAACAGAACAAAAACAAAAATCGATATTCTTTGGTGATGTAATCAAATCACATTGTTCACATATTGATTTATTTAGATAATTTTGTATATATATTGTTTCTAGGCAACTTTATTTTCATGTATATACAAATTGAATATAAAAAGGGGACAATTTAGAAGATATATAGTTTGGACTGGTTATATTATACATTTTTTCTAGTGAATGAAACTATGTAAATCTGTTGATCTGGTAGGGTTGAAGATTATATAATAACACTTTAAGTTGTTACTTTTTAATACTACCACTAGTACTACTAATAATAGTAGTAAGTAGTATATAAGCAACATTAAAATTTAACTGTATTTCTATGTGTAACATTCAATAAGATGTATTAAACATGGTGGAGATATCATATCTGTATTATTATGTTTATGAAAACATTCTAACCAATTCATTGTATGCCATGGCCATGTTGATAGAATCCAATTGGTTGGATCAATACAATTTATCGGTTGTTTTATTGATTTCTGATGATGATTAGACCATTGATCAATAACACTTTTTATTATTTTTACAATTTGATTATTCCATAAATCAATAAACCATAATTCTGAATTGATAAAATCATCATGAAATGGTAAAGATAAAAATATTAGTGGATTGATCAAATGAAATTGATGCGGATCTTCTAATGTAGTTTCATGATAATGATTATGTAATTCTATTAAGAATTGATTTAAATAATTGAGAACCTGTGAGAAAAATAGGAAAAAAACATTTTTTCCGTCAGCTTGAGGTTGTGGAGATTATTAATTTCTTCGATTGAGATCACGAACCAATTGATGTTAGACCACCTTTGGAAACCTGGAAGCACTGGACGGCCATTTCGTCCTATTGTGGGACTTCTCCGTGTCAGTGTGCATCCATGATCCCGTTCGCGGGATCCGAACCCAAGGCCTTCAGTCTCGCGCGCGAACGCCTAACCTACTGAACCACTGAGCCGGTATCTAGTGGGGTTAGGGTCTAATCTCAACCAATTCACGAAATTGCGCGACCATCTTCCTTTGCACTGAGGTAGATACCTGTCTCTACCCGACACGGATTAGCTCCACTGGTCACAGCTTCTCATTAGAACTCCGAGAATTCCCTCACGAAGTTAGTCACTAGTGAGCACATGTTAATTATCAGTATACTGGTTTTGGAGATTATTAATTTCTTTGATTGAGATCATGTATTTTCAATGATTACGTAATCCATTTTATTAAATCTTGAAATCATCCCTTCAATTAGACAGTTCCATCCATTTGATTCCTTTAAATTATATGTGATCTCTTAAAATTCTATCCAATTATTACGTAACCCATTTTACGGAATTGTTAAACCACTCCTTCACTCATACATTTCCACTCAGTCGATTCTCTTAAATTATATGTGGACTCATCAAATTCTGTTCAATGGTTACATAATCTATTTTACCAGTTGTTTTTTTAAATTCCATGAGTCTTATGTGAACTCTTTATTACCTCTAAAATCATTATTATTAAATAATTTATCTTATCTGTCTTTGAACTCCACTACCATTATTAGGACTTATCTCAGAAGCACTGATACACAGATTAGAATCGTCGATTTTACCAGTGATCAAGTCAAAAATTTGGATTCGTTATGTGGACGACATATTTGTTATTATCAAAAAGGAAAATACTCACAGTCTGATCAACAACATGTTTGATGACATTATGTTCACAATGGAACAAGAATCGAACAACAAACTACCATTCTTGGACGTACTGATCACTAGAACCAACAAAGTAACACTGGACACTTAAGTACATCCGATCCATACAGATCAAACTCTCAACTACAATAGTAACAACTCAAGAGCCCACAAAACCAAATGCGTACAAACTATGTTCAAAAGGTTGAGAACATACTACAACACATTCGTGGCACGAGAAGGTGAAGAAAAATACCCGAAAACCATTTTTCAAAAGAATGGCTACCCAATTAACTTCAACAAAAAATACCAGCCGCAAGCATCACTAGGAACAAAGTCAAGTACAGAAATCAACAAAAGGATCACCCTACCATACATGAAAGGTATATCAGGAACGACATCGAGACTGTTGAAAACATTTGGAATAGATGTTGAATACAAACTAACAAAATTGCCACAAGCAATCCTTTACTAAACCAAAGGATGAAATGACTAAAGAAGACAAACCAAACATCATCTACGAATTAAATTGTGCCAACTGCGAAAGACACTACATCGGACAAAACGGACGCCCTCTTCATCTTCGCCTGAATGAACATCAATTAGCGGTTAAACGCCATGAGACATCCTCACTTATATCAATGCATGTAGACAACTGCGGACACACATTATACTGGGCAAATATAGAGGTTTCAGAGAGATGTAATTTCAATAACACCGGATAATTTTTAAAAGCTTTGCACTCAGATCAATCGGGAATCAACAAACACATTGGAATCGATCCAATTTATCAACCAATCAGGAAAAATATGAACAAACATAGGAACAAAAATCAAACCAACCGGAGATACAAGCAAATCAGAGAAGTAAAGAATGACAGGTTAAAGGTCAACAAGAACCAATCGACATCGAGGTGTACAGGACAAGCTGTGAACCACATGCGGAGAAATTCGAATACTTCACTTCTACCTGAAGTTTGTGCTGATGATGTCGTTCAAATAAACGACGAACATACCATCCAGCTCAAAGAACAAAACTCAACCAAAAGCAACCTAATTATTACATCACCTATCCCTAATGTTTTCTTGATTGTATCACTAAATAACCTCTGACCTGTTCTTGCACATATATATACAGTTATTATTGATAACCCTTCCCATCCCAATTCTTGATATTCACTTATGTTAATTGTTCCACACTATATCTTACTTCAATGTGAAATTCTAATACAAATTTGGTTGTGAGCAGCTCATAAGAACCTAACGAAATATTATCCTGTATCAATGTTCGTTGTGGGTTTTTTTTTTATTGAAATTCACTTGAATTGCTAGCCATTTTCAAATATTAAAATCATACTGAATCATTATTGGTTGTAAGTGAATGTAGAATAGAATAGTTCACTATGAAACTTTGTTAATATGAGACCTAATCAATGAAACCATACTTATTCAACTTTCTAACTTCAGTCTTTTCAAGATATTGTACAATGATCATCCAGTATCATTAATAAAATCTAATGTAAATAATTTGAAACTATAGACAAAGATGAATAGTGACTAACAGTGGGATCCAGAACCCGGGTTTCGTCCTATTTAAAACTCGTTAGTTGGATGTATCTGCATTGACACTTGGTTCGAGTCCCAGAGAGTGTATATCAACTCTGGGATGCAGTTATATCCAGCTGATGAATTCCAAATATGACGAAACACGTGTCCCGGTTTCCACTGTTAACCAACATCCATCTTCGCTTATAAAGCTTATGACTTAGAGCAATATCGAAGCAGTTCGCAAAGGATGCATAAATACCAATAAGAGAGACTGATCAATTACAAACCTAAATAACAATAGGGCGATTCAAGTTAACAATACCAAATGAATTTGAAACTGCTTTTGTCAAATAAGATATATTAGTAGTATGAATTTATAAGCCAAACTTTTGAAAGTTGGTTGTTTAATTCCCGTCATCACTGTTTACGAATTCAACTGATATATCTCTTATTGGCATATATGTATCCTGTGCAGATTGCCTCGATATTGCCTGAAGTCACGCACATTAAAAGCAAAGATGAATAGTTGCTAGCAATGGAGTCCAAGACATTCGTTTCGTCCTATTTGGGTCCCGTCAGTAGAGATGTACTTGCATTCCAAAGTTGATATTTACTAGACTCAATAGCTAGGTGGATAACACGATGGCATTTGAAGCGAATAGTATTAGGTTCAAGTCCATAAGTGAACATTAACTTTAGAATACAGGTACATCTAACTAACGAGTTCCAAGCAAAACGAAACACACAATCTGGATCCTACTGTGTTACCCATTAATCATCTCTCTTTATAAACATTTGAAAAGAAGGTTTTTTGTTTTCAATTAAAAGTACATACTTGTTGAATCCATTTGATAAGATCTTCATAACATTTCAATTGATTATGAAATTTATCTAAATATTCTTGATCTATTTGATTCAATAATGAAGATGATACTGTTTTATTGAATTGATTAACCAATGAATGAACAAGTTGTTTTTTTAAATCACCTATCATATAAGATTGTTTAAATGAATAGTCTATTTGAATCCAACAAGTTAATTCATTGAAACATTGTACAGATTTATATATACTATTATATTTGTTTGGATATGAGATCAATTTCATATTCATTGATGATGATGTTGTTGTTTGGTTTCGAAGTGGACTTGGGATTGATGATAACGGCAATGATGATGACGATAATGTTTCAATTGAACTATTGTCAACTGATGTTATCCAAGTACCAATTAGATATATTGAACTAAAATATAAATAGGATTCATTAGAGAGAAGAATGATATATGTTATTATTAAATAGTTAATTTGAACAAATGTCTTACATTCCGATCACTGATCAGATAACTTTCATTGAATTCTTTAATAAATTTTGACTGGTTATTGGTGATTGATAAAATCTGAATTGATCAAATGGTTTTGAGATCATTATTGTCAGTCAGTGATGTTATTATTGATATAGGGTTGTGGAGATTGTTGAATTTTGAAAACCGAGAAACATTGAATAGCTATTTTATCTCAGTAAGGGAGTTCACTAGCAGTGTATATTCATGACCCTGTATGTGAGAATCAAACCCAGGACCATCGCTCTTACATGAATAGTAGGATGAAATAGCTGTCCAGTGTTTCAAAGTTTTAAATGATGATTTCAATGAAATTATGTTATTGTTTGAACCAAAAGGTTATTGGTCTGATTCTAATGGGTGAACTCGTGTTTATTGAAATTGATCTACTGATGATTTAAAGTTATGACAAATTCCTCTGTGTTTTATCTTGGACTTTTATTCTTGCTATACCGCAAACAACTTGAGTGCTCGAACGCTAGAGCCCTCTAAGTTGCAAGTTAGAAGATAGAAGAAGAGTAGTAAGGGATCTTATTCTAAACAGTATCAAATATGATACAAAGCACTCAGGTATTTATAGTTTTTAGTAAAGACGAAATCATCATTACAGTCATCCAATCCTCATACAGTGGTTTTTAGCATTTGTCCAATTGGAGAGCTAAACGTTGATATTCTGGAATGTTTTTCCATAAGTTGACTAAATGGAATGCCTTCAACACCTTCAGAGATTCTAAGGGCTTCTTTGAGTTCACTGGTGGTCATCCCTACACTCTGTGTTCCATTCTGTAATGTTTTTTTCCGTTAAAATTTTTCATATAAAATTAGGTGAAAAATTTGTTAATTAACGGAAGAAAACCTTTAGGATTTTTTTTCCGAAGGCTGATAAAACCCTTGAAATATTATTATACAATTGGGTTTTCTTAGTAGCCTTGGATCTGACTCCAATTAAATCGTATGATTGATTGTTGAAATATACATCATGACTACTCTCGTATAAAATTATCGACTTAGATAGCATTGATGGATAACGGGATTAAATAAGTCAAATACAAAATGGATTTCCCATTACATATATTTTGTACACTCATTGATCTGAGCAGGCAATCAGAGGGATTGAGGGAAGAGAAGAGAGCAAAGTGAAATGACGCGCGGTAAAGCATCAATCGATATTTATAGATACGCAAAAATAAGTTACAGACTTGAATCTACCCATTGGTGTTAATGACTGGGTTTGAGTCCCGGAGTGAACATCAACTGTTGGATGCATGTACATCCAGCTGACGAGTCGTAAATAGGTATTATAGCTTATGTCAATTCGTGATGAGAACCCGATATATAATTCCTAACTAAGTCAAATTATGACAATTCTTGGGAACTGGATAATAAAAGCACCAGTAACATTGGCTGCAGCCAGGTACTACAATAAATACAGATGATTGAAGAGCGTACATACATAGTATTGGTTATGTGCATCGTGTCGTTATCCACAAGTAGCATTTTGTGCACTCAACAACTGGAGTGCACATAAACAATATTGAAGCTATGTGGTCGCGGCCGAAAGAGTTTTTGAGACTTTATCATGACTTCAGATGCCGACTATTCTGCAGCCCTATAGATGAGTTTCTCTCCTGCATGCATGACGACTTTAGAATCCCTGAACCTCTTTCTAACCTTGACAAGTTTTTGAACCATGTATAAGAAGTTTATCCACTTTATTTCCTTGGTTTTGTACAATATTTTTACTCTATTCTGACTGTTTGCTGATTGGCTAATATTCTCAAGGTCATTTTAAATTCGTCTGAAGGTCGTTCATAAATTCGAGTTTCGCCAAAAAAAGGGAGGGAGTATTCACAATTTGTTCAATATACAATTTCTCTTAAAAAAATGATCAAAGAGGTAACTATTTGTTTACTTACCATGTTCTATTTGGATCATCTTTCTTTCCATTATAATAAAGTTGAAAATTATTTATAATTTTTAAATAATCTTCATTAGACATTTGATTCATTGATTGAATATAGAATAGAATTATTAAATTAGATGGTAATTGTTCTGTTATATTTAATGGATTATTCATATATTGTGATAAACATTGATATAAATCATTGATTGTAGTTTGTTGACCATCAGTTAAGTTGAAATGATGTAATTTCAATGAAGATGAACTTGAATGATATAGAATAAGAGAAGAAAACAAACATTGATGAAATGAATGATTGATTGATTTATACTTTACTTTTTATTTATTTATTTGAACACAGATATTGGTACAAGGAGGCACCAAATACATATACGCCACATAGATCTCATTTGATATGTGTTAGAGCTGTGATGCTGTCCGGGTGCCCAAACCGAAGCAGGTGGTTGTCATAGGGGGCCACACTCCGAGCCTTCGACTTGAAGGTCTGATCCACAAGGCAGTGGAGCAACGTAAGGAGATGCAGTCCCATGGTAGCCGGTGACCAACAATTGGCTCATACGCCATTTGTTCCTTCAGGATACTGGAGCCCATGTGCACCATTGGTTTGGAATAAGGGATTTCCAACACCCCTAGGTGTATCATCCATACCCACCAACTCGATTAAAGCGACGGACATTCGCTTTTCGTCCTCTCAGTTTCATAAAGAACACCGATGCCGCGAGGCGGTGAGTAGGACTTCCCTGGTAGAGGCTACATACGCGTGGTAATGTGAGAGCATTTCGAAAGGGAGAATTGATTCTTCCCACTATCGGCCATACCAGGACATTTGGGGGCCTTACTTAATTACTTGCTTACTTACTTACTTACTTACTTACTTACTTACTTGACCTTGTTTTTCGCTAAGCATCTTTATGACTTATCGTCAGCTCTTTTGCTGAATTAATCTCTAACCATGTAATATTGAAAGAATACTCGAGTAGGGTATGCCAGTTGATTACGTCCTACTAAATCACTCAATGCTCTCGTAAAATACGAAAATTGTACATTGAATACATCATTTGCATATTTTTTCTCCACCTGTCCTTTACATACCCCATATGTTGTTATTTTGATCGCTTTCTATTTTCTTTTCTTTTCTCTCTATTTCACTTTTCTGTTAGTAAGCATCTCACTTTCAATCCTTCCTACATACTACTTATATCTGTCCTCTTGAGTAGTGTACATCACAATATGATTGACCAAATTTCTTGACATAGATCAAGAGATCAAATTTCTGTGGTTATGTTAATTAATGATAGATTAGCCTACATCACATACTTCTAGAAATGCTCTAGGATTCCTGAAATCTCGATTGAGAATTTTGATATGTTCTCATTTGAAAAAATCCTGAACAGTATGTACATCTCACTACACTGAAGTATACACAAATATAGACTAACAGTGAAGCCTAAAATGTGCTTCCACTTTTAACACAAGCATGAATACAACACAGTTATTACGTAATAAGGTTGATACTAGTTTTTGGAGCAATCTATTAAATATTTCATTCTATTTTGAAACATTTCAATAATGTAAATTAATAATATGCTACAATTAACAGAATAGCTATTATCACTTGGATACTAATCTTTGGTGGTAGTTTCACAATACTACTTATATTCCCTAATAACAAGTAGTTATTTAAAACGAGGATTCGTGTTTTCGCATACCATACCTATTCTAATTATTTTAAGCCAAGATGAATAGTAGCTAACAATGGAATCCAGGACGCATTTTTCATCTTATTTTGGACTTGTCAGCTGAATGTACATGCATCCAAAAGTTGATGTTCACTATGGAGCTCGAACCCAATAGAGTTCGCTTTAAATGACATCGTTTTAACTATGAAGTCCTGATAACCATTTACTTGTGCAATGGTGTGAAGTATAAATTCATTTGGTATTGTTTACTTGAATCTTCTCATTGATGTTTAAAACTGCAATTGGCTATCAAGACTTAGTAGCTAAGTGAATAACACGATGTCGTTTGAAGCAAACGCTACTAGGTTCGAGCCCCAGAGTGAACATCAACTGTTGGATGTAGGTACATCTAGTTGAAGAGTCCCAAATAGGACGAAACGTGCTTCCTAGATTTCACTGCTAGTCATTATCCATCTGACGTATTCGATCCCGTGTCACCCAGCTTCACATTCTGAGAAGTTACCACTAGGCTATCCGGGCCGTAACCGACCCTCCTGTGGGATTGAGATGTAATCACACTAAACTGATCACTGGGTGATGATCAATGTCATGTGTATCAAGTCTTTCTTAGTTCAGATCGAATGCTATAGACCACGTTTCAATGTGGCCACTAGTCTAAGTGACTTTACATCGCGTGCACTATGCTGAGATTAGATGGTGGCTGGAGGTAGTCAACAGGAACGAACGAGCGGCCATATTGCAACTTAGTCGATAGCATGTGATCTGCTTTAAGAAGGACTTGACACACCTGACATTGATCACCACCCAATGATCACTCAGTTGTGATGAAATAAGCATCTTAGATTCTACCATTAATCATAAATGAACTAAACAAAAACACTATAGTTCATAAGTTTAGACAGTTTCATTAACAATTGTACACAAGACAAACTATCTAAAATATAAATTCACTTGGTATTGTTTGGCTTGTATCTTCTCAAAAAGCTTGTGAATTAAGGTAATATCGAGGCATACGCACAGTATGCACATATACCAATAAGAGAGACTGATCGATTTCAGTCTTAAACATGAATAGAGAGATTCAAGTAGACAATACCAAGTGAAATTATTATTATTACATCATATAGGTAATTTGACAAGTATAAATAGCTGGAAAGGCGAGACTATAATTTATGGACGAACCAATCACGTATAAGATAACAGGTCTCGGATTTTGGCACGAAATTCACTCAACCATTTGGATAAATAGAATTTTGAAATTATAGCTCATGTCAGTTTGTGATGAAAACCCTTAATCTAATTCTTGACCTTAACCATTAACCGTGAATCATAAATCAAATTCCCCATACAGGTTTATTACCCTCATTTGGTCCCATATATTAGGTGGACACTCTCAGGGTCAGTCTGGCGTCGCTCAAAGGTCATCCATAAATAATAGTCTCACCAAAAACAGAAACCACAGTTTTTCAGATATTATTCATTCATAGGCACCGATATGTCAATTATCATCATGCATAGATATGTGGCCCCTTATATGACTAATTGGATTGTATGAATGATTGATGTTAAAATGTACATCTTGGCTAACTTCGTGTATAATTATCGTCTTAATCCGCGTTAATGAATAATGGAATTAAATAAGTCGAATACGAGAATGAATTTTTGAATAAATATGTTTGATACAGTCAGTGATCTGAACAGACAATCAGAAAGACGGAGCGAAGAGAAGATAGCGAAATGAAATGACGCGCTTTGGAGAAGGTGTGTGAGTCAACTCCCATTTAATCAAGCGTTAGCCAATATTTATACCCAGACAAAAAATAGGTAACAAATATATGACGAATAGGATAAGAAGGGCACACATACACACATACGCTCACATACACACATACGCTCACATAAAAAACAGTCAAGATTAATAATTGGATAATCAACTAAGTCAATATGTGACTGTAGAAGAATGAATAAACTGACCTGTCCAGAAGCTAGAAATAAGTTATATAGGCTTAACATAATGACCGACACTACAAATATACCTTACCATTTACTTTATTATCAAAAACATTTTCTATGGATGTGTGTGTGTGTGTCCTTTTTCTATTAGTTTAACTAAAGTTTCATATTCCATTTATTTTAAATGAGGTACCCTTTGATAGAAGTAAAACTGTTTCTATTGCGTAAGCAAATACCTTATAGATCCCCATCATTTAAATACAGAACGACAGTTGTTAATGTCATAATCTAAACAGCTGTGTTATTTCCATAGTAATGAAATGTCAATTATAACAATTGTTTAATTTATCAACTCAACAATAAACAGAAGTATATTAACAATGTACTGGATTAAATATAAACATGAAATAGTTGATAGAATGTATACTCTGTTAGCTAAGACAGAATGAGAAAAAATGAAGGCCCTGGATTCGAATCCCGTGACCGGGATTGTGGATGTGCATTGTTGAGGAGTCCTACAGTAGAATGAAATCATTTATTTCAAACATACATGATCTATATGTCAACCAAGCAGACCTCATCACACCATAAATTAGGAAATAACATTTATAAAAGATCAGGCAAAAAAGTGTCTGTGAACGTGAGAGACTGTAGTTAATAAACTGAACATAACCTAAGAACAATAAATCGTATCATAATAATCTTTGGGTAAAAATGAAGCTTATAATAAGAGGAATATGCATATACATAATCTAGTTACTGAATGGTTATACAATAGGAATATATATAATATTAGTCAATCAATAGTTCTCAGAAGTTACCCGTAATCTAATGTTTATTAGAATATAACAGGATCCATCTAGGTGAGTTGGAAAACTCTCATTCCAAACCACTTGTGCACATGGGCTGGCTTCAGGATCCTGAAAGAACAAATGGCGTATGAACCAAGTATTGGTCATTGGTTACCATGGGATTGAATCTCTTCTAACGTTGTTCCATGTGCCATGTGGATTAGACCTTTAGGTCGAAGGTTCTGGGTGTAGATCGCCTCCCCTCCAAAGAAAACCACCTACTTTGATCTAGGCATCCAGGCAGTATCTTATCACATACACACACACAAACACACACACAAACAAATCAAGTGACTTTTGTGTGGCACATATATATTCAATGCCTCTCTGTACCAATATTTATGTGTTTAAATAACAATGATAAACCTTCTTTACAACTTACTTTATATTTGAACAAATATGTTCATAAAATGCTTGTATCACTATATTCATATAAACATCATCTATATCATAAAATATCATTAAATGATATGTATATAATAATTCATAATAAAAATATAAAATATCACGATTTAATAAAGTTTTAATCATTAAATTATTTAATTGTTTAAATAAATTCTGTTGATCATCATTTAAATGATCCGCTAATAAATTTGATTGTTCAATATTCAATAATTCATCATTAATAGTTAATTGAATATTGAATTGTTTTGATTGTGATTGAATTAAATTAATTAAATGTTGAGAATTTTGAATTATTTTCTCATGATTATCATCATTAAATTGAATGGAATAATTTGATGTATTTGGATGAAATTCAATATTCCATGTATAATTCAACGAATCAATATGTAATTGATATTGTTTGAATTCATTCATTTGAAGGTTATGCGCATCGTTTAAATTCAAATAGGATGTATATAAATTATATAAATTAACAAGATGATTATTTATAGATTCCCAATTATATGATTTTGTCATATAAAGGATACCAATATTTAAAATAGAATTGGTTGATGAATGATTATTATGTTGAGGATTGTTTAAAATAAGATTGACTGTTGCAATGAATGAATTGTTTAAATGAATAGTTCTTTCAGAAAAGCCAATAAATAGATCTAAAAGGATAAAATGAAACAAAGTTAAGCAATTGAATCATGATGATGATGATAATGACAATTTCTAATAGTTGACATTATGAGATAATTGAAGTTAGACCATACCATAGATAATCTGGAAGCATTGAACGATTGTTGTGTCCTATTGTGGGAGTTCTCAACAGTGCTTATACATGATTCTGCATCGCGACATTCGTTTGGCTTACTTACTTACGCCTGTTACTCCCAGTGGAGTATGGGCCACCGACCAGCATTCTATAACCCACACTCTGCTGGGCTTTCCTTTCTCGTTCTATCCAATTTTTGTGCATTTTTCTCATGTTTGTCTCCATTTCTCAACGTGATGTGTTCTTTGGTCTTCCTTTTCTCCTTTGGTCTTGAGGATTCCATGTGACGGCTTGCCTTATGACGCAGTTGGGTGCTTTCCTCAATGTGAATCCTATCCATTTCCACTGCTTCTTCCTGATTTCTTCCTCCGTTGGAATCTGGTTTGTTCTCTCCCAAAGTAGGTTGTTACTGATAGTGTTTGACCAACGGATCCGAAGTATTTTGCGTAGAGAGCTGTTAATAAAGACTTTTATCTTGTGGATGATGGCTTTCGTAGTTCTCCAGGTTTCCACTCCATACAGTAGAACTGTGTTGACATTTGTATTGAAAATTGTGACCTTGATGTTGGTTGACAGTTGTTTTGAGTTCTAGATGTTCTTCAGTTGTAGATATTTTGCTCTTGTTTTGTCGATCCACGCATACACATCTACATCAGATTCACCGTGCTTGTCAATGATGCTGCCCAGATATGTAAACGTTTTTACACATTTCAAATCTTCTCCGTTAAGTGTGATTTGGTTGTTGCACGCTGTGTTGTATCAGGAAATCTTGCTTTATTTGCTTCGCTCAATAGAATAAAATTACGATAGCATTTTGCATTGATTAAATAATAATATTATTTAGGTGGGATAGTGGATGCGCACTGCTGAGGACACCCGCAATAGGACGAAACGGTCGTCCAATGTTTGCAGGTTTCCCATGGTGGTCTAGTTTCAAATGACTCATAAATTTAACTATTAAATTACTATAATATCCACAAAACCCATTACTGATCATGACGATGTTAATAGGTTATAAGTAACTTAAGATCTGGCAAAAATATTTATCATTGCATGTCAAAGTGATATTGAGTGGTAATAAGGATATATGGGCAATCGTTCCTTAATAATTGCTCATGTTGTAGAAGAATACTTCTTTTTGAGGAAAATAGAGAAAGAATCTAGGGTAAGAGTGGTATTATCTACTTGAGAGCTTGACGAATGAGTAAAAATGGCAGCTTAGTGAAACTTTGATGTTGACGCGTTTTGTTAGAAATTCTCGATGTGTTTGTTCTGTAGTTTTCAGTCCTTGCCGTAAATCAGAGGAATTCGTACCATATGGCAGGGGGTCTTTTTTTCGCTCACTGATCATACACATGCTTGTCAAGTGGACAATGAACTCTTATAGCGTATCACGAATTACACATCGTCATCGAGACGACTATTAAGATTTCACAATATATTGTCCCTTTATTGCTTCAACTATTGTTAGAACCATAACGTGAGCAACACTGAAGTTAGGTTTAGGGTACTAAATGAAGGTAAAAAATTGGTTGGCGAGGTATTGAGTCTTTATCAACTGAAGCCGATTGGAACATATGTTACATATGTCTAACAAATACCTACTTAGACAAGTTATGTTAGGTAGTGTAGGAGTAGGTTTGAAAAAAGTTAATGACAGTTAAACCAAAACTTGTTATCAATCCATAAAGTTATTTACTTCTGTGGTTTTAGTCTTATTAATAGATATAAACTATCTGGTTAGAGTCCCAGCGTAACCGTGATCAGTGGTTGACGACGTTGGGTGACATAGCGCAGATACATTAAAAATGGAGAAGATTCAACAATTCTTCATCTTACTCTAGATCTTGAGTTCCATTGTTCTTTTACACCCAACTTCTTGATTTATTCTTCTGAAACAATATTTTGAATGATAAAACTTTATTATTATTAGTGGTGATACAATTATTTCGACTCCTTCATTATTCATCTTGTCGATTCCTTTGCGATGTTGTGCTAATGTGGTATGGGAATTTTTAGATAACTCACACAAGTACCAGAGAATATGTTGATCGTGACTGACTAAGAAAGTAACTGTTATATCCAATGAAGACTAAATGAATGATAACTGTCAGTATTAATTGACGGACTATCATTATATATATATCATGAGCTTTCGACTAACACATTAGATATTATGGTACGTTTTATTGTTTTTAATCTGATGCCAGTTTATTATACACGGTCTCTCCTGACCATACACGACTTTTATTTTTCATTTTATGGTGTGATCTGGTCAGAAATGTCTATATATAAACTACATATGCTTAAATTATAACATTCGTATAGTGGAGGTTGATTATTGTGATCTAGACTCACCGGGCAGGGCAACGAGAGAAGCTACCGGATCAAGGATCAATAAGCGCTAAGATATGACTCAAAGTTATTAGTGCCAAACATATTCCGGTTGGTGCTTTTGTCACGTGCTATTGTAGAACATGCATAAGTCATAGCAGTGGCCAATGTTAAGTCGGAATAAATACAAAAGAAAGTGAATAATTAAGAGATCCTGGGTTTTAATCCCACGTGAGGGATCGTGGATACGCACTGCTAAGGAGTCTCATACTAGGACTAAACGGCCGTCCATTGATTTCAGGTTCTTAGTAATGATCTAACATTGATCAGTTCATGACTTAAATCCCCGTTAACGCCAAAATGAAGCGTTAAATCAACATCAGTATCTCATAAGGAAGATAAGAGAACGGAGAGTGCGCGAAATGAAGAACATAATTGCTATAACTGTGACGGCGGATTTGAGGGTAGCGAATTATCGATCGGACCAAAGACGCGCAAACACGTAGAACGACCTAGGGTTCTGATTGGTCCCGCTTCCCTGTCTAGCCCAGCAGTTGAGTCCAGAACGCAAGTCCCAGCCTCGGATATATGAATCATTATATTTCAAATATACTTTGTTAATATACCAGTCAAGCAGACCGCAACGTACCATAAAATAGAAAATAACATTGTACAATATTGATCAGTAGGAAAATGACACGTGAAACAAGTACTGACCAATAAGTAAATAATACCATCTCCAAGTCCAAGAATAGCATTAAACTTAATAGAATAATTTCTGGGATATTTAATTGAATATCCCAACAATAACAAACTAATTTATGTATGTAATATAACAAATGTACATAGGAGCAAAACTTTCTTCGGAATTATTGGAGTACTTTATACTTGGAATAAGTAGTAAATGAGCTTTCAGAATCGGGTGCTACTGAGTAATAAAAAAAGAAGGAATTTAATCAATTCTCTATCCTCGGGAGCCAGACAAATATACAGTGAAGATACACTGAACATAATTTAACAAGCAATAGTGTCCCATTTCTGTTCATTGATTATAATCTATAATAAAAACATCAAGTTGAAAGTACTTTCACAGTTCAAGGAAGATACAACTGGTAAGATATAAAACAATAGAATATTTAGATCCTTAAGTAAAATATATTTTATTCATCGGAACTTTGAACTGGTTTTTTTAATTTCACCAGCAAGAAATTCATTCACTAAGTTATAAAGTGTTGGAATGATCTAGAAAACTTCTCGCAAAAGACAAGAAAAACTCAGGAAACATTAAGAAGCATTTCATCCATTCAGTGTTCACTTGAAGTTTAGCCAGAAATATCAAGAAAGTGAAAAATCACATGTAGAGTTTCTGATTGGCTGATTACTATACTGCTGCTATGTTTAGTAGCATTCCAGAATCTTCGGGAAACCCAAGGACATCTAAAATATCCTAAACACCCTATATTTTCTGTATTAGAACAAACCTTTAGAGTAAAGTGCTTCTTGCATATTTTGCGCCTTTTCTTTCGTGTTCCAGCTTGGGGGTTACAACAATAGCTTAGGAACCGAATATAGTGTTCAATTAGCAAGATTTATCATAAAAAGTAAATTACCATTTTGAGTTACCTCAATATTCCTTTTTTATTATGAAAAACCAATAAACGACCAAATTGTACCCAACACACAATACTGTTCAAAATAAACTCACTTGAACAAGTATCACATTCAACGGGTATTATCTCTGTATTACATAATATTGACATATTATTATCATTATGTAATACAATTGAATTATGTTGTATTGCTTGTGGTAAAGAGTTACAATGTGTGTTAATCACTGACTGATTATTATTACTACTATTACAATGAACATCGGTATTAGTAGGTGTAGATGTAATGGTAGTAGTAGTAGTACTTGTCATTACATTCTCATTATTCGTAAGTAATAGTTTATTATTATTATTATTATTATTATTATTAGTAGTAGTAGTAGTAGTAGTAGTAGTAGTAGGAGGAGGAGGAGGAGGAGGAGGAGTATTGTGTTGTAGTTGATGATGATAATGTTGTTGTTTTTGTAAATGTGTCACTAATATTTGTAATCTTTCATTATCTGTACGTAAATAATTTAATTGTGAATATAAATGTGACATTTCATCTTTTAATTGATCTAATTGATGAGCACTTGCTAAAGCTTCCAATTGTACATCAGTTAATTTAGATTCTTTTTCAGCTAATTGACATTTTAAATGATTCAATTCATCTTGACATGATTGTTTATTTAATCTATAAATCAATAAGTTGAAGGTTAAAAAAGTGTGTGAGAGAGAGAGAATTATCATTATGAGATCATTATGATTGAGATCATGAATCGATTGATGTTAGACCATCATTGAAAACCTGGAAGCACTAGACGATTGTTTCATCCTATTGTGGGACTCCTCAGTCGTGTGCATCCACAATCCTGTTCGCGGTTTTCAATGGTGATCGAACATCAATCAGTTCATGAACTTAATCAAAAAGCTTAATAATCTCCACAACCTCATACTGATATCATTATGAAGTTATAGAGGTAAATAAATCACCAATATAAGTAGTTCAGTAAGTCTTCGACATTTGATCATGACCTTATTATTTTGATTGGATATACTGAAGGTTCTCAGTCATGCATCCGCACCAGATCACGAAAGGGTATGTTATTCTACGCATCACTTACAGTCGTTAACTAGATTAGATTAAACGCTTCCCGATATATCGATAGCCTTCCAAATATATCTTCGAACCTCTTCATTTCTGACTTTTGATTTGATTCAGTTGGTATACCTTCATTATAAAGGTCTTATGCGTAAAGGCGTTGTCAAACTCCCAATACCTGTGGCATCTTCAAACTAATCTAAGATTAAGGGACTATTAAAAGCTAAGAATCATTGATAATTGTTTATTTGATTACTTTGAAAACATTATAAGAGAGGACCTTCCAACTTTGTGAAGAATGTGTCAAGATTAAAATTGTTCATTCATTTTGTATTGTTTGCTTGAATCTTCTCATTGATATTTAGGACTACAATTGATCAGTCTCCCTTAATGGCATATGTACATCCTGTACGGATTGCCTTGATATTGCCTTAATTCACAAGTATTATAAGCAAAGATGGGTAGTGGCTAGCAGTGGAATCCAGAACGCGCTTTTCTTCCTGCTTGGGGCTCGTCAAATAGATGTACTTGCATCTCATCTTCGGGATTAGTCTATGGTGAAAAGGTCATCGATACAATAGACTGTTTGTTTCAATGATTAAGATCATGAGTCAGTTGAAACTAGACCACCATGGAAAACCTGGGAGCACTGGATGGCCGTTTCATCCCATTGTGGGACCGATTCCTCAGCAGTGCGCACCCACGACCTCGCCCCCTGCGAGATTCGGATCCAGGACCTACTGGTTTCGCGCGCGAGCACTTAACTACTAGACCACTGGGCCGGCATTTGTATATGTTGTACGAAGATATGATGAAATAATGTCAGCTGTTTTATAATAAATTTCTTAGGAATGTAATAATTCCCGGAAACAAAATGTGATAACAGTCACTATCTCTTCTCTGTTTGAAATTTCATTCTGGACTACTTAGCTTTCAAATCACATCTACCTAGCGCTGCACAGGCTCTCTACTACATAATGTTGAATTCCACATACGGTTATTGCATCAAAATAAAAACTACTTTTAAGTTGTCAATATGATGTTGTAGAGATAGTTGAAATCACGAACCGATATAAGCTAGACAACTATTGAAAACCTGGTAGCATTAGACAGCCATTTCGTCACAGTATAAGGCTCCTCAACAGAATGCATCCACAACCCACACACAGGAATCGGATATTCAGTTTCACGTCAAACCTCTAGACCACACGGCCGGCACCCAACAATGTTAATATCTAATTTCAATCAATCTACAACATTTCATGACCAACTTCTTTTGTTTTTGTTTAGTAAATTACACATGCCCGACATGATTGAACTACACTTGTCATGGTTTCTCAATAGAATTCTAGAAATTCACTTTGGAAGCTAGTCATTACTAGTAAGCACACGATAATTTTCAATATGGAGTTGTGGCGATCATTGAAATAATTGGAATTGTCTTTTATTCTGATGTTATCTCAACACCTAATATCTGAGACAATCTAAAAGAGGCATATAACAAAGTTACAAACATAAGACTTGTCAGTATGACACATTCACAACCCTATAAGAAATCGTACCCGGGACATTCCGGATCTCTTCATGAGTACTTAACCTTTAAATGAAAGTAAGGATTTTCAAATAAAACCATAACTTGATATTAAATAACATTAAGAAATATAAACATACTCTAATTTACTATCATTCCTGTTCAAAATATTTCTATCACCTTCTTCAACATTGAATAATTTATTTTGTTTATCTGAATCATTATAGTTAACTAAATAATTTGGGCAACTAAGTTGATTTGAATGGATTGGTCTATGGTCTTGTTGTTGTTGTTGTTGTTGTTGTTGTTGCTGTATTCGTACATTGTTCAAACGATCTATAGTTTAATTTAAAAAAAAACGAAGATCGTTAGTTTTCCTCTTTCATTTTATATAAAAATATAATACACTACTTTTTTGATAACTACGTCTGTAGCTCTTCTAGAGTTACTGCCAATCTTAGGCCCGATTAAAAGAAGAAAGTTGGGCATAAGGTCCGCAACCCCATCCCATAAGAAAAATATTGTTAAAAAAATGTCAACCGGATTTATCAAATTAAACCATTTAAAATTTGCCCTGGGAGTTGAAAGTAAAACTATGTTGCTTCTGAATGAAAGCCGAGATTCTTCAGAAGTAACGAGGCCGATATTCTTTCCAACAACCAGAGCAATGACAAAATCTATTTTGATGGTGATGACGGTGGTGGTGGTGATGGTGATGATTATGGTAAAGATGTTTCCTCAAACTAGTTTAAGTGCTTAGTTTTCATCACTGTTCTGGACAAAATCACCGAGGCTTACTACCTGGAGAAGTGAAATTCTTAGTTCTTATTCAAGCGTCAAATTTGTTCACTTTAATAGTCTTCATAGGAATTGTTGTCTTCAGTTGTTCTTAGTATTCATGTTGAATATTTGTCTTCTCTTGTTTACCTTTGATATTGTTGTCCATTGATTTCTGTCGTATGGATATTAATAGAGTGTATCTATATGTTTATTGGTTACCAATTGATCCGAATATCATGAATAAAGCATCTAGTTCAAGAAACATAACAACACCAAGATAATCTGTCGAAGCTAGAAATCTCCTTTATCATTCCAAGATAAACATTTTGGTAAACATATCGCTTTTACCAAACCGGTAAGTACTATACGTTAGTAGCTAGTATGAAACAAAAGATCGGACAACTCGATTTCAAATCCTATAGGGAGCATTTTTTTTACCTTGTTAATGAGTGCCAGTTAGCCAAGACAATTAAGTTAATTATTTAAAAAGGAGGTTTGTGTAGATTGTAGCAATTTAGTAGTTGAATGAGTTGATTTATCCCAGATCATCATGGAAAACCTGGAAGTAATGGACGATCGTTTGGTCCAAGTATAAGACTCCTTAAGCATTTACTCATTGAAAACAATGATGGACGGCCGCGCAATACCATGGATTGGTTGAAGTTACACATTAACACTGTTAGATGCCGGCCAACTCAGTAGTTTAGAGTTTAAATGTTTGCGTGTGAAATCAAAGGTCTTAGGTTCAAGCCCCACGTGCCGGATCTTGGATGCGCACTGCCAAAAAGTCCTATATTACGAAGAAACAACCATCCAGTGTTTTCAGGTTTTCCATGGTGGAATATTAAATTAATCACAATTTGCTTTCAACTACCTATGAGAAAAACAATTTACTACATTGCAAGAACATTGTAGTAACTATATTATAGTTTCAATAAAAATCAATTACATAACATAATTACTGAGATTATCATCAACCATTTGATGAATTACAAGTAATTATTATTAACTACATCATAATGACCACTTAAGAAAGCCCATTGAAAAAAAACATGTTCACACCTACGATACACAAATTAAGGGCAAGTACACATATAGTTACAAATACATATATGAATGTGTACACAATTTTATACTTAGAGAAATATTGGTTGATGTAACCAGGTGAAAAGAAACATACAACGTAACACAGAAATGAAAGGGTGTTAAGTGAATTAAAAGAAACTATGAAATGAATGAACATTCCAAACATTCCAATGTAAACACACACATATACATATACAAGAACACTCCATTTCCCGAATGTTTATCAATCAATAGAAGTAAGCACAAATATGAGAGGTATTGAGTTACAAAAGAGTTAATCAAGAATTGATCATCACATTAACTTGTTGAAACGATTACAGAGATGATAAATCAACAAGTGAGGTAGAAATCATAGACCACAGAGTTTAAGAGACAATTGAATGTGAAACCGGTCACATAAAGCCTTTTTGCGTATAGTTCTTGTTGTGTTCACTAAGTGCTTTAGAGGCTTTATATCGGGTGACCGAAATCTATAGGGGATGATATTGATGAACCGTTGTTTGTAAGACTTTTTTAAATTGCTTTTTCATTAAGAAGAGGTAGCATCGCTTCAGATGATGATTCTTTACGAAAAATCCTTCCTTCCATCACAATACCATACAGACGGAAGTATGACTTCGTCTTCGAATTCTAAGTCTGTTACTTTTTGTCCTACTGCTGTCTAATTGACCTGAATGACATAGTAAGACGTAAAGGAACGAATATTTCTACCAAAACATATCTCAATGGCATAACATAATATGAAAATTTAACCACTAAATCGAGGTAGCACCTATGGTTGGTAGTTGAAATCTAAAGAAGTTCATATTTTCTCTTCTTGCTTTAGAACGTGAATAATCAAATTTATAAATTATCCTAATAGATTAAACCCTAAATAATGTCGCGCTAAGCGTTTTAAATTGAAATATTCAAGACGGAGTGTTATTTTCATAAAATTTATTTGGAATGAAGATAGTCACAGTGACCAGTGATTATATGTAGAAAAACTAGACTTGAAGCCCCAGTTATTCATAATTTAGTAGAATATAATGAGGTTACTGTACCATATGACCTATGACCTACGGTATACGAAAGTACAGAAAAAAATGAGTGGATTACTAGTAAACGATCATAAATGCATTAAAAACGTTCCTCGCACATGATGGTACAGGAGGGAAATTAGTTGATGAATTGCAATGAATCGTCATCGGCTGAGTTTGTTATGACTGATCTGAAGGTTATGTGTCTGATCTCCAGTGGGGTTGTGGCTGCTAATTGTATTGAAATCAGTCACAACGGTTAGATGTGAAGATATGACATAACTAACAACACTTTCAAACAATCAACATTCGCGGCGATACTATATTTTTAAAATGGAAGCAAGATGTGAAACGTTTGGGACTTTTAAAATAATAAATCTTAACTCTGATAGTTTCCTTTGACAGTAGTAATGTCTGAAAAGTATGGAGCTAGTATACTGTGAACCACAAAGAAAAATATCTCGTCTATTTGGTCAAAATTAACTATTATTTATACTCTACAATCAAGCTTTCAGCTAGCCAAGACCAATGGTAATTCAATTTTCTTTCTGGTTCCTTCAAGGAGAAATAGGAACTAACAACCACCCCCATACCTGTAATGCACTCGATATCACCTTTTTTTCAATCAAATCATTTCATCATTTCGTGATGCTTCTTTTATCCTTACTAAACAACAACCACAAAGTCAACTGTCTAAGTGAAATTAACTTCAGATGATGAATTTGACCCCGTTCTGTGTATTCCGACTACTTCGGTATAATTACGAGTTATAATATGTTAGCTCAAGTTCAACCATTTTATTCAGTCAGTAATAGTATCTGTTGTACGAATCCTCTTTCAATATTAATGTAATTAAGTTTTTTTTTAAAAAAAAGACAAACTTTCCACTACGTAAATCTTATACTGTGATGTATGCTACTTATGTCGACAGATATAAGTAGTGTATATCGCCAATCGAAAGTGAAATACCTGGTGGCAGAAAGTTGAGAAAATCGAAGATAAGAGAACGAGAACAGTGATTGATTGGTATAGAAACAAAGGAATAACAAAATCTGAAACACTTGATGGATGTTTTGCAAATGAATTATTTACTGTATGGTCCTCAGATTTTATTAAGCGATTCCGTAATTTTGTATCAAAATACATTTGGTTGTCCCCACTGGTGTTCTTGTTCACTACAATACGTGTTTCTGATTTCTGGAAACAATGAGTCTAAGAATTCCTATAGAACTTAAACGCAAATGTATATCAGTATAGGGGTTATGGAGATAGTTAAGTTTTGATTGAGATCATGGACCGATTGATGTTAGACCATCATTCGAAACCTGGAAGCACTGGACGGCCGTTTCGTCCTATTGTGGGACTTCTCAGCAGTGCGCATTCACGGAGCTAATCTGTATTGGGTAGAAACAGGTATCTACCTCAGCACAATGGAAGTTGGTCGCGGAATTTCGTGGGTTGGTTGGGGTTAGACATTAACACCATTAGATGCCAGCTCAGTGGTTCTGTAGGTTAAGCGTTTTGCGCGCGAGATTGAAGGCCCTGCGTTCGAATCCCGTGAGCGGAATCATAGATGCGCACTACTGAGGAGTCTCACAATAGGACGAAACGGTCGTCCAGTGATTCCAGGTCTCGAATGGTGGTCTAACATCAATCAATTCATGATCTCAATCAAAACAAATATGTATGTAGTGGACGAAGAAGTCAAGTAGAGAAGAACAATTTGTTCAATACAAAATTACAGAATGTCTTGATAAAATATGATAACCATACATTGAATACTTCATTTACACTTCTTCCATCAGTTATCCTTTATACATTTCATAATTCTTTCAATTCTGTTATTTTTAAAATGGTTTACTGCTTCCCTTTCTATCCTCTTTAATTCATTCTTCTGCTGATAGGCATTTCACATTCGATTGGTGCTATATATTACTTATATTTGTCAACATAAGTAACATACACAACAGTTAGACGTAAAGACATGACACAACTAACAACACTTTCAAGCAATCAGCATTTGCGGTGATACTACATTTTTAAAACGGAAGGAAGGTGTGAAACGCTTGGGACTTTTAAAATAGTAAATCTTATCTTAACTCTGATAGTTTCCCTTGACAGTGATAATGCCTGAAAAGTATGGAGCTAGTATACTATGAACCACGAAGAAAAATATCTCGTCTACTCGTCTATATATGACACTTGAAGAAAATGATGCTTCCTGGTAGATTCGATCTAATGACTTACAGGAGATTAGTTACATTTTGAATGCTTCTATAGTAACGTACAAGGTTATAAGGCTGAGTGATATGGGACTGAAACCGGCCATTTTGGGGAAATCCCCAAAATTGGGAGCTTAGGTATATACCGATCAAAATCTGTTTGTAGTCCATAGTAAATAATCTTAATTGATTTTGGCAACTGTTAAATTATTTCATTATAAAATCAACCAATTAGAATGTAAATTGTTTGTTATTGTTGTCGGTGTAATGTGTTGCATGAAATGAAATTTGACCAACTGACCTTAGAATATTGTTTTGATTGATTATCGTTATATTCATGTATCTTATATGATTAATGATAGATGTAAACAATTGGTGAATTTTTTTTCTTCTAAAGAAAAAAACGATATTTTTGAACTATCTATGATCATTTAGGGGATAGTTGATAATGAAATGAATTCACCGGTTGAAGATAGTGGACAGGAAATGTTGATTGGTTTAAGTTATTTGATATATGGCACTTTAAGGAAATGATGCTCCCTGGAACATTCGATCTAATGACTTAGAGGAGATTAGTTACATCTTGAATGTTTCTGTAGTAACGTACAATGTTATGAGGCTGAGTGATGTGGGACTGAAACCGCTTAAGAACGTCAACTTCCTTAAGATTCCAGGTATACTTTGCTGAAGAGTGTTAAAAAGTACGAAACCCACGTAAAATAGGGTTTCCTGTTGACTACATTCAACATAGTACACGTGATGTTGTAACCAAGACTAATGACCACATTACAGTTTGACTGGTAAAATTTGATTGGTACTACGAAGTTTTTGACATACACAAGATTAATTATTTATCGATAATCAGTCAACTGTAAATAAGTCCACCGCTTGAAGATCGCATCCTTTATTTAGGAGATTATTTTGGTGTGCTTATGTTAGAGATTTATTGATTATCTCTAGTCACTTACCTTGTTTAGGATCAAATCATGATAAAGTTGCGAAGTTACAAATATATTATTGTTTTAACTTCTTAATGTGATTTATGTTAAAACTAACAGACTAATTTTGTTAATTGAAGAGATCAGTGTCAGAAAGGGTTTTGTGGAGATTGTAGTAATTACTTTAGTTGAGATAATGAGTCCATTGAAACCAGAACACCATGGAAAACATGGAAGCACTTGATGGCCATCTCGTCCTAGTATGGAACTCCACAGCACTGCGCATCCACGATCCCGCCACCCGAGATTCGAACCTAGGACCTATCAGTCTCACGCGTGAGCACTTAACCTCTAGATCACTGGGCCGGCCGGAATCCAACTGTGTTAATGTCTAACTTCAACTAATCCACGAAATTGAGTGACACATCCACCATTGTCATCAGTGAGTTACTATCTCACAACTGACCCAGTTGAATTGCAGAAATAACTAGACAGATGACAAAAATCATTTTACTTAAATGTTAATCACATTGAGTTACTTTGACTTTAGGAGACTATCTCATTCGTTGAAATCATGGACTGACCAATGTTAGATCACCATTAAAAATTTGGAACAACTGGACGGTCAATTTATCCTAGTATGGAACTCCTCAAAAGTGTGCATCCAGTATCATGCAATCCGGACTCAAACTTGACACAGGATGGATTCCATTGGTAACAATTGATAAAAGTATAATGTATGTACTTTTTAAATTTAAAATAAAAAAGTTAACATATTAAAATAGACCATTTGTAAAGTGTAAAACTTACTAATTTGTTCATTTGTATATGGTACAATAGTACTACTACTACTACTATTAGTAGTAGTAATAGTAGTAGTAGTAGCTGTAATGATATTACAATTATTTTGACCATTTCCACTCATTCCTAATGTACTCCATGATGATGATGACGATGATAATGTTGATGAATTCGATGGAGATAAACCATTTAAATGTGTATTGGATAAAACAGATAAAGCATTCATATGACCATTAGATTGTATAGAATTCATATTCGATTGATTTATAATAGTATTATGTAATCCTTTATGATCCATAGTTGGACTTTGTGGTAAGTTGGATGGATGTCCAGGAGGAAGACTATTGTTATTATTATTATTGTTACTATGATAGATAGAATTGTGTTGTATTGATGATGTAGGACAATCTATATCACTTTGTGAATTTATTGATAATGTTGATGATGATGTGGTCTTTTTACGGAATGCTTTACCAAGTGAATTACGAAACTAATTTTGTGATAATAAAAAAAAGAAAATAACATTAGGTAAATAGAAATGATAAATGTGATTAATTCAAAATCAAAACATTACTGATCTAGAGAAAGAACAGAGTAGTAGTCATAGTGAATATGAAGGTGGAATTTATAAGTGATCCAATATAAGTCTATAAAGCAACGTAAGTTATAAAATTGTGACTTTAATAGCCTACGGTAATTTCATTGAAATCATGAACCGATGTTAGCTAGACCATTACTGAAAACATGGAAGCACTGAATGGCTATTCGGCTCCCAAATGCCGTGGTACGGCCGAGAGTGGGGAGAGTCAGCTCTCCCTCTTGAAATGCTCTCACATGGTCATGCGTATACAGCCACTAAGAGGGATATCCTACTCACTGGCTTCTCAATGCGGGTGTGTTGTTTACAAAATTGAAAGGACGGAAAGCGAAGGTTCGGCGCTTTAACCGGGTTGGTGGATGGAGGATCCACTTAAGGGTTTGGAAAACCCTGATTCCAAACCAATGGTGCACATGGGTTGGCTACAGGATCCTGAAGGAACAAATGGTGTATGAACCTATTGTTAGTGACCGGCTACGATGGGACTGCATCTCTTGACGTTGCTCCACTGCCTTGTGGATCAGGCAGTCAGATCGAAGACTCCGGGTATGGCCCCCTAAAACACTACCAGGTTTGGTTTGGGTACCCGGGCAGCATCCTAGACCTCACATAAATCATTCGATTTATGTGACGCATATGTATTTGTGCCTCCTTGTTCCAATGTTAATGTTTTTAAATAAATAAATAAAAATGGCTATTTCATCCTGGTGTGCGTCTACAGATTGGAGCCCGAAACCGAGTGTCTTGCGTTCGATTCCCACGTGAGAGGTTGAGGACGTGCACTGCCGAAGAGTCCTATACTAAGTCGAAACAGTTATCTAATGTTTCCAGGTTTTCAATGATGGTCTACTTTAAATCGACTCATGATTTCAATAAAATTCAACAATCCCCACAATGTCATACTGAAAAATATGTGGTAAATCAATCTCTTCTCCTTTTTTGAAAATAATTCTGTTTTGTAAAGTGAAAGAATAATTATTTTATCTTTGTTTCTACATTGTTTGAAACATCTATGAACTTCCTCAAGAAACAGGCTTTTCAGCTGATTCATCTTCTCACAGGTGACTATCTTAAATCAACTTATTCAACGATCAATCGAACAATGAGTCAACTATTGGAAAGTTTTAAATGTTGAACAAATTAAATGTTTCCATCAACATGTGTAGTCGACAATTATCCTAGCTCTGTATGGAATTTGTAGTCATCACGGTCTCCACTGAGAAAGAAACACGGGTTTTCCTTTAATTTAATACCGTTATAAACAGCCCATATGTATTTTGTGAATTTTAGTAGGTCTTCACTCAAGTTTCATCAAGAGTTCCAATTTGTGCAATTAATGGAAAAAGTTATACATATGTTTTCTTTTACAGTCCTTTAAACGACAAACTTATCCTAGCCAAGTCATTAGTTAAGAACTACAAGAACAGGATGGATGTTTCGTCCTAGTATAGAACTTCTTAGCAGTATTCATCCATGACCCGCATCCAGGAACCGAACCCAAGCACTTCGTGGTCGTACACGAACACCTAATCTCTTACTCACGCCTGTTATCCCTCGTGGAGGAGCATAAGCCGCCTACCAGAATTCTCCATCCACCCATGTCCTGGAAAATCCTTTCAAGTCGCTATCGATCTTTTTAATGTCTGTTGCCAATTCCCACGTAGTGTGTTCTTTGGTCTTCCTATTTTCCGTTTCCCTTCAGAATTCCAAGTTAGCGCTTGTCTTATAATGCATTTTGGTGATTTCCGTATTGTATGTCCTATCCACTTCCAATTTCTTTTCCTGATTTCCTCCTCAGCTGGATGTTGGTTTGTCCTCTCTTATAGTAGGTTGTTGCTGATGGTATCAGGTCAACGGATATTGAGTATCTTTCGTAGACAAATGTTCATAAATACTTGTACCTTCTTGATGATGATTGTAGTAGCTCTAGAAGATTCGGTTCCATACAATAGAACTGTCTTGACGTTCATATTAAAGATTCTGACTTAGATATTGGTTGACAGTTGTTTTGAGTTTTACACGTTCTTGAATTGTACGAATGCTTTCCTTGCTTTGTCAATCCTCAACTTTACGTCCGCATCCGATCCTCCTTGTTTATCGATGATGATTCCCAGGTACGTGAAATATTCCACATTTTCCAAATTTTCTCCATCAAGTGTGATTTGGTTGGTGTACTCCGTGTTGTGTTTGAGGATTTCGCATTTTCCCATATGTGTGTTGATGACTAGTGCTGCACAAGCTTCTGTCACAATCTTCCTTTGTTTATCTGTATAGGATAGAAGGGCCAGGTCATCTATGAAGTTCAAATCTTCGAATTGATTCTGAGTCGTCCATTGTCTTCCGTGCTTTCCCCCAAATGTCGAGGTCTTCATAATCCAGTCGACCATAAAAAGAAAATTCTACAAACTCCACAAATCCTCCGTACGAATCATATACATAACTCCGCCTGGAGCCACTCTTGGGTTACTGCCGGTCTCAAGCCAGGATAAAGGAGGAGGGTTGGGTATGGGGTTAGCGACCCCATCCCGTAAAAAACTAACTCGTTAAAGAAATGCCAACCAGAAAAAATAATTCAAACCATTTAAACTCTGACCTGGGAGTCAAAAGGTTTTCATTTAGAAGAGTTATCACGCCTCATGGTGAAAGCCGTGTCCCTTCAGAAGTTGCGAGGTTGATGCCCCTTCTGACAACCAGAGAAACTATTAATTTAGGTACATGGAATGCTCGTACAATGTGGGAGACAAGGAGAGTCTTCCAAATTGCTGCAGAAATAAGGAGATTCATTGGATGCAGGTTGAACAACAACGGCTAGCTTCAAGGAAGCTTCATAAGACAAGCCCTTATATGGTATCCTCAAAGCCAAAGGAAAAGAGGAAGACCACGGAACAAATTACTTCGAGAAATGGAGACAGACAAGAAAAATGACCAGAAATTGGATAGAACTAGAAAGGAAGGCCCAGGACATTGTGGGTTGGAGAATGTTGGTCGGCGGCCTATACTCCATTGGGAGTAACAGGCGTAAGTAAGCAAGTAATCATATACATATATATATATTCGGAAATTTCAGCGTAAACAATGAAACTAAATTATTTCACTCTCTTTCTCTCTCTCTCTCTCTACACCCACCCACCAAACACACACACACACACTAATATTTATAAGCATCTATTTAGAAGAAATCGTTTCCCTGCCTAAATTACAGTAATCAAATACAGAATAGTAATTTTTCTAATGTATTAATCATTTTACCATCAATTACTTGCAATTAATAATCATAATAATGTAATAATAATAATAATAATAATAATAATAATAATGATAATGTATCTGTTGAAGGGAAGCCTAATGGAATACAATAGTGTGTTTTGCTTTTAAAATTCCAATGAATTTCATAATACATACAACTAACTATCCAATGCCATTTATATACACACATATGCTTAAGCATAAATGGTTCACATTAGAAAAGAGAAATGAATGAAACAAGAAGAAGAAGAAGAAAGAAGAAAGAAGAAAAGAAACAAAAAGAAGACCTAAATGAAACAGGTGAAACAATGATTAGGATTATTCATAGTTGAATATATATACGTTGGTTGGCCTATTTATTGATTCAAATAGATGATTAATTAATCAACAATATTTGACCAATTAATCTAGATAAGGTCAACTAACAAATACATTTATAATGATAATAATAATAATAAGGGTTTAATGGAAGGTGTTTTATGAATATTTATTCAATATATAGATTGTATTTATCATAGATTAATTTTGTTGATCGGAAACCGATGAGAGAGGACAAACTAACATCTATTCTGAAGGGAAATGGAAAAGTGGAAGGCCAAAGGACACACCACGTCAGGAATTGGAAGTAGACATAAGAAGTATTAATAGTAACTTGAAAGAACTGGAAAGGATTGTCCAGGACAGGGTTGAATGGAGAATGTTAATGGATGGTCTATAACTCTCTACAAGAGGTAAAAAGCGTAAGTTTTCAGTTGAGTTACCATTGAAAGTTGGGGTGAATCACTAGATAGCTGTTTTCTTCTAATTTGGAACTCTTCAAGGAGTGATCATTGACGGCTTTATCGGCGATAGAATGCAAGACCTTAAGGACTCGATGCTAGTAAGTGATGTTACTTTTAATTCGACAATTCTCACAATTCCTTATGTAAAGACTTCTCATGTGATTATGTGTGACTAACTTCTAGAGGTAATTTCCGAAGCTCTATTGAGAAGATGGGACCAATGGAGTTCAGCTACACTGAGCATTAGACGGATATCAACAACAACGAACGATGATCGAATGCTACCTGAGCAATCCAAAAGTTAGGTGCTCGTCACAAAGCCTGAAAATCCTAGGTTAAACCCCTAGATGGTACTGTAAACACACACTAGTGAGGAGTTTCATACTAAGAGGAAACATATTTAGTAGTTCGTAGTTTTTAACAGTTATCAAAATACAGTCAGTTCATGATCCCTTGGTAGATTACACATTAAGACGAAAAAATTAACTAGTGCTTCAATAGCTTTATTGAGTTAAATCTATAATGTAAACTAACGAAAGTATTAATTCATTTAGTATTGTTTGTTTGAATCTTCCGATTGATGTTTAGGATTCCAATTGATCAGTCTCTCTCTTATTGGCATATGTGAATTCTATGCGGATTGTCTCAACAGTACCATTAAGTTATAAGCATTAGGTTCGAGTCCTAATGTTATCAACAATATTAGGATATGACAAGTACATCCAGCTGTTATGATTCCCGGGTAGTTTGAAATAAGCGTTTAGATGGTGATTAGGGGTAGTCAACAGGAAACTCTGGGTCTGGGTTTCGTGCTACTTAGTACTCATGAGCAAGGTGCACCTGTAATCTTGAGGGAACTGGTACCCCCTGACGTATTCGATCCCTTGTCACTCAGCTTCACAGTCAGAAAAGTTACCATTAAGCTACCTGGGCCGTGACCGGCCCTCCTGTGGGATTGAGATGTAATCACACTAAACTGATCACTGGGTGATGATCAATGTCATGTGTATCAAGTCTTTCTTAGTTCAGATCGAATGCTATAGACCACGTTTCAATGTGGCCACTAGTCTAAGTGACTCGACATCACGTGCACTATGTTGAGATAAGATGGTGGCTGGAGGTAGTCAACAGGAACAGACACTTGGCCACATTACAACTTAGTCGATAGCATTTGATCTGCTTTAAGAAGGACTTGACACACCTGACATTGATCACCACCCAATGATCACTCAATTGTGATGAAATAAGCATCTTAGATTCTACCATTAATCATAAATGAACTAAACAAAAACACTATAGTTCGTAAGTTTAGACAGTTTCATTAACAATTGTACACAAGACAAACTATCTAGAATATAAATTCACTTGGTATTGTTTGGCTTGTATCTTCCCAAAAAGCTTGTGAATTAAGGTAATATCGAGGCATACGCACAGTATGCACATATGCCAATAACAGACTGATCAATTGCAGTCTTAAACCTCAATGGAAAGATACAAGCCAAACAATACATAGTGAATTTTAATTCACCCCATTGCACAAGCAAATGGCTATCAGGACTCAGTAGCTGAGTTGATAACGCGATGACGTTTAAAGCGAATAGCACTGGGGTCGAGTCTCAGAGAGAACATCAACTCTGAGATGCAGGTACATCCAGTTGACGAGTCCCAAATAGGACGAGACGCGTGTCCTAGATTCCACTGCTAGCCATTATCCATCATTGCTTACAAAATATCTAGAATATGTATACCAAAATTTCTTACCCATCCATTTTTCTTCACATTAGTTCCTGAAGATTTACAACCGGATGTGGTAGATGATACTTTATCAATTGAATTATCCATTTGTAATTGTTGACTATCTAAATCAGTAAGACTTGTATTTGAAATTGTTAAACGTGAATTAATATGTGCTTGTTTATTCTCACTATTACTACCAGTATTGGAAGTAGTATTAGTAGTAATAATCGTAGTGGTAGAAGTAGAAGTAGTAGTAGTAGTAGTAGAAATGCATGAATTTTCTTGTTGTTTCAATGTATCATTAGTAAATGATCTATTTAATTCACAAGGTCGATTAATTGGTGGTTTTTTTAATAGTCCTAATTCTGTTTGACTACGTAATGCATCAATTGTTGCTCTTAATTCATGTAGTTCTGAATCCTTTCGAAGAAAAAAAAATGCAAAAAAAAATTATATATTTATATAGACTAAATTATAGTAATTGTATAACTTGATATAATAGTGAATTAATTCAAGTTACTTTGTATTACAATATTGGGATCCCATTCAAACATCTTCCTAACGTACATATATCGTCATCAATGTTATGGCATTGGATGACTTACTTACTTACTTACTTACGCCTGTCACTCCCAACGAAGTATAAGCCGCCAACCAGCATTCTCCAACTCACTCTGTCCTGAGCCTTCCTTTCCAGTCTTGTCCAATTGCCGATGATTGAATTTCACTGATTAATTATGTGTGATAATCATATGAACTAGTGCGCTTTCATTAAATGTTTACAAACTATTGAAAAATTAATTTCTTTTTGTATTGGTTGTTTGAATCTTATCATTGATCAGTCTCTCTTATTGACATATGTTCATCATAAGTGGATTGCGTCGATATTGCCGTCAATCACAATCGTTATAAGCGTAGAGATGGATGGTGGCTAACAGTGGAATCTAGTACAGGCGTTTCGTCCTATTTCTAACTCTTCAGCCGGATGTGCCTGCATCCCAGCGTTGATGTTCAATCCAGGAATCTAACACAGTACCGTTTACTTTAAACCCCATCACGTTATTCCGTTAGCTATTGAGTCCAAATAGCCATTAGCTTGTGTCAATGGGTGAATTATAATTCATTCGTATTACTTACTTAAAGCACTGGATGGTCGGTTCGTCCTAATGTAGTAAATAAGAACACCAATTGGGAAAACCGAATGACTATGCGGTAACTATTCGCCGGACACTGTCGAGCACAAAGAACCTATTCCACGTTAGAAAATAGTTTTTTAATGTTTCATTATTAGGAATAATTGTAAACTATCTTCAATATAGAACAGCTTCAAATTAGAATGGAAAAGTAGGGATTAAATTCATTCTAATTTTGTTTTAATGAACTGCCAACTGCCAACAATTTCATCTTAAAGTGTAAATGATCTTTAAATTCAGATAAACATTAGTTGTTGAATAGTAGATGAATAAGGATGATGGTAATGATGTTGATATCCCTAACAATAGCTGCATGTTTAACACGATAATCTGGCTTGCCTATTGTGATGACGGAATCAAGCTTTCATGGTCAGAATATTTCTTAAGGTCCTACCATACTAGGTAGGTCAGCTGAAGAATAATAAGACTGAAGGCTGCAACTTGAAGTCTTAGAGCAAAGTCATACCACTATTTGTTTGGAGGTGTAATGGTAGTAATGTATTACTCTCAGAATTTGCAGTCATGCTGACTTCCAACAATTAAAGGAAGTGGTTATAAAGATCGGGATTAAAATTAGCACACTTTACCTTATCCTATAGGCTTTTGTTTTCTGGAGTAAGGCTCTAAATGTACAGCGTTAACACATCAAGATCTGTCCACAAAAAGTCATTCATGAGTGACCTCAAATAAATGTTTCTTGAGGTCTACAGTTACATTCCCAAATTGACATGAACATCTCTAATCTAGTTTCTTATTCAGATCTCTCAAGAAGCAGTCTCCTTCCTCAGTGTGTCCAACTGGGAAGTGATAGCTCCTCTCATGCATTTTAAATTACTCAAGATGTTCATAACAATGGGATAAATGGATAATATATAGAGTGACACTGATCGAAAAAACAACAGGTCCGTTGGATTAAATTGATTATTTATAGGAGTTTGTATTATTTATCAATCTACCTACTGAAAACTGAAACTAATCAATCTCTATTGTCATCTTGAGTGAATTACTTCAATATCATAGTTTGACTACATGATTATTTTTAGTTAGATTGAATTTCAGCTAACAATGCAATTCAAGAGGCCACATTTTACCGTATTTAAGAGTTGTTAGGTACATCTAGGTGTGACAAGTAACAATTAGGAAGAAATACATATATATTATGTACTACACTCTTAGTAACAATTTAATGTTACTAAACCAACTATTCACTTTGTGTTACTTACTTGTATCTTCCTATTGTTATTTAGGGCTAAAATTGATCAATCTCTCCTATTGACATATGTGCATCCTGTGCGGACTGCCTCGACATAGCCTTAAGTCACAAGCATTATAAGCAAAGATGGATAGTGGTTAGCAGTGGAATTCAAGATGCATGTTTCGTCCTATTCAACTCTGAGATGCAAGTAAATCCAGCTGACAAATCCCAAACAGGACGAAACGCTTGTGCTAGACTCCACTGCTAGCCATTATCCATCTTTGCTTATAAACTAATTATGTTTCGAATCCGCTTTTTCTATTACAACTTACCAGTTCACATTCAAGTAGATATCATATCCGCTTCATCAGTCGATCAATCAATCAGTTTATTACAAACTCATTCATTCATAATCACACATAAATTTGTAACAAGATACCAAATTAATCAATTTACATCGTAAGGATTTATCAGTCAAAAGAATCAACATGAAATTACATTACTTACCTTTCTTGTTGTGGTATTTGATAAATTCTGTAGTCGTTGTGACATATTGTTTAAACTTTGTTCAAAAGCTGAGACAACATGAGCCTAGAATAGAATGAAATAACCATTTTAATAAACAAATTGAAGTTTTAATTGAATCACACTCAGGTTGATAGTTATCAACGGAGTTGAAATGAAGATACACAAAGGGATGAAGAACAGTGACAAAAAGAAATATGATGTCATAGGTAATAAATTCACAATGTATGGCTGAAGTTTATTGATTGATCCATATCAGTTTCATGCTTCTCTATTGGTTTTAAATAATAAAAGGATGATCATTAATTGCATAAACGTTTTTCGGTTTTTACGATTGATTACATTGGCTACCCTATAAGCTTTACTCATATATTTGATGTGTAGCTAGCATTGAGCATTGAAACCAAAGATATTGGGTTGGAGTGTCAGTGCGAACATCAACAATGAGATGTAGCAACAGGTACATCCAGTCGATAAGTTCCAAATAGGACGAGACGAGAATCCTGTAATACATTGCTAGACACTTACCAGCTACAAAGAAACTTGTAATGTAATGCGATATTGAGTTAGTCTAATCATCCCCAAACAGTAAATTACACACCTTTACTAACACACTTTTTTATTCTTAATTGAAAAATGAATATAGAACAATACATGTCAAAGTTTGATCGATTTAGAATGGACTGATAAAATTTATCAGTTAAATTGTTTGTAGATAAATAGATTATTCACTTGGTGTTGTTTTACTTGTATCTTCCCATTGTTATTTAAGACTGCAACTGGTCAGTCTTTTGTTGGCATATGTATATCCTGTGCGTATTGCCTCGATATAGCCTTAAGTCATAAGCATTATAAGCAAAGATGGATAGTGGCTAGCAGTGGAATCCAGGATGCGCGTTTCGTTCTATTTCAAAATTGTCAGCTGGATGTACCTGCATCCGAGAGTTGCATATATGTCAACAAAAGACTATTCAGTTGCAGTCCTAAATAACATACAAGCAAAAGAACACTAAGTGAATTTCAATTTCACCCCATGACAGAAGCAAATGATTACCAGAACTCAATATCTAAGTGGATAACGTGATAGCGCTTGAAGAGAACGGTACTGGCTTGGAGTCCTGGAGCGAACATCAACTCTAGGGTGCAGGTACGTCCAGCTGAAGAGTCCCAAATAGGACGAAGTGTGCATCATGGAGTTCACTGCTAGTCATTATCCTCCCTTGTATACAAATAGATAATTTTAATTCGAATGAAAAAATCAAGTAGAATGTTGTTTTTTTTCTTTCAAATGAGATACATATTCATTAAGTGAATTTCTTCTAACATTTTTTAAAAAAGTATGAAGATTATATATGTATCAGTTTAGGGCTTTGGAGATTGTTGAGTTCCATTGAACTCATCAACCGATCAATGTTAGATCAGTATTGAAAACCTGGAATCTCTACATATTCGTTTCATCCTGGCACGCAATCTCCTCACCAAAGGGAATATAAAACCATAGTCTTTAAGTCTAGCACACGAACGCTTAACTTTTAGACAACTCATCCGGCATCTATTGGCGTTTATGTCTAACTTCAATTAATGCATCATCTTGCGCAACACTTCATCTATTGTTCGAGATGTATATCTGTCTTACATCCGATACAGGTTAGCTCCATTGATTATAACTTCTCATTAGAACCACAAGAGTTACATCTGAGAGCTAATCATTAGTGAATACATGATAATTATCAGTATAAGGTTGTAAAGATAGTTGAGTTTCACTGAAACCATGCACCCATCTCTATCTCTATGTATATATATAATGTACTCTCTTGTTCTGTTGTGTTGTCTATACTTTCAGTATTTCTTTCTATCCAATACACACTGAATACCTCTCTTTCATTCTCTCCTTCACTTTCATACTTTTTTCATGTATCATTCCTTTTAGCTTATTTCAAATGTCTATTTTTTTTCAATTATGTCACTGGAGAAATGTAAGGAAAAAAGAAGAATTTTTTCACGTCACTGCAAGTCTATTTCATTAAGAAAGAAGAAAAGAAAAGAAAGGAAAATAAAGAAAAAAAAAGTGTCACTGTATAGTTGAATGTGTGTTTCAATGGTTAAGTTTAATTAAATAACATTTGTTTAATACAATAAGGTTAGTGTTGTATTTTTAGGGGAGACAAATGTTCAACTTTAGCGGTGTTTTTTTTTCTTAGACACATGGAATCTTTAAGGCCAAATGAGAAGAGGATGACCATAGAACACATTACTCCGAGAAATGAAGATAGATATGAGAAAAATGAATAACAATTGGATAGAACTAGAAACGAAGGCCCAGGATAGAGTAGGGTGGAGAATGCTGGTTGGTGGCCTATGCTCCATTAGGAGTAACAGGCGTAAGTAAGTAAGTAAGTAAGTAAGTAAGTAAGTAAGTAAGTAAGTAAGTAAGTAAGTAAGTAAGTAAGTAAGTAAGTAAGTAAGTAAGTAAGTAAGTAAGTAAGTAAGTAAGTAAGTAAGTAAGTAAGTAAGTAAGTAAGTAAGTAAGTAAGTAAGTAAGTAAGTAAGTAAGTAAGTAAGTAAGTAAGTAAGTAAGTAAGTAAGTAAGTAAGTAAGTAAGTAAGTAAGTAAGTAAGTAAGTAAGTAAGTAAGTAAGTAAGTAAGTAAGTAAGTAAGTAAGTAAGTAAGTAAGTAAGTAAGTAAGTAAGTAAGTAATATTCATCTTACTTAAGGTATCGTTTCGAATGTCAGTAAGAAATGGACAGATATTTTGCCCTAGAATAAGGCCTTTCTCCATTGATTAGCTACCATATGACCAGAGATAAGGCACAAGACAATAAGGTTTTGTGGAAAGCGTCTCATCATTATAAACAATGTGTCAGTCTCTAATGGTATAATTCCAATGTCAGTCATTTTACGGTATAGTGCTATGACTATTCAATTCCAACGGTGACAAATATTTTACTCGCAATATATTTCAACTCCATCAGATAGGATTTCTTACTTTAACTTTAGGAACACATTGAAATATAGGTTACTAACCGGCTAACTGGTATAGTTGATCAGTATAGGATTTAAAGATCTAGAGATTAAGCATTCACATACGAAACCGAATGTCCTGAGTTTGCTTTTTGCGCACGGAATTATGAATGGGCACTGCACAGAAGTTCCGTGCTAAGGGAAAGAGGATGATTTGCAATATATTGATCTTTTTTCGTGATCCCGTCAATGATTCACTGACTCATAACATTAAGGCATGATTATCAAACTTACTGATTACCAGTTATATCAATCTCAACAACATTGAATTGACCTTAATCATTCACTTCTTAAAACAATCTACAATAAATCTGTCATTTAAGGAAAAGTAGTTCCATAATTTTTTTTTATTACCCTGAGAACATCAAACATAAGGTGAGGCTCATTGTTATCAGTCAATTCGATAATGGCTTAAAAACAATCAGCTTTTTGTCATTTGAACAACTGTGCATTGTTCAAAATAATATCAAATACACATTGGAAACGATTTGAATAAATATGTCTGCGGAATATAAACTTGGCGCTATATATGTATATCATATCTCATGTTAACATGACCAGTAAGGTAATGAATGGGAATAAAAGTAATAAGAAATGATGGTTGAACAATTAAAGTACGGTTTATTCAACTGATTATATACCACACGGCTGGAAGAGATAAAGTCAAGAGTGGTAAAAAGAAAAAGAATGTGTTTGACATGCGATTTCGCCTTTTTCCTACTCCGTTCATTTGAACAAGTTTGATTGTCATTAAGTGAACTTATATGCGTGTATAGTTTAGTGATGTTAACATTTTGGTCATGATTATTAGAATAGGGATTTGTGGAGACTGAAATGATTTTAATAGTTAAATTCACGAGTCTATCTAAGCTAGACTTCCATTGAAAACCTGGAAGCACCGGATGGTCATTTCATCCTGGTATGTTGAATGCCGACTCAATGTTCTATAAGTCAAGCGTTCACGTGTGAGACCGAAGATCCTGGGTTCAAGTCACACATGTAACACCGCTGATGCTTACTGCCGATGAGTCACATACTAGGACGAAACGGACGTCCAGTGCTTCCAGGATGTTCGTTTCGTTCTGTTGTGGGACTCAGCAGTGCCCATCCACGATCCCACCTCGGAAGAATCGAACCCAGGACCTATTTTTTATACAATAATTGAACGGATTGTAACTATGGCTCAAAATAATAGTCAATTAAAAGATGAAGATCATCAGAACTGTGATAACTATTAGAGCAAGACATTTCGAACAATCTGATCACACATAATACACTTGTTAAGAACACTTATATATTAAAAATAAAAAGGTCAACTAGACTAGAAATGGGGTGGGGGTGGAGGGTAAGAAGAGACAAGAATAGTAAGGAAAATAATAATGTGAAAACACTTTGAAACCATATCATTCTGGATAATCAGTAGTATGCATCTACAACCCCTCGTGCTGAGGAGTCCCATACTAAGACGAAACGGATGTCTAGTCCTTCCAGATTTTAAATGATGATCTAGTTTAAATCGGTTCATGAATTTAACTATTAAAAATTAAATTATTTATTACATATTGGGGACTAGTCTTGATCAACATGCAATCTGATACATATACACGTTTGCCCAAATTCCCATATTCCATTGAAATGATATGATCAAATTAACCGGATAAATGATAAAAGAGTAAAAGTATCCATAATGACAAGGAATGAACAATAAGAATATAGTTTAGGAGAAATGAATAGAAAGGTATACATGAAAGAGTTATGAAATTCAAGATGTAAAGGAAGATAAAAGAAAATAATGAATAGATTTGTTTCATTTTAATTTGTTGCAATCTACATCATCTAACATCTCTAATCGCTAATCAAAATTTGTCTGATGACTTCAATCAGATAGGTAAAATTATTCAATATGTCACAGATTGAAATCATAAGTCAATTGAAGCTAGACCACCATGGAAAACCTGGAAGCACTGGACGGCCGTTTCGTCCTAGTATGGGGCTCCTCAGCAGTGCGCGTCCACGATCCAATATAGTTCAGATCAAGTGTTAATGATTTTGTGTACTAATATCACATATTAGTTTGACTGTTCCCTATGTCTATTATTAAAATTAAACCCGTTTATTATTATGAACATAAGTCGGATGATTAGGATAATATTTGTGTTATAACTTGTTCCCTGTGTCCTATTAATTTAAAATGTAGTGTTACCGCCAATTAGAGAACAGTGAATTATTGACCGGATCAATGACGCATAAAACCTGTATGAGCAGTCTAGAGTCTTTATCGGTTTTGCTTCCTACCTAGCCCTGCCTGTTGAGTCCAGAATATCAATCTCAGTCTTCGTGATATGAAGCATATATTTCAAGCATACTGGGTTTATATACAAACCAAACAGACCACATTGTACCATAAAATGGAAAATAGCATTTGTACAAGATTTAGTCAAAAAAAGACTGTGAATTTGGGAGATTGTAATTGATAGACTGGGCAATCCAACTGTTAGCTAACTTAGCTGAGGTGAATAAACAACAACCGATTTTCCGGTTTTCCGAAGTAGCAATAAAAAGATTAGAGTGTTATAGAACAACTTGGCCAATAAGTAACACAATACCATTAATTGTAATTGTAGAGATTTCTTCTACATTATTTACGACAGTCAGTCATATGACTTGCTCTTTAAATTGTTAAGTGTATTAAATAATTAAAGGAGGTGAAATGTTAAAGAATTCACGATATTATATGACAATCTTCCTTTGCCTGTGATGGATCATTGTCTTACATACTAGACATGATTAAACTCCCAAATACTCCGGTACCGCCGAGGGTGGGGAGAGTCAGTTCTCCCTCTTGAAATGATTCCACATGGCCACGCGTATACAGCCACTGCCAGGAAAGTTCTACTCACTGCTTTCTCGTGGCAGGGGTGTTGTTTACGAAACTGAAAGAACGAAAAGCGAATATCTGGCGCTTTAACTGGGCTGGTGGTCATGAAGAGTCCATCTAGGGGAGTGGGTAAACCCTGATTCCAAACCACTGGTGCACATAGGCTCCAGAATCCTGATGAGAAAAATGGCATGTGAACCAACTATCGGTCACTGTCTACCATGGGATCGCATCTCCTGACGTTGCTCTACTGCCATGTGGATTAGACCTTTAGGTCGAAGGCTCCGGATGTGGCCACCTAAGAAAACCACCTGCTTCGGTCTAGGCACCTGACAGTCCACACATAGATGAAGTAAGATTTTGTGTCGCATATGTATTCGGTGTTCCTTTCTGCTAATACTTATGTGTTCAAATAAAAATATATAAATAAACTCCACTGATCACAGGTTCTCATTAGAACTCCAGGAATTACATCTAGAAGTCAATCACAAATAAGTTTACTTAGTGTATTCATTTCACGTCAAAACCACCAGCAATCAAGGTGTTTTCTTACTCTATCTAGTTAAACGGGAAAGTCTTTATCCAGGAAATTTAAACGGACTACACATTTCTCTCTTTGTGATATGTAACCATGTTATGGATATGAATTCAACTGATGAAATCATTTTTTAATCCATCTTTTGATAGAAAGTGTTCAGTTAACTTTTAGTAGCGATAATATTTACATTTCTATTCAGTTATATTACTGTATATTACTTTTCATCACTGATTAACATTCACTAGAGAAGACGGAACCCAGAGTATAGTAAGTCACAGTTTCATACTCATTTCCAATTTTTTGCAACATCGTATACCACTGATAATGCTTGATAATTGAATTCAGTCATCTATAAAATTTAACTCCGCCTGGAGTCCCTCCGAGGCTACTGCCGGTCCCAAGCCCGGATAAAGGAGGAGGGTTGGGCATGGGTTAGCGTCCCCATCCCGTAGAAAACTGACTCGCTAAAAAAACGCTAACCAGAAATCTATAAAAACTCTCTGTTTTGATAATGATATTATTTAGCCTACATTATTTCATGACATTGAAAGTGGATGGAACACACATTGAGAAAATCATTAAACTGCATCGTGAGGCTAACCCTAACTTGGAATCCTGAATGGAAACGAAAAAAAGGAAGACTAAAGAACACATTACGTCGGGAAATAGAAACAGGTATGAAAAGAATGAATAACAACTGGAAAGAGCTGGTTAGGAATGTCCAGGACAGGGTTGGATGGAGAGTGTTGTTGGGAGACCTATGCTCCTCCGTGAGTGGTTAATTCTTAGTACTCCTATTTAAATTCCATTAATCAGTGTTTGTCAAATCTCTCAAACTAACAACTGTCAAACATCAAACCACTAAGTGTAATGTAATGGTGAATCACTTAAACTAATAGCTACATTGTAGATGAATGATAAGTTATTATATTGTATCGAACAGTACGAGTAGTACTAAGGATACATCGTATAGTATAGTATGGTATAGTATAGATCATAAACAAACCCTTCGACTATTGACTGGTTTTTGACGCCTTATATTTGATAATATAGGTAAATCCCTATTATTATCCCCATGTAGATCAGTAATTATTGATGGATATGTTAAACAAATACCATTTTGTTCATGTACATTTGAATGAGTTTTAGACAATTGAGAAGATCTTTTCAACATTTGTGGAATTATAGTATATTGTTGTTGTTGTTGTTTTAATCGGATCATTTCATTTTCCAATTCATTATTATTATGATGCTGATAAGTAATTCCAGATTGTGTATAACGTCTTCTTTCTATTGGTCGAATTCTATTCTTATGTAGTGTATTCGATTGAATTGGGGAAGTTATACTATTGAATGTTACATTACCAATAGGCAATGCAGTTGTTGTTGTTGTCGTTAATAGTAATGATGATGATGTCTTTGTAAAAGAATCAGATCGTTGAAAAGCTGATGAATATTGATGTTGACATTCACTTAAAGGTACTTGATAATAACAATGTTGTAATGAATTATTATTTATCTCTGTGACTGAGTATTCCCTAGTAGTAACCAAATGATTCCCAGTTGAATAGTTTTGATTCGGTTGATTAATTGAATTAAGTTGATTTAATGATTGTAAACTGATAGCAGATTGTATACTTAAATTACTATTTATAGAATATACAGGAGTTGAATAGGTATTTCGGTGATTATTGATTAATTGATTATTGATTAATTGATTATTCTCTATTTGTTTGTGATGTTCACAAGATTGTTTATATTGTTGATTAAGAGAATAATCTTCATCTTTATTTATATATGATCTTTCTTGAATTATTTGATCATGATTAGAATGATATAGATTTCTATTCATTGAAATTGAAGTCATTGGATAATTGAATATTTCATTGGTTATTGATTGTATAGGTTGATGAATTATTCTTCGATTTCTTAATGGTGACAATGTATTATTATTATCATTATTACAGGCTATAGTTGATATCTTTGAATGATTTCTTCTTTGATGTTTTATTGAATTGTTAGATGAAATTGTTGACAAGTCAGATAAGATTGGTTGAGGGAATGTTGTTAATGTAGTATGTCTTGTTGATAGATGATTATCAATAAACAATTGTGGTGAAGATGGAGGTGTTAAATTCGGTGATTGATTATTAATATTATTTCTATGAATGAATTGATCATTAGTATTACATAATAATAATAATGATGAATTACGATTGAATGGATTAGAACTTACACTACGTCGACGAATCATTAATCCTGTATTGTTTTTTGATTGAACATTTTGTGAACAATTATAATTTGGAATATTTGTTGGAACAATAACAATATTATCATTAAATGTTTTTGGTAATATAACCTTACTACTAATAGTACTATCATTGACACTATTATTATTATTACTAGAAGTAATAATAGTAGTATCGTTATTAGTAGTATTTATAGTGTTGATAGGAGCAGTAGTCGTTATTGTTGTTGTTGTTGTTGCCGTTATCGTTGTATTATTAATACCCCATATAAGTGAACGACGACGTACACGTGGATCTAATGGTTCTGAGGTAACTGATGTCAGTGAATAAAAATTTGGATATAGAGCATCCATTATTCCCTTATTTATTTATTTATTTTAGAAGAGAATGGAGTAATATAATTCCAAATGGAACAAAAAGCTTATAATTTAAGTAACATACTTGATACCATCTAATCATTGTAAAGTAATCATATAAGTAGTATTATTCCATAGAGTAAAATAAACTTTCAACTATGTGTTCCATCCATTGAAACTATACACGATCATTTGAATGTTGAATATGATATATTTTCAAAGAAGAGAATTTACTGTAGAATAATCTGTAAGTATATGTACATATGTACATTAATTCGTTAATACACAATTATATACACTATTCGATACTGAAGAATATTAGCGTGTTCGTGTGTATGTACACATACATATTCCGGCATCATAATGCTGCTGGTGATGATGATCAGAAATATACAATCCTAGTTGTTGACTATTCAACTGTTAAACATTATAAAACTTCAGAGAATATATAGATACACATAAAGTGCACATATGTATCTTATCTAGAGACATATAAGCACATTTGAATGATTCAATTGGAAATGTTCGTTGTTAATCTACTAATTTAAAACCATCCCTTGGATATGTATATACATGTCTAACGGTGTTCATTTTTACAATGATAGACATAATCATATATATATATATATAACACATAACCATATGAACAAAGGAATCTTTACTATATTTTTCAAGAAACAATTTAAGAAAACTGGGATCATACACAATTGTATTACACTTTACAAACGTGCGCATACACATACACACACACACATACACCCATATACCCTCAATCTTCTTATTGATCGGTTCTTGAGGAATGTGAAGTGTATTTATAGTTTGAAAATTAAAACTGATTGGAAATATCTATTCGACAATTTAATTTTCAAACAAGCAAACAAGCAAACAAACAAGTGTCTATAAAGCAGCAATGTATGTGTGCTTGTTTGTGTATATACGGACACATTCACTACAGTTACTACAATTTACCGGTAGTGAATCGGTTTTATCTTTCTATATATATATACACACACACTCACATATGCCTACTTATGTAATACTGTATCGATCGAATTAATAGGTTATTTTCATTTTTTTGTTGTTGCTATCACAGCATTTACACTCTTAGGAAACATATTCTCATGACTGTTCATCAAGATGAGTATAAAAAATGATGTATGTATTCAGTGTGTATTTAATGATGTAATTGTGTACTATTATTTGTTTAAAGAAAAACAGTTTTATTTACTTGTAATACTCCGGTAATCATATATTATGTTCATAATCAGAGAGGGATTTTGTAGAAATTATAGAAATTTGATAGTTGAATTCATGAGACAATTGAAGCTAGATCACCATGAAAAACTTGGAAGCACTGGACGGCCGATTCTTCCTAATATGGGACATCTCAGCGATACTCACTCATCGTTCCAGAGAGATTCAAACACAGGGTCTATCAGTCTTGTGCGTGAGTGCTTAACCACTAGACCACTGAGGCGGAATCGTGGACGTGCACTACTGAAGAGTCTCATACTAGGATGAAACGGTCATCCAGTGCTTCCAGGTTATCCATGGTGATCTAGCTTTAATTAACTCATGATCTCAATTATTAAAATTATTACAATCTCCATAAAACCCCTTCTCATACTAATCAACAAATGCTCATTAGTGACTGGCTTCAAGAGACACTCCTGAAGTTCTAGTAAGAAGCAGTAACCAGTGGAGTTCAACCAGGTCTGTTGTGAAATAATAACTCACTGAAGACAATAGTGGATGTGTCGCTAAAATTTCGTGGATTAATTGAAGTTAGACATAAACATCACTGGACGCCAGCCGTCTGAGTGGTCTAGTGGTTAAGCGCTCGCGCGTGAGACCAGCAGGTCCTGGATTCGAATCACGCGAGGCAGGGTCATGAATGCGCACTGCTGAGGATTCCCACAATAGGAAGAAACAGCCGTTCAGTGCATATAAATGTATTCACTGACATAAAGAAAACTAATGAACACACTAAATGAAAACTGTTCCCCTCTCTCTTTCTCTATCGCTCTAATCGGAGGTGTATATGGATGCGAAGGGAACACTCGAGCAGTGTATGTAAATGTCTCTGTATGTGTGTTACGGGGGGGGGTTAAATGGGAAATTATTAAATATTCATTCTTTCCATGTGAGATATGTACGCTTATCATTATTATTATTAATGTTGATGAAGAGATTAAGGTTATGTAGAGATGCCTTAAAAACCTCTCGAATGTATTTCTTGTTTTCTGAATTAATATTTATTTACTCTTTATATAGATATGCCAAAAATATAACATGAAAATGTCAATATATGTAAAATAAGAAAACATAAATGTTAAGAAAATCATTATAAGGAATAAAACCTTGATAAAGTTTATTTATTCAAATATGTTGCCAACATGTTACTTGCTGTGAATAACATTAAAGATAATTAATTGATCAGTGGGTGGTGATCAATGTCATATATGTCAGGTATTTCTTAGTGCAGATTGAATTCTATCGACCAAAGTTACAATGTGGCCACCAGTCTAAGTGACTCAACATTATATGCACTATGTTGAGATAAGATGGTGGTTGGAAGTACACTTTGTCGATGGGTGCCATGTAGGTCCAGGGTTTCCTATTAACTATCTTCAACTACCATCTTATAACATTAAGTAAATATTAGTTAGAATAAAATGAAAATTCATTGGAATGTTATAATTTCACTAACGCACTTATAAATGTAAATTATCATTATTGATGAAGTTTAATAGTGGAACGTATATTTGTCAGAAGGCCACGTTAAGACTTACATTTTATCCAGCTTGATATTTAATACTTAATAAAGTCTACACTGACATTCCTGAAAGAATTGATACGAACCACCCTATGAGATTTGAACTAACCATATTCATAAATGTTAATAATCAGTTATTCATACTGTAATTGACTTTGAATTTAAGGATGAGATTTAAACATATTGGGTAGTAACCAATTGAATTTTTACTTAATGATTGATTAACTAATACTAACTAGAATGGAACTTAGGCCATCTATTCAACTGGCCTCTTATTAGTTACCTTCAACTATCTAACACTGTATATTTGGTCATGTTTTTATATATATTATCATCTAATTGATAAAATTTATAATTTACACCATTAGAGATAAGACATACTTCAAATACTATGAGATGGTGGAGATTTGTAGCTACGGTTGGTCAGTCAGCTACAACGTAGGACCAGGCATATATGTACATCGGTTCAAGTCGCCATATCTCATTAGCATAACAAGATGAACACCAAATTCATGGAAATACTTAACTCATTGGTGGTAATATATAAAAGAAAGATAGCATATAAGGATATAGTACAGGAAGAGGGAATTAATTCGTAGAAAGAAAGGTATGAAGTGATTTTAATCTCACAGTTTAAGGGAAGAGATGATTTTGATAAAGTTTTGTTCTCTGATTTGGATGATTCGGTCGTGGACGTCATCAGCACAAACATCAGGTAGGAGTTTGTGCTGATGACGTCCACGACCAAATCATCCAAATCAGAGAACAAAACTCCATTAAAATACTTCAAATATTGATCATTATAATTGTTATCATTAGTACTAATTGACTTCGCTTCTATGAAACTATTAGTCTAATGGTTAAGCGCTCGCACGTGAGACTGGTAGGTCCTGGGTTCGAATCTCACGGGCTACGGGATTGTAGATGCGCACTGATAAAAAGTCCCATACTAGGATGAAACGGCCATCCAGTGCTTCCAGGTTTTTCATGGTGGTTTAGCTTCGATTAAATCATGATTTCAATCAGTGAACTTTCTAAAATCTCCACAAAACCCCTTATGATAAAACTCTAGTTATCTGAATGAATAAGTAGATTTCGCGCCAAAATCCAAGACCTGTTATTTTATACATAATTGATTCATCTATAAATTATAGTCTTGCCAAAATAACTTTAAAGTAACCTCTGGTGTATATGATTTGATTAAAATGGATAAAAATCTAGGTAAAATTAATATTTTAGTGATTAACCAATTAGAATTTAGAATATGATTTTTAAATTTTGGCGCGGAATTTAAATATTGCGTATAATGAGCAGTAAAACTAACTTAGTACACTAATCAAAATTCACTTGATATTGTTTTACTTGAATCTTCCCATTGAAGTTTAAGAATGCAGTTGATCAGTCTGTTATTGGCATATGTGCATACTGTGCGTATTGCATTAATATTGCCTTAATTTACAAGCATTATAAGCAAAGATGGATAGTGGCTAGCAGTGGAATGCAGGACGCACGTTTCGTCCTGTTTAGGACTCGTCAGAAGGATGTACATGCATCTCAGAGTTGACGTTCACTCCGACACTCTCACCCAGTTCTAAACATCAATAGGTTGATTCAAGTAAACAACACAAAGTGAATTTAAACTTCACCCTATTGCACTAGTAAGTAGCTGTTAGGACTCAGTAGGTAAGAGGAAAACGTGATATCGTTTAAAGCGAACGGCACTGGGTTCGAGTCCTAGAGTGAACATCAATTCTGAGATGCAGGTGTATCCAACTGATGAGTCGCAAATAGGACGAAACGCATGTTATGGATTTCACTGCTAGCCATTATCCATCTTTGCTTACTATTCAAAATGTTTATCATGATTACAAAAAGTTATTATTTTTTTAAATCACCAAGTCAAAAGGGATGGTGTTAAACGTATCAAACGCTTAATTGAGATTGTGTATAACTTGCTTATCAGTACTATATGTAAATTTCAATCTTAAACTCTTAAGCCTGAAGTAAACCTTGACCTAATGTCATTGGATTTTATGGATGAATAAATCAGATATTACCCTTTAATATGTTTGATAAAATTCTTTTATCCATTTGATTACATAGAACTTTTCTCATTTATAGCTGATATGATTTCATGATTAGAACCTGGTCACAATTGATTGATCACTAGGTGGTGATCAATGTCATATATGTCAAGTCCTTATTTAGTGCAGATCGAATGCTATCGAATATGTTGCAATGTGGCCACCAGTCTAGGTGACTCAACACTGCGTGCACTATATTTGAGATTAGATGGTGGTTGGGGATAGTCGACAGGAAACCCTGGACCCAGGTTTCGTGCTACATGGCACTCGTCGCGGCTCAGATAGCTCAGTGGTAACGTCTCTGACTGTGAAGCTGGGTGACACGAGATCGAATCCGCCAGGGAGCACCAGTTCCCTCAAGATTATAGGTACACCTTACTGCCGAGTGTTAAGTAGCACGAAACCCGGATCCAGGGTTTCCTGTCGACTACCTCCAACCACCATCTAACCTTAGCAGCTGATGCCTAACTCCTTGATCTTTACTCTACTTAAGCTTAACAAGGAATAATAAAGGGGCTCTTAAAAAAATGTATTTGAGTTCTTTTTAATATTCTATGATATGAATAAGTCTATATGTCATTGTTCTTTAAAATTTGTAATTCAAGTAAATGATTTTCATGTAGTTCCATTCTCTGAGCTGAATAGTTTAGTTATGGAACCTTCATTGTTCCTATGGAAAACATCATCAATTTCGCAACTGTACCATATAGTTCACACAAATGAAACTTCACTGAATTCCTTTTTCTTTCAGGAATAAAATGTCTGACTGTAGAAAATATAAAAGATCGAGAAGGAAAGAACGCTAACAAAAAGCAACTGGTGCGGTAATGCAGGAACAATGAAGTCTGAGATGATTGATAGACATTTTGCAAATGAAGTCATTACTGTATGGTCCTCAGATTTTACTAAGGGATTTTGTAATTTTGTGTTCACATACTTAAAAGCACTGGGTGGCTGTTTCTTCCAAGTATGGAAATCCTCATAAGTGTGCATCCACGATCAAACTCAGGACCTGTTGATTTCGCGCGCGAACGCTTGACCTCTAGACCACTGAGCCGGCATCCAACGGTTTTAATGTGCTTCCAGATTTTTCATGGTGGTCTAGCTTCAATTGTCTCATGAATTCAACCATTAAATTACTACAATATCTACAAAACCCTTTTCTTAATTTAAATAAAGTTGTTCTGTTACTATTTTGACTTCTTTGAATAACACGCTTATTCAATGAAATCCTAATTTCTCACTTTAGTCTCTCATCAACCGAGTGGACGTACGATTTTAGTCATAATGTAGTGAACGAGAACAAAAGTTGGTACAATTGAACGTATGTGAACACAAAATTACGGAATCCCTTAGTAAAGTCAGAGGACCATACAGTAAAGACTTCATTTGCAAAAAGTCTATCAGTCGTTTCAGATTCCATTGTTCCTGTATCACCATACCAATTGCTTTTTGTTCACGTTCTTTTCTTCTCGATCTTCTTGACCTTCTACTGTCAGACATTCTATTCCTGATTAGCGTTATATACTACTTATGTTAATATAAGTAGTACACACCACAATTGTATCTATCGTGTATTCGTTATCAGGTTTGTCTAGTTTACGTAAATCTTGTCTCATATTCGTAAAGAAAACAAAATCTCTTAATCATTCATAATTTAGAATAATCTCAAATTAGGACATTAGAATAATGTTGAAATGGCGATTGCTTCATATGTCAATAGTCATACTGAAATTGTTAGCTGCAATTATTATTAGAAAGAAAGAAGGAAGGAAGGAAGGAAGGAAGGAAGGAAAGAAGGAAGGGAGCAAGGAAAGAAAGAAAAAAAGAAGGAAAGCAAGAAAGAAGGGAGGAATGAGAGAATGAAAGAAGAAATTTGACAAATTCGTAGAAAGAAAGAAAGTTTACCACGAACTTACATTCGTTGTTAATTGTGTTGTTAATTCACTAACTTTTTTCTCAGCTTGTTCAAGTTTACGTTTAAGTTTTTGTATCTATAACAAAGAAAAAAACAAAAATATTGACAAAAATTCCTTGGAAAATGTTATAATGAAAGAAAAAGAAAGGTGACTTGAATTAGTAACAAAGGACTAAGTGATATGACTTAAAATCTAAGTGGAATCTAAACAGAATAAACTTTACAATATGTGATCTCTTAAATTCAATGTGACCAAACATATCAGTCTTTAATCACTGATTAATCATGGCTTACATCCATCCTGTACACTAGTTCTCTATTCAACTTTGATGTAAGAAAAACTGTTGGATACGGAGTCAGTGGTTTAGAGGCTAAGCGTTCGAGCTCCAAACTCAAACTGTTTGGTTTTGATTCCTTTTGGTGAAGGATAATGGATGTGCACAAAGTGATATGTTTTACTACCGATACGCGTAAAATGTCTTCCAAGTTAGTTCCTACAACTCCAGACTACTTCTACATGTTTACTGGAACAATAAAGAGAAGGCACGAATTACGTGTAAAAGCTTTAATTTATAGTTAGTTCATGTATAGAGAAAGCAAGGTTATGTTTGGAGTCCTACATGACCTTGAGCTTCTGGAAATTTTAAAAACCATACTAACTATATCAAAGGTATAGACAATTATCCAGTCAGAATTGTGATATGTGATTCTATTCAATGCTGATTAGATAAAACATTTCCTGTAGCTTCTAGGACTTAAGAGAATTTGATGAGAGATATTTCGGGACTTTTCCAACACATTGAACCACGAAACCATTGAAAACCTGTTTCTTTCTAGTATGAGACTTTTCTGTAGCGTGCACCCATAACCCCACCACTAAGGATCAAACTAAAGACAGTTAAGTTTCATTATGAGCGTTTGACTTCCAGATTACTGACTAGGTACCTAATAGTTGATATTATCCAAAGTCACTCAGTCTGTAATATTGCTCAACCATCTTCTAATGTCATTATTAAGCAAAAGTTGAACTGTACTGGTCACAACTTCTCACAAAAACTTCAAGAAATACCTCTCGAAATCAATCACTATTGACTACAACGAAATCATAACTGTGGAATGCTGGTAGTCCAACTAAGATCAATGCATGCTATAAACCATAAAATTCAACACTTTTCATGAAATTCCTTTAAGACTAGGTTATTTAAACACTAGTTATTTTGTTGTATAAGTTTGCATGGCCTACTTCCATCTGGTACACTAGTTCTCCTCTATTCAACTTTGATGTAAGAAAAACTGTTGGATGCGGAGTCAGTGGTTTAAAGGTTAAGCATTCGAGCTCCAAACTCAAACTGCTTGGTTTTGATTCCCTTTTGGTGAAGGGTCGTGGATGTGCACTGATGAAGAGTCCAACATCAGGACGAAACGGACATCCACTGGCTTAGCTTAGATCGGTTCATAATTTTTATAAGATTTAACAATCTCCGCAACCTAATACTGATAATGAGGAAATCAAAGTTGTTATTGCAATAAAAGCAACAAATATATAAGTATATTAATCAAGAAACATAACATAAAACTGAACTCACTTCTTCAGCTTGTTTTTCCTCTACCTAGAATAGATATTTGAAAAAGGAATACAATCAGGTTAATATATACATATCAAAAATATATATTCACTATGACGGTGAATTGAAATCCACTTCAATATAACTCAAAAATTTATACATAAAACACTGTTTTGATACAAGATCTTGAAAATGAAATGAATTCTATGGGTCCAATTGTTAAGGTAGAGGTTTGATGTGTGCTACTTATTTTGACATAAGTAGTATATGACGTTAGTCGTGAACAGAATGTCTGGCAGCAGAGAGACAAGAGGATCGAATGGAAACAGAATGCAATTTGTATGAAAATGCAAGAATAATGGAGTCTGAGTCATTTTGAGACAATTGGTGGACATTTTGTAAATTAAGCATTTACTAAACGTTTCTCAGATTTTATCAAGATGCTCTGTAATTAAGTACTCAAATACATTTGATTGCCCCGCACGTGTTCTTGTTCACTACAGCGGATCTGGTCGAACTCATTCGATTTGAGTTTCATCTTTATTAAGAACGTGTCGTTCTGTAAACACATACAAAGATATACCACTCTAGATGATACTGTACTCATGACGTTCAAGTGTTTCATAAAAAGTGTAATACTGTAGTGAACGAGAACACAAGCGGGGAATATAGATTTAAAGAGAATTTTAGTAAAATCTGATAACCATACATTGAATGCTTCATCTCAAACTTGACTTTTCCTTTTGCAAATGTCAATCAATTGTCTCAGACTTCATGGTTATTGAGATTTCACACTAATCATTCTTTGTTCTTGTTCTCTCTTCTTTCATCTTCTTAACCTTCTACTTTCAAATATTTCACTTTAGATTGATTTTACATACTACTTATGGTTGTCGAGATCAGTAGCACACATTTATATCTTTAATCAATTCATTGTTATTTGAAAAAATAATCATTTTTTGGTAAAGTTGAACTATATCACATATCAGAACCTTTTAATAGAATTTCGGAAGATTCTTTCTGAAACCTGATCAACTTATAAATGACTTTAATAATGGATAAAACAACTAACTAGGTAACTTAAAAGCTTAAGAGTTAGATAAAATCTATGAACAACCTGAATTTTGTCAATCTTAATGAACTAGTTTTGATAGTAGTCAGTTGATTTTAATCTATCATTGAAAATCAATCTCAAATGAATCATTTCTTCAATACGATATCAGTAGTGAAGTAATATTGAATAGTTATTCAGTAGTATAATTCATTTCTGGCAATTTATGACTGACTTCAAGAGATACTCCTGGAGTTCTAGTGAGAAGCCGTTACCAGTGGAGTTCAATCAGGTCTGTTGTGAGATATCAACTCACTGAAGACAATGGTTTACGGTGGTGCAACTTTGTGGATTGATTGAAGTTAGACATTAACACCGTTGGATGCCTGCCGGCTCAGTGGTCTAGTTGGTTAAGCGTCTGACATGAGACTGATAGGTCTTGGGCCCGAATCTCGAGGGTGGTGGGATTGTGGATGAGCACTGTTGATGGGTCCCATACTAAGACGAAACGGCCATCCAGTGCTTCCAGGTTTTCCATGGTGGCCTATCTTCAATTGACTAATGATTTAAATCAGTGAAATTTATGGAACGTTTAGAAACACCATGAAAGTAGCTTAACATTTACTGGATTGGATTTGTAAGTGTATATACTTTTTCTCAATTGATAACACATTAGAGTTTTAAATGGAAGTTAACTCATTCAAGTCTCAGTGTGTAACATCAGTACTGTGATATAGGTGTGTCAAGCTAACAATTCTTAAATGAGACGAAATAAATGTAATAAATTCCATTGTTAGTCAGTTTACAAGTTTAATTAAATTAATGGGATTAGATTTAAAACACAAAACTTTGTAAGCAATTACGCAATCGTCTGAATGCGTTTTTTCTTTGAAAAGCGTTAAACTACTGAAATATATACAAGTAGTAGAGTAAAATTTGAAAATTACTAATATAAATTCACTTGGTATTGTTTGCTTGAATCTTCCCATTATGGTTTAAGATTGTAATTGATCAGTCTGTTATTAGCATATGTGAATACTATGCATATTGCCTCGATATTGCTTTAATTCACAAGCTTTATAAGTAAATATGGATGAGTCCCAAATAGGACGAAACGTACGTCCTGGATTCCAGTGCTAACCACAATCCATTTTTGCGTACTAAGATAAAGTATTTTTATTTTTACGAAAATTTCTATGCTGAAATGTCCATTGCAAAAACAAGCAAGTGTATGATTTGATCAGTCTTGTCAGATAATATTTGTCAGTCACTGGTATTCAGGACTGCATTCATGCCTATTTGAAAAGTTTTAGTCTATCTGAACTCCGAGGATAATGGGTTATTTTGTGAAGATAAAGAGATTGGGTTCATGTCTCATTGTAAATATCATCAGTGGGATGGAGTTTTGAACATCTGATCAGTCTGAAATAGAACAAAGTATGCATCCCAAACTTCACTGCTGATCATGATCCATTAACTATACATATCTAGTGACAGATTACTTATATCAAAGTACTTCTTTCAGAATGCACGTATTTCAACTAAAGTTGACCCATATTCAACCCTGTATATTATCTGATCAATATTGTAGATCCCGTTATGATTACCAATGTCAACTGAACGGTTTAACAGTGAGTTACAGTTTTCTCACTTGAGTTTAATTTCAGTTTGTTAGTTATCATCAAGTTTTCTGTAGACTATTAATTTAATGGATTTATGATACAAATGATTTTAGAGGTCGTTGAGTTTCGTCATTTAAATCAGACAGTTAATGAAAGTTATAAGATATTAGACAACTGTTTGATCATATAGAAGGCTGTTTTTCAGCAGTGAACATCGACGACCGTACTACGGGTCGAACCTAGAACTTCCAGGTCCCTAAGGTGAATGCTTGGTAATCCATAGGAAAGCATGGAGTACTGAATAACTGTTTCTTTTGCGATGAGATTCATTAGCACTGTGTACGCACTTGTCAGGAATGTAAAAACAGGACACTCACACGGTGAAACCTGAAAATTCAAAGTTTTATCTCTAATCGTAGTCCTGAGTGCACACTTATGAGTAGTATCATACTAGCGCCGAACAAATATCTAAATATTCCTTGACTTTTAACAGTTCATAATCGATATTTTTGTCAATTCTATTAAACTCCACAACCAGTTAGTCAGTTATCTCTTTAGTTCTATGCAAAAAAGAGGCATAAAGGAAAAAATAACCTTCTTACCGTAGAGACACAGGATCCATTTGAAGTAAGCGATAGCCTTGAACCATTCACTGGTAAAAATCAAACAGTAATGTAATATTGAATAAAAATTATAGATAAATGGGGAGTTAGTTTACAAAATAAAAACTCAAAAAAATACTGACAATGACAAGTGTGTGATATCAAATGCCCCGGTACGGTCGAGGGTGTGGGGAGTTAGCCACTGCCAGGGAAGTCCTACTCATTGTCTTCTCACGACGGGGGTGTTATTTATGAAATTAAGAGGACGGAAAGCGAATGTCCGGCACTTTAAGTGGTTTGGTGGATATGGAGGATCCACCCAGCGGGTTGAGAAACCTTGATTCCAACCGAGTGGTGCAAATGGACTCAAGGATCCTAAAGGAAAAAATGACGTATGAACCTATTATTGATTACCAGCTACCATGGAACTCCATTTCCTGACGTTGCTCTACTGTCTCGTGAATCAAACCTTTAGGTTGAAGCCTTTGGGTGTGCCTTCCCCCCAAGTAAACCACCTACATCGATCTGGGCACCAGGGCAGTATCACAGCTCACACACAAATCAAGTGACTTTGTGGCGCATATGTATTCGGGACCCCTTTTTATCAGTATTTATTTCTGTTTATCAGGAAGACAGGAACATTTTAGTGAGTTGACCACACACACACACAGTCAAACACCTCACTTGATGGTTATTTATTTCGATAGAAGATTACATCATTTAATTTCTGCTACACAAATTTTACCTGAGATAAACAAACAGATTAGATGAATAAAAGTTTTTTAGTTTAATCACTCGTTAATAATATTGAAATTTCGATATCTGACTTAATTATTGTTTGATATGTCAATATTACTAATATATATCATAAACAGTTTGTACTTGTCATAGATCGATTTCAGTGGCGATGTTTTTGGAAACCAAGGAACACTAGAAAGTTGTTACGTCCTAGTGTGAAACTTATCGGGAATCCTCATCAAAAACCCTGACAGAAATAGAACTTCACATCTTCATATCTTACAATGAACGTTGAATTATCAAAAAAACACTGTGTTGATTGATATAACTACAATACCACGTATTTGATGATGTATTGCTACAAATATTTAGAGATTATTATTGTCATTATGCTATGAGGAACTTTGATGTGTGGGCGAGAATGATAATGATTGTCTGCTTAGTCAGACATGTAGGTAGTCTGACAGGTGTCAGATGAGTTATATATTCCCCTTATCCTTATTATTTACGGATCATCGTCGAACAATCAGTTGAGTGGAACTCATCACTATACATCAACTTCATTGATTATGAAAAAGCATTCAACAGTGTAGATAGGAGGACATTATGGAAACTTCTTCGACACTACGGAGTTCCTGAGAAGATTGTCAACATTATCCGGAACTCATACGACGGACTACAGTGCAAAGTAGAGCATGGAGGACAGATGATAGATGCATTCCATGTAAGGACCGGAGTCAGACAAGGCTGTTTACTCTCTCCCTTCCTCTTTCTTATGGTGGTCGACTGGATTATGAAGACTTCGATATCTGAAAGAAAACACGGAATTCAATGGACAGCTCGAAATCAATTAGACGATTTGGACTTCGCAGATGACCTAGCACTCCTATCACGTACACACGAACAGATGCAGATGAAGACAGCCAGTGTAACATCATTCTCTGCATCAGTAGGCCTCAGCATACACAAAGGGAAAACCAAAGTCCTCAAATTCAAAGCGGAAAACAACAACCCAATCACTCTTGATGGCGAAACTCTGGAAAATGTAGAATCCTTCACATACCTGGGAAGCATCATCGATGAACAAGGAGGTTCAGATGCAGACGTAAAGGCAAGGATTGGCAAAGCAAGGACAGCATTCCTACAATTAAAGAACATATGGAACTCAAAACAACTTTCAACCAATATCAAAGTGAGAATCTTCAATACCAATGTCAAGGCAGTTCTACTGTATGGAGCTGAAACTTGGAGAACTACAACAACCACTATCAAGAAAGTACAAGTATTTATAAATAGCTGTCTACGCAAGATACTCAACATCCATTGGCCGGATACCATAAGCAATAGCCTTCTGTGGGAGAGAACAAACCAACTTCCAGCTGAAGAAGAAATTAGGAAAAGACGATGGAAATGGATAGGACATACATTACGCAAATCGTCAAACTGCATCACGAGGCAAGCACTAACTTGGAATCCTGAAGGGAAGCGGAAAAGAGGAAGGCCAAAGAACACATTGCGTCGGATAATAGAAGCAGATATGAAAAGGATGAATTACAACTGGACGGAGCTAGAAAGGATTGCTCAGGACAGGGTTGGATGGAGAATGCTGGTGAGCGGCCTATGCTCCTTCACAAGGAGTAACAGGCGTAAAATTCTAGTGAGAAATTGAAAAGACCTCATACTCTCTCAAGACTATATGAAGACAAGCAAAAAATGTAAACGTAGACAATCTAATATGATTTAGGAAGTTATTTCTTTACCCAAAGTTATGACTTTGATTTCCCCTATTGGGTCAGTCATGATACACATTTATAAATTCGAGGGATTTGTACACTAAACTTTTAATAAGTCAGAATGAAAATCAAAGTAATAGTAACTTCCAAGTCTAATTTATGGATTATTATCATATACATACTTATTGTATAATTTCTGAGTAACTATGTATATATTAACCAAACTGCATCACGAGACAAGAGCTAACTTAGAATCTTGAAAGTAAGCAGAAAAGAGGATGGCAGAGAATACATTACGTCGAGAAACAGAAGCATATTTGAAAAGGATGAATAACAACTGGAAAGACCTGGAAAGCATTGCCCAGGACAGGGTCGGATGGAGAATGCTGGTCAACGGCCTATGCTCTTCCACGAGGAGTAACAGGCATAAGTAAGTAAGTAAAAATGCATATATCCCATGTACTATAATCTTTCGGTTAACCCATAAACTAGTTTCATACGACTTATTATTTATTATTCATCACCCGTCTTTCATTTACAGTCTCCTCTATTCACAGCTACTTTTGGCGTGTTCATGTATAATTATGATTTTGCATTTTATAGTGTGATTTGGTCTGTTATGGCCGTATACAGACCAAGTTTGTTGAAATAAAATTATAGTAGAATCTGGTTTCTGACGTTTTGGTCTCAAGGTAGGGGATCAAGAGAAGCTTGAGAATAATGAACCAATGGGAAGTCAGCTATGTCGGCTCAAGATCAGTATTGCTGATCTGACGTGTAATTGGTCAAATCGGGGACTCTAGGCTATAATGGACACAGAAAAGATAAGATTAGTATTGGGATTCTGATTAGAGCTTAAGGATTTGATATTAGTCAGCTGTCCTCAAGACAAAACAAAGTTATTCTATCGTTAAAGCTTCTTATGTAAATACCCCCTTTCCTACCACCATTACCTAAATTGATAATTAACATTGATAACAAACATATAGATTAAATCACCTCCTAATCCACTGATTATTTGTGAACCAGATTCTGGGCAACTAAAGCCAGATGTTGTACCAATTAGACTGGCTGGAGCAGCATATGGTAATTTAATTGGTGTTCCAGGTGGTGCACTTATAGTTCCTGGTAAATTTATCTCATTATCTTGATTAGTTCGATTACCACTACTACTATTACTCATCATTCCTTTGATCATTAAACCAGTAGATGGCATAAATTGATTATATAAATAAGATGGTGATAATGGAACAATTCCATAAATTCTTTCAGCATCATCATGCTTTGCGACAGACGATGATAATGATCTACCGTCAATTTGTCGTCGTCTTGCTCTTGTCAGTAAACTTTGTTGTTGTGATATACCCGATACGGAAACGAGTTTATCTGACTGATTTATACTAGAATCTAGATTACATAATCTTGGTGGAATAAAATAACGATTATGCAATCCATCTCCAACAGTTTCATTGTTATTAACTTTGCGTAACCAATTATATGATGAAGGTTGAATTGGATCACATCCCATGTAACCATAATTCATGGATCGTATCGATGCTTGAATTCTATAGTCATTAGAAAGAAATTCTTCTGTATCTGAAGCTGAGTTGAATCGTGTTAATTCATTGACTTTCTTATCGTTATCTACAGCAAAAAAATACAATTAAACAAAGTTGAGTAAGCTTACTACTGAATAACTAATTAAGTAGATTAAATGAAAAACTATAAAAGAACCATGGGATTACAACCGTTAACTAGACGATTCAAGTTAACAAATATAAATCTTTGGATACCATTTAAATGATCTAAGTGTTAAGCGCTCTTCAAAAGACCTGAAAGTCCCGGGTCTGATCCTTATTGAGATCTGCAATGTTAACTGCCGAGTCCTATACAAGGAAGGATTAAATAACAGTTCAGTGCTTCTTTGTTTTCAATAGCTAAGATCAGTTTGTGATTTAGATAACAAAAGAATACATCTTAATTAATATAAAATTATACCAAACTACCAATCATGAGCAGGATCAAATGTAAACTTCAAGCGCTTCTGTCTTTTCATTAGTGAGTTTGTGAATAGACTGACAAAAATGTCACCGAAGACTTAATCAAACACGAGGGTAATATGAGTCTTTTTTCCTAATCCATGATTGGGTTTTTTACATTTATAGTCGTATATTCTCATTGCAGATATTCACTTATCAAATGGTGGATTAATTTTATTTTCCGGTACCTTAAAAGGTTGTAATTAGTTTTATAAATGATACCTGCTGCAAACTTGGAATAATGCCATTAAGAATAAACGATATTCTTAGGTCATTAGTACTTCATCATAAGTGTCTTCAAATCCATTGCTTGTATATTTAAGGATCACTGAATAACCAATACTTTGATTAGGAATATAGTACTGTGTAAGGATGGAAAGTATATTGATGAGGCCGTAAACCTTAACCAACTGAGGTGGTTGGGATATGTGTTACATATAACCAACCACCATCGACCCATCAGGCGATGTCTTCTGATACAGGAGAAGGCTGGAATATAGGTAGGGGTAGCCAAACTGATGTACCTACCTACCTACCAGTTTCTACGTTGTAATCTACTGACTGAATGACAGATAGATGTATATGTTAGATCATTTGAAGATCAAAAAATAATGTTTTGAAACTATCATGATCTGTGGATCATGATCTGATCTTTTCATAGGGTTTATACAACACAGTACTATATACACCTAAATCCATCATTAATGAAATGATTTAATTGAGAAGCGAATTTCAGTTGGATTATATTTTGGAATAGAATCTGCACCATAGACAATAAACTATGGAGATATAATTTTACATTTTTCTCACTGTAGCATCACAGTCAAACAATGGATGACATAATAGAGTTTTTCTTGTCAACATCAATTGGCTCAATAAAAGTACTTTCACAGAGTCCTTACATTGTCGATGACACTACATATTTCATACGTGAAATCTAGAAGCGACTACCTTCATCGTGATTGGTTTGTTAGTGGTAGTATTGTAGTGAACAGAACACGAGTGGGGCAATCGAATGTATTTGAGCACTGAATTACAGAGCATCTCGATAAAATCTGAGAAGCATTTAGTAAACGCTTAATTTGCAAAATGCCCGCCAATTGTCTTAAAATGGCCCAGACTTCATTGTCCATACAAATTGCATTCTGTTTCCATTCTTTACTGTTCGATCCTCTTGTCTCTCTGCTGCCAGACACTGTTCTTGACTAAGGTCATTTACTACTTATGTCGATAGAAGTAGCACACATCAGACTAGTCTTCCCATTTAAAGCAGTCGTTGCTGTGATGATCCATGCTCGCCGTGCCACATTCTTCTTTTTTTGCAGTCTGTGCTACGCCCTCCATCAAAATGTCGAGTCTGCAGCGCGCTGACCTCCATAGCTCCGTCTACCTGCGGGGGCACTAACATCCACCCGGCACATCGGACGTTCAACGCATGCACTCCAGCGGCCTGCTGAGCCATCTACATCCGATTTCCACCCAGCATCCTCACATCCCACCGCCTCTATCCGTCGACAGCACCCACTACAGCCAACGCCGCCCCGTCGGAATAGTCGACTCGACGCCACCTCTTTGCACCAGACTGCCACAACTGACACCCCAGCTCCAGGCCTGCAACGGCATCCACAGAACAGCACTCTTCCCCTCCTGGTTGACAGCGACACCAAACTTAGTGAACAAGAACACGAGTGGGAACAATTGGATGTATTCGACACGAAATTACAGAACATCTCACTAAAATCTGAGAACCATATAGCAAATCGTTAATTTGCAAAATATCAATCCATCATCTCAAACTTGATTGTTTCTGTTGCAAACATCAACCCATTGTCTCAGATTTCAATGTTCATGCGTTTTCATACCGATTGCGTTCCGTTCCAGTTCTTTCTTCATCGACTTTCTACTGAAATACATTTTATGCCTGACCACCGTTATACACTACTTGTGTGGATATAAGTAACCCACACTACATTATAATTTGATCAAAACTGTTTATTGTTTTCATCACAGAGATCAAGAACATACAAAACAAGACATATTTCATTACAAAATGTTTTCAATTATTAATAACAATTCAAGCAATGTATGATTTACATGCGTAACGCTTCATTTTTTTATCAAATAAAACCTCATATTAACAATTATCACATGCTCACTAGTGACTAGTTTCTAGAGGGAAGTTTTAGAGTTCTAATGAAAAACCATGACCAGTAGCGTTAAACTGTGTCAGCTGTGAAGCATTTATCCATCGAAGATACTGGAAGATGGTCACGAGACACTGTGGATTGATTGAGTTAGACATTAACATCGTTAGATGCCAGCCGACTCGGTGGTATACAAGTTAAGCATAGGTCCTGGGTTAGAGTCCTACATGTGCGAACGCGGGTGCATACTTCTGAGGAGTCCCATACTAAAGTAAAACGGCCGTCCAGTGATTCCATGTCTTCAGTGATTGTTTAAATTGAATTAATTTATGATTTCAATGAAATTTAACAATCTCTACAACATCAAAACCGAGAAAAGATATACATTCATATATTATACAGCTACATTCGAATCTCGCGAGGCAGGATCGTGGGTGTACACTGTCGAGGAGTCCCATACGGAGACGAAAAGTTTGTTCAGTGCTTCCAGGTTTTCCGTGGTGGTCTAAGTTTAATTGACTCATGAATTCAATTGCTAAATTAATATAATATCCACGAAACCCCTCTCTGTAATTGTGATCATCAAATGTTCACTACTAACGGACTCGAAGGGGTATTTCCTGGAGTTTTAGTGTGATGCCGTAACCAGTGGGGTTCAACCGGATCAGTTGTGAGATAGTAACTCACTGATGATAATAGCAGACGGTGGCGCTACTTCATGGATCGATTGAAGTTATATATTAACACCGTTGGATGCCGGCCAGCTCAGTTATTTACTAACTTCCTTACGCCTGTTAATCCCAATCGAGCATAGGCCAACAACCACCATTCTACAACCCACTCTCTACTGGCCATTCCATTCTAGTTTCAACCAATTCTTGTTCATTCTTCCCACGTCTGTCTGTCTCCATTTCTCAACCTAATGTGTTGCTTGGTATTCCTCTTCTCCTTTGACCTCGAGGATTTCACGTGAGGGCTTGTCTTAAGATGCAGTTCGGTGCTCTCCTCAATGTGTGTCCTATCCACTTCCAGTGCTTCTTCCTGATTTCTTTCTTCACTGGAATCTGATTTGTTCTCTCCAATAGTAGGTTGTTGCTGATAGTGTTTGACCAACGGATCCGAAGTATGTTGCGTAGACAGTTGTTAATAAACACCTGTATCTTGTGGATGATGGCTTTTGTAGTTCATCAGTTGTAGATATGCTGCTCTTGCTTTGCCGATCCGCGCCTTCACATCTGCATCAGATCCATCCTGTTCATCAATGATGCTGCCCAAATATGTACATGTTTTTACATCTTCCAAATCTTCTCCATCAATTGTGATTGGATTGGTGCATTCTGTGTTGTATCGGAGAATCTTGGTTTTCCCTTTGTGTATGTTGACACCTACTGCTTCTGAGGCTTCTGCTACGCCGGTCATCTTCTCTTGCATTCGCTATTGTGTGTGCGATAGAAGAACCAGCTCAGTGATCTAGTGAGTAAGAGCTCGCGCACAAGACTGATAGATCCTAAATTTGCCTCTCACAGGGCGGGATCTTGGATGCACACTGTCGAGGAGTTTCATACTAAGACAAAATGGTCATCCATTGCTTCGAGGTTTTCTATAGTGGTCTAACTTCAATTCACTCATGAATTCAACTATTAAATTACATTAATTATTGAATGAATAATGATTATTAAATATCAATATACAACTTACCAGTTCCTGAAATAGACATTAATCGTCTTTCATGTTGATTTAATAAATCTTCAACATCTGAACATACACCATTTTTTATATCCACATTAGTATATTCATTATTATTATTATTATTGTTACTAAGAGATTGTAAATGGATATTGTTTATGATTGATTGATTATTATGTAATTTATTACACCAATAAAATCTTGAATTCAAAGGGGAATAACTATTCGATTGTTTATGAATAGAATAATCAGAATGATTATTATTATTATTATTGTTTATAGAGTTAATGAATGATGATGGTGATGATGGTGATACTGATGTTGATGTTGATGATGGTGATGGTGATGATTGTGGTGATGAAGATGATGGTAATAAACAATTGTCTATGTTAGAATTTTTTTCATTTAATTGAGTTGGAGGTTCCGATTTGATTGTTTTCATGATTGTTTGTTTTTTTCTATCGATACTTGAACTGAAGAAGAAGAAGAAAAAAGGTTAATAATTACAAATTGTAAGAAAGAGAATGAATGTAATTTTTAATTGAGATTATGAATCGATTCATGTTAGATCATCATTAGAAATTTGGAAGCATTTGAAGGTCGTTTGGTTCTAGTATGAGAATCCTTGTAAGTGCGTATCCACGAACCCGCTCGTGGGAATTCGAACCTAGGACTTTCGGTTTCGTTTACGAAATTGCATGACTATCTTCTATTGTACTGAGGTAGATATCTATCTCTATCTAACATGGATTAGATCCACTGGTTACGGTTTCTTACCAGAACTCCGAGAATCCCTTCACGAAGCTAGTCATTAGTGTGTACTTCTGAAGAGTTACATGATCAAATGAAACGGCCGTCTAGTGCTCTCACGTTTTCAGTGGTGGTTTAACATCAATCGATTTATGATCTCAATCAAAAACTTAATAATCTCCATAACCCCATACTGATAGTTGATGGATGAATGTACCTTACTTGATTGTAACAAATTGATGGGTAAAAATGAACCAGTCTGTTCCATTTCTCTGAGCATTTAAATGGACTTATAAATGCAGAGTATGATGATGAAGTTATTGAGAAAACAACTGTTTCCACAAATATTCTTTTTTTTTTTAAATATAAATTAAAGAGGAAACATTATAAGGAATTCAAAAACTTAAAATTTGGGGGAAGACAAAGAATGAATGCACCTGCGTCAGCGCCAATGAGTTTGAGTCATGTTATTCAAAGTCTCCAATCACGGGTTTCGATAATCATATGGAACTCAACCAAGTGATGTATACCTGTTAAAATAGCTCAGTTGAACTGTTGCTGATTTTATAAACTGATGTGATATTTTGGTTCTATGGCCCTTAGCTCTCCTTCATTCTGCTTCCACAGCAGACAACATCGCCCGTCAAGGTAGGTAATAGTTGAGCATATATAATATATGTATTAACCATCTCAGCTGATGAAGAGTCACTACTGCATCAATAGATTTTCCATCCTTATGTAGTACTCTATTTCTAACCAAGGCATTGCCTACTTGGTGGTTGTAAAATATGCGAGCAATCCCTACACTACATGTATTCAAAACCTTCTCAAAATAGCTTGTCAGTACACAAAGTTAGTATTCAAAATCACTCTGTGTTCAAATGGATTTAAAATAGGCGGATTAATTGCAATATTTGTATCATATTTGAAAACGATTTAGTAGGTTGCCTAAGTTTTGCACTAGTTTTTTACATATGACAATATATGTAATTAGAGTTGAGTGCATGACTATCTAATTAATTACTGAGTCTCATTAAAATGTTTATTCAATGCACCAAACACCACACAAATAGAGTTGGATTAACACCATACTATATCTCAAATTATGTGATGATGGAGGAAATTTGTAACTCAGGTGGGTGATTTTAGTGAAGTTTTGTTCGCTGAGCGACAACATCAGCAAGAACTCTAGATAGAAGTCATTCAGAATAACAATAAAAGCTCCATAACCAAATCATCCAATTTAAAGAATAAAACCTCCACCAATATCGCTAACTAATTAAAGCTGGAATTATGTTACTGGACACTGAATAATTGATTCTATAGGTAAAGGTTTACTTTGAAACCTTAAGGTCTTTGTTTCGACGGCTATCATGCTCATGGGTATACACTTCTGAAGAATAACATACTAGGATGAAACATCTATTCAGTACTATTACAATTTAAATCAATCTCTGATGAATACAATCTACAAATTAAACCAATCTCCATAACAAATATTATTTATGACAAACAAAATATAAGTTTAATTCATTCAAATAAGAATTCACCTTAAATTTGTCATTCCATCAGTTATCTGTGCAGTTGATGAATTACTATTACCATTATTATTCATTGATGAACTGTCACTTAATCGATTCATTCTATTTAATTCTGGTAAATCAGGCATCCATAATGATTCTTGCGCTTCTCTCATACCTTCTTGTAATCGTTCATGCATACGACGTGCATAATTACCTAGATTCTCTTCTTCGTCTCCACCACCACCACCACCACCACCACCACCACCACTTCCGATTCCTCCTCCTCCCTGTTGTTGAGATTGTTGTTGTTGTTGTTCATGATGAACATCAATTTGATGAATAGATGATTTCATAGAATTCAAATTTAACATCTTTGATTGATATATCATAGAATAAGGATTATGTAAATTTCTTGGCAATGATCCAATTATATTAGTATGATGTAATGGATCATTTATATTTGATTGTTTTGTTTGAAATGGTAATGTGAAATTAGTATTATGAATTGGTAAATTAATACATTCTATTCCACTATCTGATTGATAACCACAATAGATTCGATTCATTTGATAATGATTATTATTATCGGATGAATTACATTTCTTATTCATTGAATGTTCTTTCATGAAATTAGATTGTAATGAATTACTTTTATATAGATCAACTTTCTCTGATACACATGGATTGGGTTGTAATTGCTGTTGTTGTTGTTGTTGAGGTTGCTGCTGTTGCTGTTGATGTTGTTGATGTTGCTGTCGAGGTTGTTGTTGTGGATGTTGCTGTTCATGTTGCTGATGTTGTTGTTGTTGGTGGTGGTAGTACTGTTGTTGTTGTTGATCAAGATTATTTCGATGAATCTCATTGGATTTTGATGGGATTAATTGTAAATTATTGTCTGAAAAATATTGATTTATTAATTGATTATTTTTTGATAGATTATCATCAATTAATGTATTCGATTGTTGTAATGTTTGTATAGTTATTGGATTTGTATTATTTTGTTCAATAGATTGCGTAATCAATGTGTTATTTTTATGTTGGTTCGTTTCATTATTCTGATTTGGTTTTATAATAGTTTTCATATCAGATATTTGTATTGTATCATTATTATTATCATCATCATCATTAAGATGGTGTTGTTGACGATGATGATGATGATGACGGCGATGTGGATTTATAGAATCATTATTTATAGTGTTATTATGATTAGTTGATGGATAACGTTGTTTTAAAGCAACATATAATTCACGAGCTTTACGACGTTGTTCTGTATTGTCTATTGATTTTTTACTTAAACTTTTATGATATGATGATGATGAAATAGATGATGATTGTTGTTCTATATTGATTACTGGTAGAGTTGGTGATGTTAATCCTGATGATGTAGTCTCTGTTGTAATTATTTCAGTAGATTGAATAGGATTAAATGTACCAGATTGAGAATAATTTGAATGTGTAGTATCTGATGAAGGTTGGATAGCTTCTTTCACTTGATTATATTTTAATAAAAAGAGAATATTAAATGACTAAAATATATATATATATATATATATATATATATTACCAAGTTACGGTACTTATGATAATGACAACTAGTAGTTAGGTGAGTTAGAGTGATATAGCTCGCAGTTAGTTATAGTCATGAATACAAGCCATAATAAACACTTATCGAATAAACCCAAGAGATTTGAGAAAGTAGCATTTTGCACGACATTACCTTGTATCTTACTGAAAGTAAATTAGCACCTATCAATATTTAGATACGATAACGCCTAAAAATTACTGGTGTGGTAAGGCTAAAAAAGATAGAAATAAACTTAAGCGTTCTAAAGAGTGGCTCTGACAAATCTATTAATTTTTCATTGAAATCCTGAACTGATTTAAGCTACACAACTATTGAAAATTTGTAAGGACGAGATGACCGTTCCATCCTATAGTATGATACTCCAAAGTAATGCACATCCATGACCCCGCACGAAGGAATAGAACCCATGATCTTCAGTCTCACACGCAAACACTTAATCTCTAGACCACCAGTGGATGTCATCTAAATGGTCTGCAGGTTGAGCATTTGTACAACAGACTGAGAGTCCTATGTTCGATTCCCGTAAGTAGGGTGGTGGTTGTGCTCTATTAAGGAGTTTCATACTTAGCCGTCTAATGTTTCTAGTCTCACAATGGTGATCTGACATTGATGAGCTCATGATTTCAATGAAATTCAACAATCCCAACAACCCTATAATTACTACTAGTTTTTAATGTAAAAAGTAGTCCAAAAAAAAATCGGGGAAAAATGTATTTAACATTTAAATAATGATATATGAATTTTTCAATGCAAGTTAAATTTGCCTTAGATTTGAAATAGCAGAATCGACCATGTGTTTATTTATATAAAAGGCTACAAACCAATCACACATTGTAATCCTATTTCCCAAATCCCTAAACTTAATTCTTGTTTGATTTTGCTACAATTAAATGTTCACTTATGTTGTTTGTAAGCAAAGATGGATAGTGACTAGCAGTGGACGCGTGTTTCGTCCTGTTTGAAACTCGTCAGTTGAATGTAATTGCATCCCAGAGTTGGTGTTCACCTTGGGACTCGAACTCAGTACCGTGCAAGAGACCGATCAATTGCAATCTTAAATAACAATGGCAAGATACAAATAAAACAATACCAAGTGAATTATATTGTTTGTTTTTCAACTGGTTAAAAGCTGTACACAACTCTTAAGATCAAGTATAAATCTTCTCAAGATGGTCTGTGAATTTTCGTTTCCCACCTCTGTGACATTAATATTTGTATATTGAATAATGGATGGATATACCTCCATCTTATAAAGATCAGTTGTAACTCGAACAGTACACTAATGATGACATGTTTATTTACGATATTGAATAAATCAAGCTTGAGATGTACGAGTGGGAGTATCCATTACCTCAAGACTTCAGATACTACTTCTTAACAATAATCATCATCTAATACAAAGTGTTTGCCTAAATGTTCCTAGTAATTACTTATAGATCAATAGTGCATAAGATAGAATGAAAGTAACTATCATCAAATGAGATCATTACAGGTAATCAAATTATCAAGTGTTCTTTTATTCATACCTCTGGAAATTTACACTTTTATGTATATTTGAAATTCACTTACCATTTGATGTTTGAGAGGATATATTAGGCAAATATTTGTATGTCGGATTGGTTGATGTACTAATACTACTACTAGTAGTAGTAGTAGTAGTCGCATTCATTTCTTGTCTAGATTTTGCTATCAATGATGTTCTATTAACTTGTTGTACTGAATGCATGGATTGATGATTAGATACATTTTGAGCTTGATTTGTCTCTTGAATTCTAACACGACGACTTACAACTGCATTATTCTTGTTTACAATCGTAGTTGTAGTTATACCATTGATAGTAGATATACTAGTAGTAGTGGTGGTCGTCGTTATGGCAACAGTAGGAAGAGTATTTGTTACACTTGAATAATTACAGTGTGTAACTGGCATAAAATTGGAATTCGGTGCTTGAGTAGCTGGACGATATGAAATCGGTGGAACAAATGGTTGAATTATAGGTGAGTATTGTTGTATGTTTACATTGGATGGATGATTGTGTATTTGTGTACATTGTGTGAGCGGTAGTGGTGGTGGTGGTGATGGTAGACCTATGGGTATTGATTGGTTAACTGTAGAACAAATAATATTAGTATCATTTGAATAAGGAATACCAGTTTTGATAATGTGTGAATTTGATTGAATCGGTATTGTTTGATGATGAGATTGATGAGTTTGTTGGGTAGGTTGAAAGTGTTGTTGTTGTTGTTGATTAGTCCTTTGTTCAAATATACTGTTTCCAGTCATATAACGTCGTGTATCATGAAGATAACTAGACATTAATGGTTGCATTGTGCTTGTTGATATTGAATTGATTGAATGAGATCGCTCTGGTGTAATTGGATGTTGAAACTAGACAACAACAATAACAAAATAGTAAAAAGTTATCAGCTTAATATATTCCTCATATTCAATTAGTAACTGATTGGGATTATTTATGGATTATTATTGTTATTACATATATTCCTATTGGATATCTATTAAGTAACAAGATTATATATATATATATATATATATATATATATATATATATATATATATATATATATATATATACACCAAGGTCAGAATTTTCAATACAAATGTCAACACAGTTCTACTGTACGGGATGGAAACCTCGAGAACTACAAAAGCCATCATCCACAAGATACAGGTGTTTATTAACAACTGTCTACGCAACATACTTCGGATCCGTTGGTCAAACACTATCAGCAACAACCTACTATTGGAGAGAACAAATCAGATTCCAGTGAAGAAAGAAATCAGGAAGAAGCACTGGAAGTGGATAGGACACACATTGAGGAGAGCACCGAACTGCATCTTAAGACAAGCCCTCACGTGAAATCCTCGAGGTCAAAGGAGAAGATGAAGACCAAGGAACACATTAGGTTGAGAAATGGAGACAGACAGACATGGGAAGAATGAACAAGAATTGAATGAAACTAGAATGGAATGGCCAGTAGAGAGTGGGTTGTAGAATGGTGGTTGTTGGCCTATGCTGGATTGGGAGTAATATATATCCATTTTATTATGAGCTTCCATTTGATCTATTGACTACCATTATACGATCTACTATTCCTAAGTTATTCCCAATATATTACTTACAGTCTCTCACACAATCATTCACACTATAGTACCTCAAAATATTAGTGAAATGTTTAGTCAACTTCTCAAAGTAACATTAATAGACGATCACAAGTACTTTGTATAGGCCATAGAATCATTTTTCATCACTGATCCATCCAATTTTTCTTAGGATAACATTGTAGTCTTTCTATCAAGAGAATACTGGTTTCGAATTATTATATCTGATACAACAAACAAAACATTTAAGACAACTCTATACTTACAGTTTGATTATTATTTCAGAATATGCCATACATCAGTATGACAAGTTTTAGTTAAACCAATCTAATCATATCTATAATTTATGGACGAACTTTGAGTGGCGCTAAAGTGACCTTGATAGGGTCCACCTCATAACCAGGATCAAATGAGGGTTATGAACCTGTATGGGGAATTATAATTATAATTTACAGTTAGTGATTTAAGTTAGCGATAAGTCTTGCTAATTGAACGCTATATTCGATTCCTAAGCTATTCTCGTAACCCACAAGCTTGAAATACTTAGCGACCTGAACATGAGAGAAAAGGCGGAAAATATGTGACAAGCACTTTACTCCAAAGGTTCGTTTTAGTACAGAAAATATTAAAGTTTTTATAGTATTTTAGATGTCTCTTGGGTTTCCCGAAGATTCTGGAATGCTACTAAACATAGTAGCAGTATAGTAATTAGCCAATCAGAAACTCTACATATGACGTTTCACTTTCTTGATATTTCCGGCTAAACTTCAAGTGAACACTGATTGAATGAAATGCCTCTTAATGTTTCCTGAGCCTTTCTTGTCTTCTGCAAGAAGGCTTCTAGATCACCCCAATAGTTAGGAATTAGATTTAGGGGGTTTTCATCACGATCTGACATTATCTATAATGACAAAATTCTATTTATCCAAATGGATGAGTGAATTTCTTGCTCCAGAATCTGAGACCTGTTATTTTATACATGATTGGTTCGTCTTTAAATTATAGTCTCTTCCATTCTATCATTAATTATTTTCATAATATCATGCATAACCATAATAATTTTTCACTTACTTCATTTGTTCCCGAGATAAATGTATTTGGATGTTGAATAGAATGATGTTGATGTTGATGATAGTGTGAAGGATGATAATGATGAGGCAGCGGCGGTGGTAAAGAAGGTGAATAATTCATTGATGATGATGATGATGATGATATTTCTTGAGATTTAGTTATTTGTTTTAAAGTTTGATTTGTATTTTGTTGATGAATATTCATTGGTGTAGTAGTAGTAGTAGTCGTCATCGTCATCGTCGTCGTAGTAGTAGTATAAGGAGGAGGATGAGTAGGAGTAGTAGTACTAGTAGTACTATGTATAATATTTCCAGACAACTTATTCATACATGTTATTGATTGATGATAGTTTATTGAATATGGATATTGTTTTTGTGTAGTAGTAGTAGTAGTAGTAGTAGTAGTATTATGATAATATTGATTTAATGTTATACGTGGTTGATTATTAGTTGTTTGATATGTATTATCTATACTACTCATATTCATATGACAAGTTGTATTATTAATTGAATGATTATCAAAAGTTAATTGATTTTGAATTGGATAATTCATATATGGAATACGATCAATTTTTGTTGGAGATTCTTTTATCTTTGAAGAAGATGATGATGATGATGATGACATATGATGTGAATTCATATTAGATTGTTGATATAAATTTAATTGACGTGGCATTGGTATACCAGATGAAGTTGTTGTTGTTGTTGTTGATGATGGTAATATATTCTCTATTGTAGTTGGGATAATCTCTGTTGTCTTAATTAGTTTTTGTTCCAAAGATAATTTTGGTGATAAATTAGTTATATAATGAGAATTTTGTAATTTATTTCTATCTATTTCACTTGGTGATAGTTTATTGATTATTGATTTTTTTGGTGATGGAGAATTTTGTTGTTTTTGATGATAGTTGTTATGATGTTGTTGTTGTTGTTGCTGCTGCTGCTGATGATGATGATGATGACTGGATTTTGTTTTGGATGGCTTAATATTCAAATCTAAGATAAGGAAGAAAGAAGGGAAAAGCAAATAATATGATGATTATGTTTTTTTGGTTATGAACAAATTTTAGATTAACTTCGACTGTAGCCACTCTGAGGTTACTGACGGTTTTAAGCCAGAATAAAGGAGGAGGTTTGGACATGGGGTTAGTGATCCCATCGCATAGAAAACCAACTCGCTAAAAGAAACGCTAACCAGAAAAAAGATAATTTAAACCATTTAAATTCTGCCCTGGGAGTTAAGAGGTTTTCATTTAGAAAAGTTATCACGCCTCATGGTGAAAGCTGTGTTTCTTTGGATGCCCCTTCTGACAACCAGAGAAATCATTAATTTATGTACATGGAATACTCGTACAATGTGGAAGATCGGAGGAATCTTCTAAATTGCTGTAAGTTTTAGATTAGATAACCAATGAGAACCAAGATAATTGTTTTATTCCAGTATTGAATATTTAAGCCATTCACACCTTACTAAATATTTAACTTAAGAGCTTGAGACCACTTGATCAAAGCTTGACGATCAAACCATTAATTTAGCATCTAATGATCCGGATTTCTAACTCTAATTAACTCATAGTATTACACATCCATCTCCGTATGCCAATAATAGTAAGTAATTACCTCACATTACATATTATATCATGATACATTGTATGTCTCATTTTTGATTGACATATTGAAAATGTATGTATCAATCATTCTTTTGAATTATCATTATAGAGTTATAGAGATTATTAAGTTCTGATTGAGATCACGAATCGACTGATGTTAGACCACCACCTAGAAGCACTAGAGGGCCGTCTCGTCTAATTGTGTGACTCCTCAGCAGTGCTCACTAATGGATAACTTCGTGAGGGAATTCTCGGAATTCTAGTAAGAAGCTGTGACCAGTGAAGCTAATCCATGTCAGATAAAGATAGGTATCTACCTCAGTACAATGTAAGGTGATCGCGCAATTTCGCGGATTGGTTAAGGTTAAACACTAACACTGTTGAATGCCAACTCACTCAGTGGTCTAGTGGTTAAGCTTGTAGTGACCTGCTTTTATGAAAAGAACGCGATTGGAAACAATTATTATTATAACCAATTGTACTAGTGATTGTTTTACTGTACCTGTTTGTTTAAGTCTACTAAAAACATACATTCTTCCGTTGACTGTAACCTTGCACAGACTCGCGTACACTTAGTAGTTACGGAGGGATCCAACCTAATAACTGGCACGTAATCTTCCTGTAGTGGTGATCATAGTCAATCGCGACTCGACGCCACACTACAAGAGTTCGCGCGCAAGACTGAAGGCCCTGGGTTCGAACCCCATGAGCAGGATCGTGGATGCGCACTGTTGAGAAGTCACACAATAGGATGGAATGGCCGTCCAGTGCTTCAAGGTTTTCAATGGTGGTCTAACATCGATCGATTCATGACCTCAATCATTCCTTTGAAAACAATTTCTTATAACAATTGAACTTGATTATGAGAAAGGAATTAAGCAATTAACTTCTTATTAAAAGTAGGCAGTAAAATTATACATTTCATGGCTTATTGGTTGAACTATCACTTTTTAAATTTTAATTACTTGATCACACAGATTAAAACCCCAATGATGGGTAGATGTATAGTGACCAATGTCTTGTTGGTGTTGTCCAATATGTATAAGTGAAACTCTATCAATTAAATCTTAATGTGACCATGAATCTAAGTAACTAAATATCGTTTTCACTCATTTTTAATGTAAGTAGATCTCAGTTCTACCGATAGTTAGTTGTGGATTAAATAGGTCAGCAGTAACATCTTCCAGAGAGATAAAGTGACTTGGGTTTGAATCCAACAGGGAAAATTAGTTCTTCCATAGTTGCAGGTCTCCTTAGCAGATAAGCATTAAATGGCACAAACCTGGGTTCAGTGTGTCCTGGAGATTATTTTCAACTAGCCAACAAGTTCTTTGGAGAGTCCCATGGTAAGATAAAACATTTACAAAATCCATACTGGTTTTCAATGATTGTCTAAATGAATTCAGTTTGTTAGGAAAACCACAAGTTCAACAATCCATAAAACTTTTTATACTAAGAAGGTGAACATCCGGTTAATCAATTACATTCGTGACGTGTAACTACTATTTGCCAAACTCGTAAAAGATGACACATGAAAGATTCAAATATGTTAATTTTCTAGAATATTATATGAAAGATTATCATAATCTGTTACAATTTGGGTGTTTAAAACCGTTCATGATTTCATATTAATTTGTTTAATATTGAGAAGTGAAATGATAACGACCTAAGTTGATTAGAAAAAACAAGGATTATCAATGAATAATTATGATCATGAGTCAGATAAAGCTAGACCACCATGGAAAACCTGGAAGCACTGGACGACCGTTTCGCCCTATTTTGGGGCTCCTCAGCAGTGCTCATCCACGACCTCGCCCCCTGCGAGATTCGAACCCAGGACCTACTGGTTTCACGCGCGAACATTTAACAACTAGACCACAATAGGACGGAACGGCCTCCCAGTGCTTCCAGGTTTTCCATGGTGGTCTAGCTTCAACTAACTCATGATCTTAACCATTGAAATTACCATAATATCCACAAAACCCATCTGAGAATAATTGTGAGTTACATCTTGTGCTGTACTGAAATCCACCTTCAAACTACTCATAAGTAGCTTAGAAAAATAAACAGAAAATTTAAAAAAACTACATTTCGTGACCAAGAATAAATGTTACTCAAGTTTTCATTTTTATTGTCTATTCATAGATTTTCTAAGAAAAACGCTATAAAATACATGAATGAGAAAAAAACTGTCTAGCGATAGTAACAAAGCACTTGAATATATATTGCTCTGAAGTGTATTTATGCATGTGTACGTGTGTCACAATAGTTCATACATTATTCTCACAGTTTAAATTGATTCCATATATGGCGCCTATTGTCAGTTCAGTTAACTTGCAGTCCAATAGTGTTACATTAGAAACATTAGTTTCTTATGTGAATTTATTGATAATGAGTTCAAAGATGAAAAAGCGTGAGAGGTTGTTTTTTGAATTTAACTTCGTTAATCAATTATCATTGGGTTTGTTTGTTTGTTTTTCTGATATCATGAAAAATATACCGGTGTTATTCAATATAACTTCGAATTACAATGAGAGATTTATAAGTTTTTTTAGTTTTACGAAAGTTAATTGTGAGTTTTTTTGTTGTTGCTTTTTTACTTGGAAACAAATTTAGAACTTATGCTTATCACTCCCAATGGAACAGCATTCTCTAATCCACTCTCTACTGGAACTTCCTTTCATGTTCCATCCAATTTTTATTCATTCTTCTCATGTCTATCTCCATTTTCCGACGTAATGTGTTTTTTAGTCTTCCTCTTTTCCTTTGGCCTTCAGGATTCCATGTGAGGTCTTGTCTTGTGACGTAGTTCGGTGCACTCCTCAATCTGTGCCCCATCCACCTTCCAGTGCTTCATCCTGATTTCTTTCTCCATTGGAATCTGATATGCTCTCTCCCATATTAGTTTGTTGCTGATAGTGTCTGGTCAACGGATCCGAAGTGTTCAGCGTAGATAACTGTTAATAAACACTTGTATGTTGTGGATGATGGCTTTCGTATGTCTCCAGGTTCCCACCCCATACAGTAGAACTGTGTTGACATTTGTATTGGAAATTGTGACCTTGATGTTTGTTGATAATTGTTTTGATTTCCAGATGTTCTTCACTTGTATATATGCTGCTCTTACTTTACCGATCCGCGCTTTCACATCTGCATCAGATCCACCGTGCTCGTGAATGATGCTGCCCAAATATGTACATGTTTTTATATCTTCCAAATCTTCTCCATCAATTTTGATTTGATTGGTGCATGTTGTGTTGTATCGGAAACATTGGGTACTAGAATTTCTTTTCTATTATCTTCTTTCGATGATATATTGAAAATAGTCAACAGACTGAATATACATTGTGTTGTATAACTTCCGTGCATATTATTACAGTTTATGAAATCTATTCAATCCATTCAAGTATGCTTTCGAACTAAATAAGAATTTTTTGATTGAGATCATGAACCAATTGATGTTAAACCACCGTTAGAAACCTATTGTGGGACTCCTCAGAAGTGCTCATCCACGATCCCGCTCGCGGGATTCGAACCCAGGGCCTTCAGTCTCGCGTGCGAGCGCTTAACCTACTGGACCACTGAGCAGGCCGGCATCCAATAGTGTCAGTGTCTAACATCAACCAATCCACGAAATTGCGCGACCAACTTCCATTGTACTGAGGTAGATAACTGTCTCTACCCGACAAGGATTAGCTCCACTGGTCACGGCTTCTCACTAGAAATCTGAGAATTCCCTCACGAAGTTAGTCACTAGTGAGCACATGTTGATTACTAGTATAGGAGTTGTGGAGGTTATTAAGTTTTTGATGTTAGAAACTATCACCATTGGATGCCGGCTAAGTGGTCCAGTTGGTTAAGCGTTCGCGCGCGAGACCGAAGGCCCTGGGTTCGAATCCCGCTCGCGGGATCGTGGATGCACACTGCTGAGGAGTCCCACAATAGGACGAAACGGCCATCCAGTGATTCCAGGTTTTCAATTGTGATGGTCTAACATCAATTGGTTCAAGATCTCAATCAAAAACTTAATAATCTCCATAACTCCTATACTAGTAAATAAGAATTGAAGTAGTAACTTTGAGGTTGTAGAATAATAGAAAATTAATCAAGAATAGTGTTTATCAAATTGTATTCAGTCAGGATATTTACAGCTGATTATTTAATGATCAATATGGATAGAGGAAGCATCATTAGGTACTTACAACACGTTGGAGTATTGAGGACAATACTTACTTATGAATGATTTTAAAGGTAGATTTAGCATATGTTATATGAATTCAATAGTCATTTTTATCCCCATTAAAACTGTTCTGTCTATTGTATATTGATGCCTATAAAAAACATTTATTCTATTCTGAATATAGTTTTTCTTCATGAATTATTGTT